ATAGCAGGCTCATCATAAGGAAGAGGTATATCAATTACCTTCAGTCTGTTGCAGTTAAATTGAACCAAACTGGATCAACGAGACAACAAGTGTAGACGCCGGCCGCACTACATGTACTTAATCTGCGGAAACTGAGATAAAACCTACAGCTTGGCGTCACCAGGTAGGTCTCCTGCACTTCGGGATTATATACTTCAGGTGCTAACTGTTGTACTGACAAGCTCAGAGTTACAGGTGCATGAACAGTATTAATTAATAATTTTAGTTTTTTATTATAATTTTTTGTTACTTTTTATATTCTTTTATTTCTCGGGGATAACATTTTATTGCTCTTCAATCAATTCTCATCCATGACCCAAAAAATACAATATTAACTAGGAATACATCTTTAATTAATGAAAACTTAAACGCGATTACAGATGGGATTACTTCATTGACTTCTCTTTACAGCTTTCTTCAGGCTCTCGAGCTATGTACAGTGCCTAGGGCACTTTTGAGGAATCCTTGATTTCATTACCAAAAAGAAATAAACTAAACTAAAATAAATTACAATTTCTACACGCGTGTACAAATTTTTGAAAATGCAAATGATATTATACCAGAGTAAGAGAACATGTAGTGTAGTGGGAGCGTGCTGTACCGTCATTACATTCACTGTGTGGACTTCCGAACTAAGGAATGCCCACGCTTGGCATGTAACGTAAACATATATGGTTTGCCATGCACTTATGCAGAAAAGCCCAATTCCCCAGGTCGCGGACATCAGCTTGACTTCCGGGCATTCCTCAGTCCTGGTTTTTTGATTGCGTGCCGGGAACCAGTTGATAAAACGCTTCGCTGAACGACCTCAAAATCACCCCGGCCACCGCCGTCCCCTGCTGTTTCCAATGTCATCTATATGCATTAAATCTAACTGATATTTCGAACGTGAGCCGCCGTAAAGACGGAAAGCATTCTGGCTTATTAGCACTGTATTACGAGCGAGTTGGCAATGATCAGTGTGTGTATACTATTCGTCAGTGGTACCGCTCAAAAAGCATCGCAAACATAACATCTTCATCTTAAACCCATCTGTAGCCGTAGCAACGACATTTTGCCGCCTGAGTATAGAGAAAGACCAGACGCTGTGAATATTTAAAGCTCTTGTTTATTTGACTCGCATTTTGATATCCAGTCGTACAAAATCTAACACGGTACAGCTGTTCAAACTCGCTTTCGTTTCCTTTGCCAGGACATGAAACAATTGATTTTCGTTCAATAGTGTGTACATTTAATTAAAATGCACTTCAGTTTCTTCAAAGAAAAACTGCACTTTGAACAACCTTTAAAAAAAAATCTCCAAGAGTAAATATTCAACTATCGCGTCGAATGATATAAATTAACACTTGGTTTTGCGCCTTATTTTCAATAATTCAATTTTTTTTTTGGGGGGGGGGAGGGGAATGCAAAGGATAACGTGTTTTAGAGTTAAAACAAAACAGCAACCGTTTTCTTCTAGGAACACATTATTATGAAAAGAGCAATCAACCATGGTGTAGCCCATCAGTTGTAGCATCTGGAGCGAAGATAACTATGAGGATGGAAGGGCGGTGGACCGTATATTATCAATTGAAGGTATCGGTTGGTAAGTGAACGTGAGCCCTAAACAGACATCAAATATTGACACGATTCCTATAAATATACCTTAATATTCACCAGGAAGCCAATTCTAATCTTGTTAGAAGCTGTTTATAGTTGAATGGGATGCAGACTTGTATTCGAGTCACGAAACATCGAGTCCAAGTCCGAGTCCGAGTCACATTTCTCGACAAGTCCGAGTCCCGAGTCCTCCAGGTCGAGTCCGAGTCCGAGTCACGAGTCACAAAGTTCGAGTCCAAGTCCGAGTCACGAGTCATACAAGTCTGATGGGATGGTGCCAGACTATTTATGCGTTCCCAGCCTCTTATTCAGTTTTCTTTACCAAATGTGGCTTGAAACGGTAGTGGATTTTTTGGATCGCAAATTTTAAATTATTCATCAGAGCAGACTAGTATTAATTTTTAACTAACTTCATGTCATTGCTTTCATTTCTCTTCGCAAGCTCCGTTTTGCTTTAAAATTTAATGTAGCCTACTCGTGGGAAAAAGCCTGCATACAGATACCTGCGCTAGTGGATGCGTCAAGTCAAACGCGAATGACACGGAGTTACCTAATTTGATCCCTGGTTTAGAGACACTAGTAGCCGGGGGGGGGGGGCGAATTTGCGCCCTCTACGATACTTTTATGATACGTACGAGGGTATATAATATCCCCCCCCCCCCCCACGTTTTGGCGAGCAGTGCGATTGCTCAGTCGATGCAGGGTCATGATTTTGCACCGCGAGGTTTGAAACACGGTTTTGCACCCGAATTTTTTTCTTTTCTAACCTGAGGCTTTGGAGGATTTTTTTAAAAGGGGAAATAAAGTCTGAATTTCAAAACGTTCGCATTCATTTTTTTCCTTCTAATTTTATATTTCCTTGTCATGTTTTTAGAAAAGTTAATTCCAAAACGCCATAGCGTACACCCATTTGCGGATGTCGTTTGGGAGAAAAAAAAATCGCGGCCGGGGGATCAGAATATTGAAACTGTTATTCGTGACAACCATATTCTGCACACCACTTTAGATTATTTGAACAATATATACAAATCACGAGTTTCTCGTTATTTATATATCGGACAGGTGCAGTGGTGTGCCGCGACGCGACAGCAGGTTGGCCATTAATTAAAAACTAAATCAGCCGAGCCCGAGAATCTCTAATAGGGCAATCTTTGTATGCAAATTTGAATATAATTAACTGATGAGTAATTGTAGGCTGCCGTGGTTCAGTGGTTACGCGATGGTGCGTCGGTTTGAACATGGCGTTTGCATCCTTGAGCAAGACACTCATTGCATATCTCCACCCAGGAGTATGAATGGGTACCTGTGAGGGTAGAGGACCGAATGTGCACTGATATGGGCTACCGCATGGTCTCGTGGCCTGATGAGCTGGAAAGCACTATACAGATGAGTCAAAAGTAAAAACGAACCCCAAATGTCGGGACTACTGTTTTAGTGACGTTCTGCATGTAGCACTTTTAAATCTAGGATATGAAAGCCCAATTCATAAGCTTTCGTTTAGTACAAGATTCATTCAAATCGCTCATGTACTTTTCAAGTTACGGAATTCTAAACACAACCACCGTTTTAAAGTTCCGTCCACGGATCACAAAAAATTGAGCGTTATTACAGGAAAACTAAAACAATTCACACCCATCAATATGTGATTTGAATTCGTTTTGTTGAAAGAACACTTACTTTTTGTGATCCGTGGACTGAACTTTATAGCGCTGTCAGTTCTGTCTTTTACTGGAAGAACTCTGTTACAAGTTTCTGTTATCAATCATGGTCAATCCTGCTCGTTTCTGTTTCTCTCCGTCAAAGAGAGGCCGCTCTCGCCCTTTAAAATATTTCTCGAGTGCCACACAATTTATCCGAGGTCGACACTTGAATAATCACGACATCTAATAGTTACATGTCATTTGCCTCCCATTTGTCTCTCGTTGCTACCCAACCGCTCATTTAATTGGTTTTACTACGCACTTATTATTCGTCGTTACCAACGAATTCCACTTCATTGCATTTTGTTTTTACGCAAAAAAATAACGCACAGAAAATTGAAGGCCTGGTTTGGCGTTTGCTTTCCGGTTAGTCACGGAAAATGAAAAGGAAAGAGTGATTGTTAAAATATTGCTGCACTTAAAAGTTGAATGGTTTACCCGTTTTAAATTTACGATTTTACGATTCCGGTTTTCTATCTTCCCATATTGTTGAGTTCCCTTTGATTAACAGTATTCTATTGCGCATCTGCAGCAGAAACACCTATCGTCATAATTATCAAAGTGAAATTGTGATGCTTTGATAAATTACCTAATCGATATATTTTCTTTAATTGAAATCCATCCTCACGTTTGAAACTGTACCTATTTTTCTCATGGAATCAAGATAATGTCAATGCCAAACAATCAGTTCAATTTTATTCCATGATTGCAATTATTATTGTATTCACAGTCAACTCAGCAAAATCTGATTTCTTTAATCCTCTATTATAACTTTTGTTCGCCTGCATATTTTTTCGTTGACTCAAAATTGCAGCAAAGTCTACCCAAAAGGTGTACCATCTTTCTTTTGTTTCCTGTGGAAGTTTACACGCAGGTTTGGTTTCTGGGATTCGTCAGGATTCGCCATGTTTATCAGCGCTACGCATCTGCTCTATTTTACCGTCATTCATTCAGTGCAACATCCAATTAAATACCTCCATCGAGTAATCTAAATGCATCAGCCATGCACTCCATCATCCTGGACAGCCACATAAATCAACTCACCTGTTCACCCAATCCCCCATCAAACTCATTAACCAACAAAAAGACATCTACCAAATTATGTACCCCATTTACCGTTTATTTATCAGTTACTTAAAAAAAAGAATAACGGCAGATCAAAATGAAAAAATAGTAGAGCAGCAGAAATTCAAATCCCATAACGAACCCAACTTATGAACTATTGAATAGTCCTCTAAAAATAATACGTTGCTGCGAATTCATGCTCATATAATAGAAACATCGAAATATTTAGCGCATTTCATGTTGTGAAAGAGTTTGCATCAGCCTCAGTGAATTTTCAAACTCACGACAAATTGCAAAAAAAAATCCTAAACCACGTTCTTCTCCAATCATTGATAGGGCTTGAGTGATTGTCTTATTAAAGCAGGATGTTTATATTGTGTAGAACATCGCTTGAAGCCATTTAGTTTGCACTGTCGCCTTGATGTTGAACTAAGTTCGCCCCACTAATGTTTGTAATAAATCACTCCGACCGCCCGGCTCATGTCTGTGATGACTGCTCCATGCAAAGTTACAAACTTGTAATAGCTGTTGCTGTCGCCCGTAGCTCCTTTAATTTCAAGTTGTCCGTATTTGTTTTCTTGCACCTTACAGCTTGATCCTGATCGTCTGTAATACTGGCTGACATCCTAAACCAATAATGTTGACGGGAGTAAACGCGACACTCTTATTCTTCATTCTAGTAATCGTGGGCGCATGTGTCAAGCAAGCTCATTCTCAAGGTAATTGCAATAACTTGGTTAATTTATCCAGACACTGATTGTGAAAACTGACAGTATATTTAATGTTTGAGCCATTAAGGGGAGCTCTGAGGTGGTGCAAAGAGAATGACAAAAACATGTACAACTGTTACAGAGGTCTTTTGTGGCAACTGTAAAATAAAGCTTTCTTATATTTTTGGACGAGATAGTCCAATTTGATGTTAAACGTTACGCTCTGCTTGCAGGACATTTGTGCACTGTAAAACGTTGTTATATTTCGACTGGATGACCACTGAACACCCTTTTAGTTGGTTCGAGTTCATACTGTCTTGATCTTCTTAGTGTAGACGAATATTGTGTGTAGGACATGGGTTGAATGCACAGTTCAAATACTTTATGTTGCATAAAAATCATCATACTATATTCTGTACTCAGTGCACATGCCTTACGGGACTGTATTTACTCTGTGCGCAATATGTTAACTGCATAGATTTTCTTGGTATATTTGTGTAATTTTAATCTCAAGCTGTCAAGTTTCATCTCTGTATTTGGTCATCTATAGGTGATCCTCCAAGCGTTACCTCCGATGGCACTTCCTTATCATCGTACACCATTGGACCAAAAAGCTGTATGAACGGTGAAAATGACTGCCCAATGTACGATGGTAAGGCAAAGCAAACACACAATAAATTTATTAAAATGAACATTAGCGTGAGCTTATCTCTTGAGGGCGCTCTAGGGGTTCAGAAAGTAAAAGGTCACTGTACTTTGATAAATGTGGTCAATCAATATTAACTACGACTCGCACAACATTTGCAACCATATGCTTGAAGTAATATATTAATGTACTAATATTATATCATAATATGGTAGTGCTAGTAAAATAATAAGGTAGTTGTAATGAAGCAATAATATAAATTGGGTTTCACTTATAGGTTACATGAAGTGCGGTGAAACCGACGTTCTACTGAACGACTCGGGACCAGTCTACACAGCGCATGCGCCGCTCCAAACCCTTGCCAACCAATGCTTGGAAAGCCTGTCCTGTCTGTGGCTCATCACTGGTAGCCCCGATATGAACATCTACGTCCAGATTGTAGAGCAGCGCGGGCAGTACGTGTCCAAGGACACCAGCGAAAAAGACGTGGTTACAATTGGCAGAGGTCATGACCCCTCTGACGTCACCAGCAACTTTGCCATCAATGACTTGTACTACGCGAGGCGTCTGGATGACGGCAGGGTCTACATTATCCACGGCAACCTAGCCTGGGTTACCGTCTCTGCGCACGGGATCGGTAACACAGACTGTGTTGGATTCGATTTCAAATTCACACAAAGAAAAGAACCAGGTAAGGGTTCAAGGCCTTAACAATACAAAAAGCCTATTTATTATTTTATGTTCCAAGAAGTACAAAATATGCCCTTTAAGCCTAAAATCTAAGAGGTTCGACTTTGATAGAAGACGGAGTACACAAATAAATGGGTCGGATAAGTATGTTTACAGTGACGTGTCCACCATTGCTATCATTCAATCTATGACGACTCCAAAATCACTCTTTCGCTTCACACATTTACCTTTATCATTATGCCATTGTAAGCAGTCGCCAGCGTTACCGATGTTCAAATCATAGCCTTTTTTATTTTACCAGATTTCTGCGAAGCAGATACAACCATTTGCCACAACTCGTCCATATGTCTGCCGCCCTCAGCCTACTGTGATGCCAATCTGGACTGCCATGCTTTTGTCGACCAGTACAACTGTGGTAAGATTCTTAGTCTCCCATGTAGTACATGGGGTTTGTGTAGTTGGGGCCCCTGTTCCTATAAGGAAACGATATTAAATCTACCTTTAAACTTTGGGACTCACCTAAGAAGATGGCATTGACAACGTGTCCTCAGCTACACAAAAACCATAACAAGGATGTCTAGTAACCACTGGCGTTTTGAAAATAGGTTTCACTACGTGTTGCAAATGCTGTGTCCATGTTACCAACCCGTCTGGGGTAAAAATGCGAGAACATTCTTGTCAGTGTACTACACACGCTGTGCAGAGATAATTGAACGAGATTGAGATTGATCATTCGTGTCATTGGGGTGAATTCAAAACATTCAACATTGACATCACTTATTGTTCCCTGCAGTGGTTTTGTGACCTATCAGCCATCAGAAAGCGATAACATGTCCTTAAAGTCCAACTTCACAGAGAGAATATTAAAACATTTACTAAGAAAACATTTTTAAGACCAGTCTCTTAAACTTTGCTCTCAGGGTGTCAAGTGATGTCCAGGTATGAAACTCTTTCCCTCTGATCTTTCATAAACTGGTTTTATCCTCCTCCAACGATGGGAATTTAGTTGAGAAACTAGGAAACTGCCTTCTTCTTTTCTTGACACTGGAAGTACCAATATCTTGTCGTGATTGGCAATGGAGGATAATACAATCTGTGCAGAACCTGAACTGATGAGTCTTTGGTATTTCCGTAAATGGTGATAATGCTTCTTTGATAATTCCATAACTTCTTCCAGATATGTGTGGAAACACCACCATCCCGCCACTGGTTCCCGGCGTCCCCCACCACTTAAAGTACGCCTCGTCGTGGGTGGAGAAAGACGGCGAGTGGAAACCACCCAACATGGATTGCTTCTGGCTGGTCACGGCGCCCAACGACAGCGTCATCGAGATCAACATCCTGGCAACCAGCAAAATGGGCCCGGCACTGTACTGGGACTCGACGGCAGAGGGCGTGAACGAGGACGCGGCTAAGGCTTTGAGTTCCGGGTCATTAGTCAAAACCACCTACGTGGACGCCACGGGCATTTGGATTTATGCTGACCTGTCGCAAGAAAATGATGCTCCCGCCATGCATGTTGGGACAGTGTATGAACTTCAGCTGACCGCCTACAGAAAACGAGGTCAGTTATTGTTGTACGATTAAACAAAAAATCTAATTATTAGGCAGGATTACCGTGGGGCCTCGTAGCCGAGCGTGGAGCTACGGAGTGGAAGGTTGGCGGTTCGAATCCCAACAAATCGGCATATCACAGCTTGATACCAACCCGAATCATCAATCACATAGCTTACACATTCATGTTAGATCAGGTTCACAAACTGGAATTGTGTTGCCCTTTTTTCCCGAAGAGTGTGGAGTCGACGAGTTTCAGTGTCTGAATCAGGAGTGTCTGGCGGGTACCAGACGATGTGATGGTATTCCGGACTGCAGACTACACGAAGACGAATACGGATGCGGTGAGTAGATAAGCTACATGTATATTCAGAGAACTTAGCGGTTCAGTAAGATTTTCTTTTGATAAACAAAGTCATTATATTCGATGCAATTTATTTTGACAAAGCAAATCGATGTTCTGTTGGGAATGAAATTAAATAAAATGTAAAAGTAAAAGTCTGTCACGAGCCAATATGGCCCGTCAGGCCGGTGTTTATTTCCAGTTTCCTCGGCATAAAACGACTGAGAATATTCCTATTCCCCCTAGATGGGATGCTAGTCCATCGCAGGTTACTCCCTAGCTAATGCCAGTACCTATTTACACTACTGGATGGAGAGAGGCAAGTGGGAGTGAATTGGCTCGCCCAGGACATTATGGCCAGCAGGTGGATTTGAACCCCTGACCCCCTGATCATGAGTCGCAAATCCACCCTAACCTCGCACCCCTTCCCCAATGAAACTAAAGGAAATACATTTTTAAAAAACCAGGACATGCTGCCAATAATTGGGACTCAGTGATTGCTTAGCACAGCTATTCTAAATTAGTAGCAGATACATACACATTGAAATTGCTCGAAGGGAAAGATCTTGATGATCAGTAAAACAAAATATGTTCAATTACTCACAACTATTCCCTCCCTTCGACAGAAGAGAGCTGGTGTGCAGACAGGTACCTTTGTGCAAGCAAGAAGAAGTGTATTCCATCACATTGGGTGTGTGACGGGGAGGGAGACTGCCCATCTGACGATCTATCCGATGAATTGGATTGCGGTGAGTAGAACAGTTGAGTTACCAACGGTAAACGAAGCCAAACTATGAGCTCCTGCGCTACCAAAAGATGACGCCCTTTTACCTAACAACGGCGTCCCTTGGGCGGGACATTTCGCTGGTTGACGCGCACCGCTCCTTGTGTGTGACGCACGTTCACCAGGGGATTTGTTCTATTTACACGCAGTGGCCGCGCTTCGCGGCAAATGAATTGCAGTCAGGCAAGATGGCGTCGGTCGGTCACCCCCAACTGTACTTCCTTTGCCGGTGAGGGGGTGCTTGTGAACGGAGCGGATACCGACGCCTAAGGGCACTTTGCCATTTCCTTCCTGCGACCACGTAAAAGTGCGTTCTTCCCAAGCAAAGCCAACAGTGAGGTCCATGCTAAATTTAGGTACAGGGTTGGGGCTACATTTATGTATTTGGTGTTACTGTTGCTGCTTAAAGCCTGATCACTCCACGTCAACAACAACGTGGTCTCTGCTCTTTTTCCCAGGACGTTGCGGCAACCCTTACATTCGCCTCAGCCCGGAACATCCACTCCTCCTCACTCAACCAATCGACATTACGGTGGACTGCTTGTGGATGATCACGACTTCCACTAACCGTTCACGTATACGTGTGGATATCGTCAACCTGCCCATCAACGAGATCATTCGTGGCGATCCGTTCCTAAAGGCAAAGGTGACTTTCGGCTACGGCGGCCTCCCGTACGTCGGAACAACGGTTGCCCGGATATTGTCTCAATCCCGAGCCTACCCGAAAGTGATGACGTTCGATGGCCCCGAACTATGGATTATTTTGGACATTGTGAATAATGTGATCAGCACGCCCGGTCGCCTGCGGCTCGAGCTGCGTATAACGGAATACGATATGCAAGGTTAGAAATTCTTCCCATAGACCTTTCTTTTGCTACACCAGCTTGGCTAACAATGGCCACCATCATTGCAAAACAAAATGATAATTTATTTTATCAAAATATGTCATAAACCCTTAAAACAACTACATACACTAAATAATTAGCAGACACTACAAACAATGCAGGTACCTCTCTAATGGGAGACTATTGAATCGTTGGTGGCAGCAAACACACCCGTCCTTTTCAATTGTGTTTGCTAAAGCGCGCACACTCAATATGACGCAAACAATGGAAAAAAGCCTGACCGGTGTCTTTGCTGCCACCAACGTCTCAAAAGTCTTCCATTACAACTGATGATGCAAATGTGCCATTTATGGCAAATTCTTTTGCCTTCTATGGTTGAGGTTGAGGACTATGAAACTGACAACCGCAAACAATTAAACGGCTCTCAATAATTGTAATCGAACGAAGACCTTCTGTATATCAGTTATTACTTGTTGTGATTATTTTACGATATTTTGGAAGCGTTGCCGAACAAAGGGTTATTGAACATATTTTCTGTGATTTTGTTTGAAAACAGATTGCAGGGAAAACATGTTTTCTTGCTCGTCCGGTATTCTGTGCATTGATAAAAGCAAAGTTTGCGACGGGAATGTCGACTGCCCAGAATCAGATGATGAATTCAACTGCGGTAAGATTTGTTATGTATAATTAATTTTACAAATACATTTCATTGTTCAAATTACAAACAATCCAAACAATTGTTGATCTGAACGAAGAAAAATTGAGAAAATGATTAACTATTACCAAGAAATGTGTACCAGAAATTTCGAATCGCATTATTTATGAAACTATATCCAAATTCTCCATGATTCACATTAATCCCAACTGTTCATACCGTTTTTCAGCTTTGATTTTTTTGGGGTTTGTTTTCAATATTGACAACAAACATCAACTTTACTGTATATTGCATCGCAATAAATTGACGTTTTGCGATGTGATACTTCTTTCCCCTTTCAAATTTTCAAGGTACATGTGGAGAGTCGGAATACAGATGCAGGAAGAGTGGCGAATGTGTTGACTCCTCGAAGATGTGTGATGGAGACTACGCCTGCATCGACCGATCTGACGACGGGAACTGTGGTAAAATCGGCTTTAATTTGTTGTCAAAAAGCTTTATAAATCCATCCCAAACATTTTAAAGACTCTTGATGGGAAAACATTTTCCGCAATGAAGGAAGATCTAACAGAGTTTACCCGTTACCAATCATGTTCTGAGCACTAATAGTACAAATTCTAGAGGAATAGAGGTATCTAATATTGAATTTGCATTACAAATTTGTCTTGGGGTTATTTTTTTTTTTTTTTTGAGCCAATGCGAGTTGCCTACCAAATGATAGATACTTTTTTTAGGTGAGACATTTTTGGGAGTCGGTCCAGTTTGAAATTAGTACTAAGTGCTAAACGAGTGCCACGCCCTTGTCTTCATTATTTTGTAGAACCCTGTGGCAATACCATCATCGATCTATCACCGCGTCCCCAGACTCTAACCTCAGTCGGGTACCCAGAGCCCTACCAACCCAACAAGCACTGCATCTGGTTCGTCCACGCGGACCCAGGCTACGACATATTGGTCGTGTTCCTGGACTTCGTCTCCGAAGAATTCTTCGATCACCTGTACGTGGGCAACGGGACCCACCCGGAGCCGCTGGCCAAATTCTCGGGTCCGCGGGCGCCGGCGAGGGTATCGCTTTACTCCGAGGATATCTGGCTGTCGTTTTGGTCGGACTACATTTACCAGTATCGAGGTTTTAACCTCAGTCTGGAGCTGGTAGAAATGGGTGAGTTTGCTTCTGCATTCAATAGGGGACTTTGAGAAATAGAGGACAATAGGGTCCCCAATTCCCGAGAGGTCCCCAATTTGGATTCGTGTACAAAACATATGGGAGGTCTTCCTAAAAACTTAAAGCACAAACAAAAGAGGGACACAACAGAATTTAAAATGATAACTAAATGTATGGATGACTGGTCATGCTATTTAATGCATCACAGCCCAACAGCAGATGTGAGCTGTTACAGGATTATATGAAAGAATTACAGGAACGAAACAGACACCGAATCCCATTCAGTACAAGGTTATATAACCATGGAAATGCAAATTTTAAGTACAATGGAAAAGGCAATGAAGCCTGTACACAACACATACACACGTACACGCATGGGTGTACAGCTTCATTGATAGTTGTGCCTGCAAAGACAGTAGCCACGTTGTGCGTGACAGAATCTAGCCCCATAAATGTGGCCAATTTACTGGACTACTGAAACATCTGAAAAAGGCAGCACTTTCTGGTTAGCCTTATAAAGAGGGTGAGTATGCTTCTAAATCAAAAATATACTACAAACTAAGCCTAAATATGAAAATCAAAATTTGACAAAGTTCGACATGTTTTTGTACATGGTGGAAGTGTGGCCTTTATTTACGGAGGTATTCCAGTAAATTGGCCACATTTATGGGGCTAGACAGAATCAAACAAAAAGAAGTTATTACAGCATCAGCATCACCGGGTTAGGAGTCATTAAGCAGTTAACAAGGTGTAGATTTATAACTTGCAGCAAAGTGAGGTGAATGCTTAGAAATATTAAGTCTAATGAATCGAATGCATTAAGTATGAGATTAAAGTGAATGATGATTATAGGTGAAATGAAATGATATGAATAAAACAAACGACAATAATTACTTGATTTAAACCGTTTGGGTTGGTCTTTAAAATTGCCATCTGGTGTTTTCTAACTATCGGGGTCAGATTTAATTTATTTTTAATTCATTACTATATAGTAAAAGTTCGGAAAGATTCCCATATCTAGTCTGGCCATCAGTAATTTTCCCCTTAAATGACCTATCAGCCATCAGAAATATGGGAATTTTCCACAAGTTCATTTGTTAAGAATTATACAATAGTGAAAAGGACTCCTTAACCCAAAACTCATGCTCTAATTCAAATGTACTTATTAAATCAACAAGAAAGACATACATATTATAGCTGATGTGAAACAATAACGAGTACTATTCTCTACACATTAATCACCGCTTCGCGGTTCTTATACCCGAAAACAGTTATAAAATGCTCGTTAATGAGTGAGATACTTCTGGTGAAAAAATGAAGCGATCTATATTTTCGAAATTATTTTAAAAAAAGAAGAATAATCTTCTTTCTCCATATAGATTTAATGTTTGTCTCATTCTCCACAAAGATTCAAAGATTTTCTGTTGGTAATCTTTCGTAACAATGCCTCTGATGAAGCATCCGAATTCATGGTTTTTGTTTGTTTTCGTTTGTACTTTCGTTCCTCAGTTTCTTGCTTGGAAGGCGAGGTAGCCTGCAATGGCACCGCCTTGTTGGTCTGTATCAAGGAAGAGGTGGTCTGCGATGGCAGAGGCGACTGCCCCGACGCCACGGACGAAGAGTACTGCGAAGGTCAGTCCAAAATGAAACCTGTTACACTGTAAAAAGGTTGGATAAAACACTGTTGGGCGATGTAATTTACCCAGCATTGGTATGAAATTACCTCATATTAGGTTGCATTGGGTAAAAACTATCAAACCATTGGGAAGAATTTGCCCAAGAGTGTAGGCAGTTGATGATTCGACCAGCATTGGTCGAATTTTCAACCCATTTTGCCCAACTTTTTTACAGTGTAACCGCTTAATTGACAGTAAATCAAACACATTTGTGCATAGATTTGAATATTGACCGTTGGTTTGGTTAAAGATATATCGGCATAATGAGGAAGAATACATTCAAGGAAGCACGCGTTCCTTAAACCCTTTATTTGTCACAGACTTTCTTCAGTTGTTCCTTGTGATTTTCTCTCCAACGAGAAGCAGGATACGGAACATTCTTTACCAACATTAGCTCTTTTTGAAAAACAAAGCATCATTTTGATAATGGGTGGTAAATGTCAATTTAAGCCCCAATTACTCCGTTCATCGCACACAAGTGTGTAAACACCATCAATTGTGGACCCCAAAGGCCCCTCTTTTTTCCAACTTTCATTCGGGAGGTAACACACTGAGTATACAGTGTTTATACGTCGGTGAAGGGCAAACCTTAATTGTTGGATGTTTAGGAAGACCGTCAATATGTTTTGTACACGATCGTCAATCGTGGACCTTGTGGACCATATTGTGGGAATTGTGGACCATATCTTCTTCCAATGTTCCACGTCCCCTATTGGATACAAACCCATACACAGTTGCACGCATTGAACCCACATTCAATAGACCCTAATGTTAGTTACTACTGTTATGGAGTGGCATTATGTGGCCTCCGTATCCCCATTGTACGATGTGATTACGGGCCATTAATAAACCACTTTCAGTGAATGCTACACTTGAGTCCTGCTGTTTTTAGAACAACTACGGGGCCAGGTAATTTTCACCGCTATTAGAGTAACCTCTAATAAATGTTGATTGTAATGTCAAGAATCAAACATTTGTAGTGTATTTTGTCACATCAGATATTTGTGGTGAGACTCTTATCGACCTGTCAGGGAAATCCGAGTACCAGCTCTACTCGACTCTGTACGAGCGAGGCGCCTACCCCGACAAAGCCACCTGCGTCTGGCACTTCCGCACGGACGCAAGACGCGAGAAGATCAGACTCGACATCCAGTCCTTTCATCTGGAGCAGAACTTCGACTTTCTGCACCTTGGGGTCGGAAACGACAGCCGCGAGGGACTGGTCGCGAGTCTGACCGGGACCACCGAGATAGCCGGGGTGTGGTTCGAGAGCAGCGAGATTTGGCTGAAGTTCGAGACCGACTCTAGCGTGTCTGAGGCCGGTTTCCACATCACCTTAGTAGCTGTTGGTGAGCCTTAAAGACTATATCTTCAAGTATAAAAACTGATTCAATTTGCAACATCCAAAGTGAAAGCACAGTGGTTTAACCGTGAGATGAACCTTCTATCTTTAGTATCGATAGACCTACCTTGGATTGAACATTATGCTATATAGTTTGTTGGTTTTCCAATTCAGTCCATAAGTTACCGATCATAGTATTCTTCATATATAAGGTGAATGACTTTTACACAGGAGTTGAGCGCAGACAATTCCTTCAACCCGCAAAGGTAACCGCTGATTAGTCGTTATAATAATTGCAAAATTAGGTGGCCAATAGCCATTCTAAACATCAACTAAGGGTTAATTAACTAAAAGGCAGGTTGCCTCAAAAAGCGTTAGCTGCGATGGGCCAATATTATGGTTCACTGAATAGTTAATAGATTGTGACGTAAAAAATATGTAAATCGAGATGTAATTACATCTCTCTACTAGGAACGTCCTCTTTCTCAGCTAACTTTGGTCGAAAGTCCACATCTCTGTTTTGTTATTTCCCGCACTTTTTGTTGCAGATAAAGCTGAGCTTACTTCGTGCCGTTCTAGTTGCTCGCACTTTGAGGACACGACGCTGTGCCTGCTTCCCCACGCGTACTGCGACGGCATTTCCGATTGCATGGATTCCAGTGACGAAACCAATTGCGGTACGTAGCAGTAATATCAAGTGGACGGTCAGCCCAACTGGGGAAAAATGTAAAAAATATCTGATTGGACAGGTCAGTCATACGTCATCCAGTCTTAAATCAAGGTGGTTACCTGATAGTGACGAAGACATTTTAAGATCAATGCTTTGTCCAGTTTCTTGCTTTGGCATTACTCATCATTTGGTTTATGATCCGCTTGTGAATTGACTTGTGACTGACTTGTGATTTGATTACGGTGATTCAGCTTGTGGTTTGACTTGTGATTTAACTTGTGATTTGACTGGTGATTTGACTTGTGAATGTCTTGTGATGTGACATGTGATTTAACTCGTAATTGGCATGGGATTTGACTTGTGACTGACTTGTGAGTTGATGACCATGATTTAGCTTGTGATTTGACTTGTGATTGGACTTGTGACTTGATCTGTGATTGCCTTGTGATTTGACTTGGGATTGACTTGAAATTTGAGCTGTGATCGCCTTGTGATTTGATTTCGGTGATTTAACTTGTGGTTGACATTTGATTTGACTTGTCTTTTGGCTCGTGGCTCAACTTGTGATGGACTCGTTACTCGACTTGTGATTGACCCATAGCTCAACTTGTGCAAAGCTTTAACCATTCTCGTTAGAAGCCTATTTAAGCCACCCCACCCTTCAATTGTTTTTTTTAATCTAAATATATTGTGCCTCGTGACCAATAGTCAGTTTGAACTGTAGCTTGGACCTGTACGTGTGCTTGGGGAAGCAACAATGCCTTCTTTGGGAGTCGGTATGCGATGGTCGGAAAGATTGCCACCTATACCACGACGATGAGAAAAACTGCGGTAAGTCTTCCTATTGGTTCAGCATTACGTTCTTTGAATTCAATCTGACAATTTTAAATTTCCACCGCTGTTTCTAATGTTTCTGCTTTGAAGAATAATCTTTACCAGCAGATATCTAAATATCTGCTTGAATTTTCCTAAATAATTTGAAACAAATTGTTGATTCGTTCTCCACAGATGTGCACGGCTGCCCCAAGGGTTGTAATTGCTTCATATACGAAGAGGGGCTGAATGTTAAATGTAGTCACGGTTGGAGCTCCGCAACTACAGCTCAACTGGCTAAAATAACAGACGCATTGTAAGTATTCGGTTCGAAAGGAAATATAGGCTGACAAGAGTTACTATGGTTACACATCGAGTAATCAGGAAAAACTGTGTGTATTAACTATAGACTGTGTTAATCCCGTAACTTAATTCGCAGACATTATCGATATGGCACAATGCATGCCCACGGACATTTATGTCGTGCTTTGTTTTTATTCGACGTGCGGGCCCATTTCTCGCAAGTTATTAATAATTCCGGAGTCTTCTATAGCGCACGTATCTACCAACAATTATCTACCCAAGGCGCTGGTAATTATGTCTACATGTATGTTTAAAGACAGGTAAATGAAGTTGATGAGAAATGTGAGACCCATTATGTAGCACCTTTATAGGGGTTTATAAGGTGCTGCGGCGCATACTGCAGCCACTGCCAGAAACACCGGGGCAAACCCCTTCTCTTTAAGCGATAAGGGGTTCTTTCACGTGCATTACACAACACACGGGACCTACGGCTTTACGTCCAATCCGAAGGACGAAGGAATAATGGTAAAGTGCCTTGCTCAAGAGCACAAGGACCATTTTTTCCCGTCAGGATTCGAACCCACGTACATAACACAGTATTGGTGGGAAGATTATGGACATTATGAATTTGTATTCTATGGAACAACACTTGACAATTTACAAATTACTTTTCTGTTGAAGCTGCATGTTCTGAAGGAAAGTTTACTCAAATGCTTAGAATTCAACCTGTCAAAATATCCAGCAATATATTTTTTTCCGGGTAATTTGCAGAGCCTTGACTGGCGCCAATATGAGCACACTGGAGGCGGGACTTTTTAAGAGACTCGGGTCGCTACGCACTCTGTAAGTATAACGATGGATATAATTAATTGATGAATAATTGTGTGTCAGTTCGAAGTTTGTTCGTCTATACCCCAAGTTGATAAGATAATTGTCTTAAGAACCCAATCCAATTGTAAATCTGAAACAAGAATGTCGATTAATATCAATGCTTAAACTCGATACTGAAACTTCATATTTTTTATTGATTTTATTCTAGGTATTTACGGGGCAACAACATCACCAATATCCACATGGATGCCTTTTCAGGCTTGAGGAACCTTACGTCTTTGTGAGTATATCGAATAATAATACAACATCTGCTTTTCTATTCAATACTGTGTAAGATTGTTTATTTCAAATATTGAACAGATGGCTATACAGTTCTCGGTATTCAAGTAAAAGAAGGTGTTGCTTCGTTTCAATCAGAAATATCTTGTTGTGTTTCATTCAGGGACATCTCTGAAAACAACATTTTCGAACTGGCAGGGGGAATGTTCCGCGATTTACCTCTGCTGACATTTCTGTAAGTAACTGCACTTCAGTAATAATTGTAAAATGCATCCCATTTCCTGAAGCCTTGCAGAAGGTGACGTTTAAGTCACGGGGCTATAAAATGCGCAATTTATATGTTTTTATGTTTTGTTATTAGGGGAATGCATTCAGTACCAATGCAATACATAAGAAACAACGCATTCGATGGATTGACACGGCTGAAGCAACTGTAAGTGCATTTATGTTTTGTTTAAAATGTACAAGTCTGAGAGAATTGTAGCTTAACAATGTCGTCAAGTTTCAATTTTGTTTTAACCCTTTGAGCTTCAAGCCCAAAAACTTTACGCGGAATGGCCACGGGGAGAATTTTATCACCACACGTGTTTCTAGGTCAATAACCCCCGCATGCCTGTACATGCACAAGATATAGGTCATTCACATCATCAGGGATTGTTTACAACTTGTCTGAGCTCTGGGCGGCACAAGGGGTTGACACAAAGAGATCGGCGGCACAAAAGGTTTGGCCGCCATTTTCTCCAAGTACTGCACGAAGGCATGAGCCGCCATCTTGGCCTCTGTCTTTCAACACTCCTTACTCCAGAGTGGCTAGGGTCTGGCCAATGGGAGTCTACAGGCTTGTGGTGTATAGTAGGGGTGAGGATTACATGGAAGCTTGGCCTAATTGGCCCATTGAAAAAAATTATGCCCATATTTGGAAAATGTGGAGAATTTTATCGTCCGCTCGCTGCGCGAAGGGTCATTGCTATAGTAGTAATAACAGAATTTTAAAAAGGAATATCAAAGACAAAATGGTAGGACGCTATTCAATGTGACAACAATGACACAAACTGTGAATGTCTGCGAGTGAATGACGTTTATTATTGAACAATTGATTAATTCTTGAAATGATCGTTGTCAATTGCAGGGTGCTGATGCGTGGCAATGGTAACTCCAGTGGGTCGAGTCCATACGGCGAAGCAACTTTAATAGAAGGCGGGGCACTCGGTGATCTTCATTCCCTCCAAAAACTGTAAGCGTTCGTAATGGTGGACAAAACGTGTTTTGGTAAAACTCGCATTGGTTTGGTAGAACACGCAACCGGCACGATTTTATGTGATTTATGATCTGACCATGAAGTCGAGTACATCACAAGTCCCTGCAAATCCTCCAATCCCACTTCAACTCACGGATATTAAGTTGTTTTGAATTATTGTTCACTTGTGACAGGACTTGATTGTGATTTACTTGTGACGGGGCTCGCAATTTTCTGGTGACTAGATTTGTGATTTACTTGTGACTGGGCTTGTGATGGATTCAACTTCATGTCTAGATATGACGGTGGAAACATATACCTATCTACCTTTAAAGAAAAGGTACAACGATTTTAGAATAAGTTGTTAGTTCCTTTTCCTGCAATCATCAAGTGTGACTGAGGATGAACCTTTATTTTCCCATACATTAGGTACGTAGACGACCATCGCCTGTGTTGTAACTTCAGGTCACTGCTTCCAGATGACGAACGCTGCATCAACACCCAGCTTGAGTCACCGCTGTTCAACTGCGGCCGGCTGATGCCCAACACTGTCCTGCAGGCCTTCATGTGGATCCTGGGCTTTAGCGCCCTCATCGGCAACCTGGTGGTCATCGCCTGGCGGATTCGGGAGGACAGCGGCAAGGGCAGCAAGTACGTGCACTCGTTTCTGGTGCTGAACCTGGCCATGTCCGATTTCCTGATGGGCGTGTACATGGTGATCATCGCCACCGTCGACGTCATCAAGAAAGAGGAGTACTACCTGGTGGCTACGGAGTGGAGGAACAGCGCCCTCTGTAAGGCAGGAGGAGTCATGTCAGTTCTGTCCTCGGAAGCCTCCGTGTTTTTCATCACCCTGATCAGCGTGGATCGCTACCTGTGCATCGTCCATCCGTTCAGCCGAGTGCGCCTCAAAGAAAAGTCAGTCTGGGTATCCGTAGCCTCGATTTGGGTGGTTTCCTTGCTAGCCAGCCTCGTTCCAACAATCCTAGTAACCAAAGACTCCGACGTCTACGGTTTGTCCGATGTGTGTATTGGTTTGCCTTTGCTCACCAGACCCGTAGACTTTAGATTTGACCAAGCCGATATCGGAGACGCTTTGGGCAACGATACCTATTTGGTACCTCAGCCCATCGGTAGTAGGCCAAGCTGGTCCTACTCCATTGTGCTTTTTCTGGGAGTCAATCTCATCTGCTTTCTCTTGGTCACCGTGTGCTACGCCGCCATCTTCAGCAAGGTCAAGAGGTCAATCCGACGCGTGAAACGCCGCCACGCGCCCAAGGAAGAAGAGGTCAAGATGGCGATTAAAATGGCCGTCATCGTGGGCTCCGATTTCCTCTGCTGGATGCCTGTCATTATTCTTGGCATCCTGTCCCAGACCAGTGTGATTCAGATCCAGCCGGATGTCTACGCCTGGCTGGTAGTCTTTGTCCTGCCAATTAATTCCTCCCTCAACCCATACCTCTACACGATCGTCACAGCAATCAGTCGTAGACGCCAGGACCAACAGGCTTCCAAGAAGAACTCACAGAAGCCTAAAATAGCTATCTTCCCCGCCCTGCCTCTCCTGGATCACAAGCAAGACTATAACCAGTGGACGGCACCCAGTCCCAGCCCCACTGCTTCGCCCAACAGCTCAATGAACTTGATAAAACAAAACTAAAATTATCTTGGACCATTTTATCATTGACTTTTAATGTCACTGTCATTACACCGTGTAAATATCTAACTTTTACCAGAAGCTTATTTTGTGAATTAATAAATGGAAGGTTCGACAACCATTACAGTTTTTAAATTGTGCAATGAGTGTAGATCGGAAGCAGCTCTTTGTCATCATAAAAAAATAATCCCTAATTGGACCTCTACTACAACTTTCATGTTAATTCGCATTAAATGGAACTTCAGCCCGAATGTCGTCTGGCCATGCGCCAACATCTTCTAAATAACAGGCTAAATACACACTTGTCTCACTCCTTTTTATAACCTGTCTCATAAAAACGAACTTCAAATATATAAACTTGAGTTGTGTGGGTTTTTTTGCAGTTATCATTCATAAACACCTGTAACAGCTTACCCATTTCTATTGGTCCAGAGCCCGTCACTAGGTCAGTTTTAAACGGTTGATAAAGACTTGCTGGCCGGTCTTAAACACTTTTCTAGTCTCACGTGAAATTCGGAATCCCATGAAATCCGGTGCCTTTTACCGTTTTATTGTTTGAACTGTCACAATCCCCACGTATAGGCATGCGCAATACTACCAGTGAGACAGTTTTGGTAAAATGATGTATCTCACTTGAAGGACATTTTGAGAAAAAGTGATTTAAAGATTGAAATGTTGCTGTTTTGGTCTTTAGGTCTTCAAGACTGTGAAGCAGTCATTTTCTGATGTCTAAGCAACTAATATTTTGTTTTCTTACATAATTCACTAAATTTCGTGGATATTTCTAGAGATATAGAATGTTTTTGGAAGATACATCATTTTACTAAAAACGACTTCCAATGGAAAGCTTGGATTTGTTACGCAGTAATAATGTATGTGTACATATCATTTGAAGAGACTTAAAAACGAAACAGTCTGCATTTAAGCCTGTGAAAGGGTAATTTTGTTTATGATGAAAATAATGCAAACGACTTTCCCCAGTTTACTTACATATCAGGGGAAACAAATGGGATATGCATGAATTCAAACCAACAGTGCTATTTTGGTAAAATGGTGTATGTCTGACATGCACAAACAATTAACGAGACTTTAATTACCAAAAATGCTGTAAGTAAAAGATACACCATTTTACCTTGTTTGTGAGATTTGCAAACACAGATATATGTCACGTATGTCAGACTTGCATTATTTTTCTTAAAAAAAGCTGCACTAGTTAAGTTTTCCACGCTGAGATACATATAATATCTTTTAAACGCTTCATTTCTTGACTCTAATATTTTCTGAATCGGAAACAGCGCCCTCACTTTACCGGGATTTGACTCTAACTCAAACTCGCCCAAAAATCGACTTACATCATTTTACCAAAATAGGGCCGCAGTATTTCATAGGCCTAATATACAAAATACACCGGCACAGCTGCGTTTTGCGGCACAGCTACGTTCTGCGGCACAGCTGCGTTCTGCGTCACATTGCACAATACGCGCGACGCTCGCACCAATCTTGATTGTTTACGTCTACTCGCGAGCAAGACACTCAGAATTACAGCTACAGAGGTGTTTCGAAGAACAAATCGTAGAAAAATGGAAAATATTTGACTTGCTTGGACCTTTGAATACAAAAGTGTAGATTGTTTTGACAGAAAAGGTTTATGAATTACCAACATTCAGACTCCAGCTGGTTTTAAACAGAGTCTTGAAAACTGGCCAAGCACACATTTATTCCATTTTTGTTGTCGACACTAACGGGCTTTCATACCACGGAAACCACTTTTAAATATCTGAGACAAAACATGTGAACAAGACTAGTGGGTGCAAACAGTGTTTAAACTCTAAGCATCATTGTAACGTCGCGCGTCGATTTTAATCATGCGCGTCAATCTTTTTTTTTTCCAAAATGTTCCGTGGTAGCTCCAACAGCGCCCTCTATTGCCGCACCTCCTCAATTTTTTTTACCAAAGAGCACCAAGGAATGGGAAATTGCACCAAGGCAAATGATCGAGAGCACCAAGGCAAATTATGGAGGACACCAATGTACATGAGGACACCAAGTAGCAAAATAGTACCCCACCTTGTCTGTACAATCCAAGCTTGAAGAAAGAAAAAAAAGCCGCGTCCCCGCGTCAATTCCGGAACTTTGGTCTGACCAGAGACCGAATAATTTTTTTTGGGGGGGGGGGCCTTACATGCCGTGCTGTATTGTAGCTCCTATAATTGAAATATCGAGAAAGAGTCATATTTTTCACTTGACAAAAAAGGTGGGGAGGCAGTCAATCAATGAATTGTAGCAAGACCGTAATATCAGCAATCGGGAGCGTGTGACGCAGTTCGATGTTCGCCCATTGCCGGCTACGGTGCAAAGTCACGTTTTGCGAATTTTGTTCGTGAATGTATGGCCAATGAATTAACTAGCTTGATCGTCAGAGATTGGTGGTGACACGACCAATGGCATTGATTGTGTACCTAATTACCGTTGCATTATATTTATATCATGTTCACGTGGTAACGGTCTGCCATTCGAGGCGCGGGACTCGGCTGACGAGACGACGATGCGTTTAGCACTTCTAATTTTAGGTAAGGAATTGTCTTATGTTCAGTCTTATTTGTTTTTGTCCTTGGAACACCAAAACATGAACTGTTTATTATTATTTTTTAATCAGGCTGTTATATTCATTTTAAGCAAATGGCAGCAGCAATCTATCAGAAACGGCAAACGACAAAATAAAAATTAAAAATCGGCAGGTCAGGGAGGAAGATTTCGAATGGAAAATTTCAAATTCCAGACTCTCGATAGAACCCTTTTAAGAAAACTACTCTGTAAAAACAGTGGGGTTAGACTATCGTGCGGTAGGGTGACTGCTCTATGTTCCGACGCCCCTATGTTCCGACAACCTAGATTGTGTTACTCCCGGTTAGGGTTAGGGTTAGGGTTAGGGTTAGGGTTAGGGTTAGGGTTAGGGTTAGGGTTAGGGTTAGGAATAGGAATATGTGCAGTCGGAACATAGGCGAGTCGGAACATAGAGGTGTAACCGTGCGGTAGGGTGGTCCAAATAAAAGTGACCTGGATTAATTTTGTTTCTTAAAAACCAGTCAAATTTGATGCACCACTGAAGAATATCTTTGCATGATGTTCATCCACTCATTTGAAAAAAATATAATTGTTGAAATTAATCCATGCTATCCGAAGTTATGCCGGTTTTTCTAAAAGAACCTATTTTTTGTATAGTTGTCCATGGAAGGCCATTAGAAGCTATTGAGCCGAGTGACAATTACAGATTACACACAGGCATTCAAATTTGGGTCAAGACTGAATCATTGCTTTTACTGCCAGATTGTGTGTTTGAATATTATGAGGACCAAGTCAACTTGTCTTTCCCTGAAATGTTGATGGCGATTTTTGTATTTTTTTACCTTTGTGAGTTTTCGTTCATTCATGGAGGTGGGAAACTTCCATGTTGCATTGTATTTAATGGGCGAATAACCAGTTCGTAGAACGGTAAATGGTCAGTGGTAGACAGCTAAATTTTGTGATCTCCCTATTAAAATACGAAATACTTGGCAAATTACTTCGGTCACTTTCTCTTTCACTCACCATGAAGAAGCAAATTTGTTTAGGGGGAAAAAACCCAAATAGCAGGGTTCGTTTTAGCGGTAGCCTGCTAGCCAAATGCTAGTCAAAACAGCAGCGGGCTAGTCAAACTATTCCTTAAGTAGCCCGACTGGCAAGTCAAAAATTATTGGGCTACTGCAAAGATGAAAGGACAGGGAGAAATGAATCATTAAATTCAGAAAAGCAAGCATGTATCAATTTGTGTCTAATATGATTAACTGTTCGGGGAGAAAATATGCGACCGAAAATGAGGAATGTCCCCCTAAACCTTGTTTTGAGTTATCAACGCCTGAAGTCGGATATACTAGAAATATCGTGTCAAAATCGATATTGATTGTTTTGTAGTTTTGAGTAGCCAAGGTAGCCAAGATTCACACTATGCATTTTTGTTGGGAAAAAATGCCCACAAAAGTGGAAAAACTGAAGAACGTTTTTTTACTGACGTTGGTGGCGCAATGTGTGTCTTTTTTTCAAAGCCGTTTTTCTCGAAATGAGGTTAGCAAAACTTGGCAGGACACTGTTGAAGTTCCTGCGTCATATCTTTGGAATAAATTAAGCTACAGAAATAAATTTGGTATCATTGGAAAGCCAATAATTTGCGTTTTAACATCATGTACATAATGTGAAAAGTCAAAGATGGGGGTTATTCCTCATTATGCCATGGCAGGTCACATATGATCTGTTCATTAAAACACTGACAAGATTGCCTCAGGATACACCTTTTTACATGTATGTACATTGTTGTTTATGAGACACTCTATAAAAGAAAAAAATCAAGCGGGCTAGTGATAATGTCCGCGGGCTAGTTTTTAAGAGTCTGTTTCAGTAGCCCGCCTGGATAGTGAAAAAAAGTTAACGTCGAACCCTGAATAGCGTTAATTTCCATCGCAGTTTGTAGTTTAGGTCAACTGATATGCATATAGTTAAAAACCGATATAGAATATGATATAAATTCATTTAAAGACAGTATGCACAAAAGTCATGTAATTACTCGGAAACCTACCTAAAAATGAATGAGAAAATCCTTGATAGAAGTGGAGACAGAGGTATGGTCCCAAATACCTTTTGAAATTATTCCGCCAGAAGTTTTTTTCCAACGATCGAAAGAAACAACCATTGAAGGTGGTTTTTCAAAAATTTGCCGGCGAGCACATTTCTAACATGCGTTAACTTCGGAATCGAGTCACGAATTTCCCAAAACGTCTAGCCACTGACCTTAGATTTCAACAAGTTAGCTTTAAATGAACCCGACTTCAGATTAGTTGTTTCAAACGAAGACAAGAGATACTATGCTCCGGTACTTTAACAGCTGCACCTGTTATTTCATACGTTGTGACAGGTGTTTTGGTGGTGACCGAGTCGTGTAACATCTGTTACATGATCACCGAGCCCGATCCTACCGGCAAGATGCGATGGGTGTTCCCGTACCCCGATCCCTGCCACCAATGCGGCGAGATACGCCCCGGCGGGGTCAACATGCGTGCGCCGAAGCGAGCGTTCAAACCCGAGTACCACGACTCGCTGCTGATCAGTAGTGATCCTGCGGAGATCTGCAAGTTTCTGAATTGCAAGCCCAGTGAGTATCCCTTTTGCACTTCATATCAACAGATAGCCGAAGAGCGTCATTTTGTATGGGTTGCTTCAAAGGCATACAGCCTTGGTTGGCAACAGTTTGTGACACAAATTGCAAATTAACAATTACCGTCACTGTGCTAAAAGGAGGTTTTTTATAGGTTTTCCTTGCCAATTTCAGCCAAATTCAGATTTCTCAATTTTGTTGAAATTTCGTTTTCGCACACAAAAAAATGATTTCAATTTGGTTTTGCCATTAAGGTTCCTTTGAGTCAATCTATTTCTTTTATAACGATTCAAGATTACATTTTCACAATTAACAAACATTGAAGCAAGGGCGGATCCAGGGGGGGGCCAAAGGGGGCCATGCCCCCCCCCCCAAACGAAACCAATTTTTTTTTTTTATGTGACATCGCAATAAAGGCAGGCAATGAGTACACCACCATCTTTTCCTAAAAAAAACATTGGTTAAAGTGGTCAGAAATTGCCTCAGATCGCACCACAGAGCATCTAGAATCCAAAAAATTTTCGGGGCCCCACGCCGTAATTTTTTTGACCCACTTTTTTGGGGGGACCAAACATTTTTTTGGCCCCCCAAAAAAATTGTGTTCTGGATCCGCCTTTGCATTGAAGCGCATGATCCTTTTTTTTCGTTTCGAGGCAATCTATGTCAAACTCTGAGTGTTGAATTTACATTTGATATGGATTTTTGGAGTAGGCAATTTTTCCTTCACTGTAATTTGTTCTGAATTATATGCTTGTTCCATAACCTGATTTGAATAATTCTTTTATATCATTATTCTGTTATTTGTGTCTACGCCTGTCTCTTGAGTCCTATGAAATCAAGGCAGATTATATTTTTTGCTCGTGATTATGTGTACGGGTGCTTAATCTTTCGTTGTTTTTTATGTTTTAATATTTTGGACCATTTCAGATTAATATTAAAAAAAGTTTGTAGAAACAAAGGCAGTATCAACGTTATAACATGAAAACAAAAAAACGCATACTAAAGAAACGAACTTGAATGCACACATGTGAAAAAATATTTGCCAATTAATCAACCATACTTGATCAACATCTTTCTGATCCTGAAGCCTTCGACGAATTTGAATGAACGAAACGACTATTTGGATTTTAATGAACTTATTTCTCGAAAGACTGCTCAAATAACGAATGTTCGAATGCTTATAATAATGGGGCATTCGTTTTAAATAATTTGAATGGGTCTCGTCTTAAATTGAACAATTGGCCAGGAAAACCTATATTAAATCTTTGGTAGCGTCTGTTGGTTGTTTTGAATTTTAAAACTATTAAGGTATGTTTGGGAACTTTAATTACTATTCTCTATTTTTGACGACGTTGTCCTTCCACATTTTGCCTACCTGCGGTTGGCCAAAAATGTCAGCCACGGATTGGCAAGAGAGGGTTTAAAATAGAAGTTTACTAATCTGTTTTACGGGATCTGCGCAATGCAGTTCCGTACATCCGTGTCGGCGAGTGGGGGGGGGGGGGGGGTGTTACCAACATCCTAAAATTGCCCGGTAGTGGAACCTATAAAAGTAGAGGGGGGGGGGGGGGGTTGTCAGCCACATGGAATTAGGGGGTGCGGATATGATACACAGTGTACATTTCATGCAAACTAGTGCATTCCTGCCGTTCGTTTTCCGGTTTTTTTTTGGTTGGGCTGCATTTTAAATAACCTTAAAATCGGCATTTTTTGTCTAGTAGGCCTAAGAGTTGCTTGTACAGAGTTGCCTACTGACATATCACAGAGTCATTTCAAACAGCCGAAACAACTGTAGTTGTCCGCCAACACAATTTGTAGTTAGTGTTATTATTTTTTATTTCTAAACGGACAAGACAAACACCAGAACGACCAGTGAAAAGCTAGAATGTCATGACGATTCAATGGCGCCACAAAAACGACTTTCGGTGATAAAAGCCCGCTGTCAAATTACGGTTGTTTTTTTTGTATTGGAATATTAAATGAGCTACTTCCATTTATTATTGATTAACACCCAGATATTTACACAAAAGAACACAATCATTTACTGCCTGCCAATTCATCCTCTTTCCAAAATGATGATACGAAAAATCCACCCCCCCCCAAAAAAAAGGAATGAATTTGTTGTGGTTATTTTATTCACAATGCGGTGCACCGCGTGGTGCATGAGTGGGTTTAGAAACAATGCGAAAGTCACAAATAATATTTCATATAAAGATCACCTTTGAATATTTGACATCACGGTCTCGAGGAGGGAAAGGTAACAAGCAAAGTACGCGAAAAGCAGTCTGGTAAATTCTTAAATACTTATTTAATTGATAAAAGAAACTATTAAGTCAGGTGGCTTAGATATAATTTCTGACAAAATCGTGACCGACTGGTCCAAGTCACCGAACTTGCCAGATAGATTATAATAGCCCAATATGAAGAAGGGGTGACACCTGAAATTATATTAGGAAGATTGCATAATTTGCATAAATCGTAAATTATAGTTGCCGTGTAATATATTTATTCACATATTTTGGTACATTCTTTTATTGAAAAGTCTCTTTTGGGGATTCCACTTTATATCCTAATACTTAAATAACATTTTCTAAAGCATTATACAGTTAAGGGCCATGTTTTAATCCACGGAACTGGATATTCGTTTGTACCTGGTAGGTAACCAGACAGGGATAGGTTATACAGGCAAGTCAAGTGAAATTATGATGACGTCATCACGCGTCATGTGACTCACATTAAAGGGTATATTTTTATGGCCTAAATATATAGAACTATACGTCTGATTTAATTGTTACGTATTTTATACCTTGGTATAGACAACCGAAACAGCTGTGTTTGCATAAAAAAACACCACATTTCTAGTTAGTATAATTATTATGTTTTCTCTAAACAAACAAGACAAATACAGCAATGACAAGTGAGTAGCGAGAATCTAATTACCATTAATCGGCACCACAAAAACATCTTTCGGTGAACGTGAAAGCCTTCCGTCTATTTATCATTATTTTTTTTCCATTGGAATATCAAATGAGCTGCTTCCAATAGTAAAGGATTAACTGCGGCAATTTACACAGAAGAACACAACAATGTAGTGCCCATCATTTCAATCTCTTGCCAAGATGATGATACAAAAAATCTCCCCTTCTCCCCGAACCCGAGCTGCCGTCTTTTATAATTCATTCAAAGGAGCAAAACCATTGCGTGCAAACCACCTGCTTCTCTTTCTCTTGCCAAAATGTCAGCGAAGGGAATTATTTTCATCCTCTTTCTTTGGACCGTAATCACCAATTGTCGTTGATGAATTTCTCATGCTTGTTTATGCACACTGCGGTACACCGTGTCGCACATGAGTGGGTTTGGGAATAATGGGTTTCTCATGTAGTATTTCATAAAGATCACTTTTAGATAATTGAAATCAAGACCTCAAGACGGAAAAAATGTAATAAGTAAATTACGGGAAAAGCTGTCTGGTAAATTTTGAAGTACTTATTTACATTGATATGGGAAACTAAAAGGGATTGTTTTTAAAGTCTTAGCAGTTGTTGAGTCTGCCCACCAAATCCAACTTCATAAAAATGTCGGGGGGAAATCGTTTTTGTTCTCTACTAACAGAACGAAAACCCTGTTGACTAAAATAGCTTTTACATTGCGTTTTACATCAATATTAAGAGTGGCTTGCACAGAGTTGTCAACGCTTGAGGGCAACTGCATGTCAGTCAACATAGCGGTAATTCGTAAAACACCCCCCCCCCCCAAAGCAAAATAACCCCTTGGCTACGGGCTGATCTTTCATCCATTGCAATTAAAAACGATTGAAATCATTATCCTCACGCCTCCACCATTCGTAATATTATGTATCCATCTCCAATGCCTTGAATAAGGACGGACAGAGCACACTATCCAAAATGTCCAGCTCTTAACTCAACCAACCGGTTCTTTTCAGAACCACACTTCTTCCAAGAAGAGATTTCTTTCCACATGGTGTTTTCCGCAAACTTTCAAATTTATCTCATCCGGCATGCAAAGCTTCAACACTATGTTCCGTTGATCACGTAAGATACTTTGGTGTGTTTTTGTCTTGGTTAATAGTTTTTGTTTTTCTCGTGTTTTGTGAATTTCTTTTTTATGCAGCACTCGTCTGTGAGAATAGCAATTTCACCATCAGTTGTGACGTGGGAACCATCGACGTGAAGTGGGCCCTCTACGGTCGCGAAGACGGTACCATTGATTGTAAAATCAACAAAGCTGTACCGTGCGGCGATCCGACCACGTCTCTGACGACGGTGCAGGAAGCATGTCAGGGAAAACCTCAATGCGCCTTCCTTGCCGAAAACGACTTCTTTGGAGGAGACCCTTGTCAAAATGTTGGCAAGTACCTGGTTGTTCACTACCTGTGCTCGTGGGAAAACGTCCACTAAACAACGACTGTTTCATAATATGCCTCATGATGTTTGCATGTAGGACCTTTAACTGTGCTCATCGGCTTTAAGAACATCCACACACAGCTCATCGGCTAACGTTCACAAAACAGCATCTGTTTCGTACATCAATGTCCTGATGTTAGCAAGTAGTCGGTTCATTACCTGTGCCAATCGGCTTACACCTATCGGCTAATCACCGTTATGCATATCGCTCATCGGAAACATCTACTAAACAGTTACTTGTTCATGAACTCATATCCGGATATTGTAAAGTATCTGTGCTCATCGAATAATTCCCAATGGCTCCGGTCGGTCACAGAATGACTGGGGAAAAACTGTCAGGTTTTAAAATCACGAGTTCAGATGCGGTCATTTATTTGACTGTCATTAAGTTTAAAATAATAATTAAAAAAATAATACGAATCACCTTGTTCAGGCTGGAAAAGTCATATCTTGTTGTAGACGTGTTCCACTTTCTTGAACATATTCCGTTTTGATGTACTGCAAAATGCTAATACGTTCGACTTTGAATTATGACAAAACATTTTGGAGAGCAAAGCCGAAGGGAATGCATCTTCAGTGGATACATCACAATGCTTACGATTAGTCAAGCTGTCTATTTGTATAGTTACCAATTGGGAATTTCGAATTGTGATTCTAGTTTAAGATATACACTTTTATTTCGGTTGTGTAAAAATCAAACGGTGGTGTACTATATGAACCTAGCAACCTGTTGTGTAATTTGTTGTTTACACAACTTGTGTAAAATATTACACAACTTGTGTAAAATATTACACAAGTTGTGTAAAATATTACACAACTTGTTCAATTTTTTTACACAACTGGTTGCTAGGTTCATATAGTACACAGCCGAAATAACAGTGTAAAATTGATATATCACTACGTTATTTGGTATTAGACCAAACTAAGAAATTAACGTTGAATGGAATAATAGATATTCATTTTTTTTTCAGTACATCGATTTGGGATTTTTAAAACTCACGTATGGAAGATTAAGTAGGCCCACAAGTTTTATGAAGCACTGAAAATGTCTTACGCCGGGAAGGGAAAAAAATTAAAAGAAAAACAAAATAGATATTTGAAAATTCATTTACAACTTGTTCACTGATTTGATTTTGCGAAGAGTATTATTATTTGGTCTGCTGATTAAATAATAAAACAGCTGGATTACCAATGTTACATTAATAGTTAATATTATTTATTCTGTTTCGTTTCTCGTTTCAATGAATTATCTGAAGACTTGTTTTTTTTTTCGAATTTAATTTTGTTTATCGAAAAGTACGTTCCGGAACGACACTGCATCTTTTTGGTAATAAGCAAAGTTGTGTTTAGTTATTAATATTCTGCGAGTACCATGTGACACACAAAGCGGTACCAAGGAGTGTCTGGAAAACTGTTAGGGCAAGGAATGTTGGTCGGATCGTCAGAATGAGATGCAGCAAGCTATTGGGGGGGCCGCTGGGGGGCTGGAACATTTCATGGGGGTGCGTCATGTAGATCAATGATAATTTTTTTAGAAACTCAAAATCTCAGTGGGGGCGACTGGGGGGGGGGGGGCCACAAGGTTTCATGGGAGGGCTGTCGCCCCCCCCCCCCCCCCCCCCCCCCCACCGCGTGTGCGTACTGTACTGAATCGTGCGCAAATTATCCTTAATGTGCACAAAGCTAAGCCATAGCGAAGCTTCCCGCATGAGCCCGTCTCCCAGACTAATTAATTCCCGTCCCAATAACTTTGAGGAGGAGGGTGGGGGTGGTTTAGACGTAAAAGGGGCACTCACCCATCCGTGCTGAAATGTAGACAAGTTTGGTTTTTTTTCACAACGTTTTTTTTAAGTGTGTGAGCGGGGGTCGCTGGTACCATCGTTCTACAGGGGGCGCTGTTCAAACCAGACGATCATGGGCACTGTCAGACAATAGGTGGCGCTTATCAGTGCGGCACAATTCCCGACATTGGCGCTAAATACCAAAAAGGCCACTATCGTAAAAAAAAAAAAAAAAGGCTTGTAAAACCAGGGCATGCATTTGTGTTCGGACACTATAAAAGTATGGGCGTGTTACACGCTAGTGAGAAGGGGGCACGTGTGTACAAAACGGCACTCTTTACAGAACAATATTTGGGGGTTAATAACTCCCTTAACCCCCGGTGGCTACGGAGAGGCGGAACAGCGCCCTCTGTAAGGCAGGAGGAGTCTTGTCCTCAGAAGCCTCCGTGTTCTTCATCACCTTGATCAGTGTGGATCGCTACCTGTGCATCAACCATCCGTTCAGCCGAGTGCTCCTAAAAAAGAAAAGTTAGTCTGGGTATCCGTAGCCTCGATTTGCGTGGGTTTTTTTTCAAGGAGCTAACCTCGTTTCAATAATCCTGGTAACCGTTGACTCGGTTGACTGTGGTTTGTCCGGTGGTTAAAAGGTAAAAAAAAAAAAAAAAAAAAAAGATGCGGAAAGTTACGGGAAGATCCTGTGACTCAAAGACACTTTACACATAAAGAGGCAACACTCAAAAAGTATACCCAACTTCCTCTGAATAGACTTTTTAAAAGTTCTCAAAAGTTAAACATAATTTCATTTACTGATTACCATCTTCCTAAATCAGCTCATAATTGCAAACTCTCTAAAATGACGGATTTCTTGAGGACTCGGAAACAGACTTTCATAACGGTCCTTTGATAGAATTTTTGAAGGAAAAGTATAACTAGATTGGGATAAAACATGTGAATTCTCTTCCTCATTTTAGTTAGTTCATGGGTGTGGTCACGTCGAATGTAGTTTCATGAGTGATGGCTTCCGACTGCTGAAGATTTTGATTCTCGCTGAGTGGCGTGCCGTGAATCAGGGAGGACAAGGCCCGTCTGAACCGTTTGTACTTGAAGGCAAAGATGACGGGGTTCACGCACAAGTTAGCTGACACGAGAACCGAAGAGGTAAGGTAGAGGGGCCCGGTAAAGTCCAGATCCCAGCCAAAATTGAACATCAGGAAAAGGGTCTGGTTGAGAGTCCAGCAAACAAGGAAGCTGACAAAGACGAAGAGGAGGGTCTTTAGGGCAACGTGACGGGCGCGATGCACCGGCTGCAGTTGCTCGTCGGACCAGGTAGTAGTGTTGTCATTTGTGTGGTCTGTTCTGGTGCGTCTCAGCTTCTTGTATATGTGGCCAAAGACGAACATCATTGCAAGAGAAGGCAGGACAAACGTCACAACAATGAGAATGATGCTCCAAGCCCTGGCAATCACAGAGGAGCTTGTGTAGCAGTAGCCGTCCTGTAGTTTGTTCGCCACTGCCATGTACAGCCCCTGAGACAACGGCCCGAAGAGCCACACGGCAACCACCATGAAAACCATTGCTCGCTTGGTGTAGATCTTGATGTACTTTGCCGGGAAGACCAGCGCGATGTAGCGCTCGCATATCAGCGCGAGAAGGTTGATGGTGGACGAGGTGAAGAACGACCAGAGGAAAAGCTGCGAGTACCATACGTGGCAGACAAAGTGGTACCAAGGAGTGTCTGGAAAGCTGTCAGGACGCGGAATATTGGCAGTCAGAAGGAGGAAGAGCGACCCGAGAAAGTCAATCGCAGCCTGGTTGAAGATGAAGGCGTCGGTGATGGTGTGCATGTAAGGCACTTTGTAGATGACCACAGCCACTATCCCATTGCCTATCATACCAAGCACACCGATAATGGTCTGCAGGATTTCGAGTATCAAGATATGTACGGCCATGGTGCACAATGCTTACGGATTGAACTTGCCACCGCAAAGCAATTGATTGGAACGTCGCTTTTTAGGGTGGGAGTTGGTGTATACTTATACCACCCGACGGCAGTTGAAACAATTTTTAAATTAAAACACTTTGTATATTATAAATTTTATTCTCAATTGTTGCTGGTACTACTATTCAAAGAGACGGTAAACATCGAACAAAAAGAATATTGGCCTTGTTTTCATTGCAAGCTCAGGAGCCCAGCTAGTCAGCATGTATAAATAATGTTAATAAGAGAATAAATAGATGCTTGGCCGGTTTTAAATGAGTACGTTGTAAACCGGCTGGTTGCCCGGCAAATTATGGCCCGAGCCGGTGTAGCATGAATTTAGGTTTTATGAAATACGGACTCATTGGTGGTATTGCGCATGCTCACGAATAGATAAATTAGGAGAGGGACTGGTAACGTGAGAGGGTTTAACCAATAAATGGAAAAAAGAGTCCGATTTTCATACGAGTCCGATTTTCATATGACACCGGCAGCAAGGATCAACAGCCGCGACCAGGCAGTGGAGACGCAGCAAGATATGCAACTGAGCTAGCGACGTGTCTCCTGCCGAGGCGAGAGCTCAAGAGAGAATACACAAGCAGTGAATGATACACGTCAGGCACTAATAAAATGATCATAAATGCACCTAACGATCTGTAGCGCCAAGCAGACGTATGTTTGAGGCGCAGATGAATACGATGACCGAACGGTTAATAAGCAGGGCGTTATGCATGTACCATTATCATAAGCAAACATAGTTCATTATTTATGTTGATAATACAGATGAATTACAAATTTTGTTCCCGCAGTAAAAAGGCTTCCATTATGTGGACCACAACAAGAAAGTGGAGTATGTTTACAACACGAGATGACATCTCCATCCTCAGCAAAGTGTTGTTTTTGTTTTATTAACACAAAATATTGCAGTCAAACAAACGAACAAACTCGTGATGAGTTTTGTCAGTTTTTCCAGTCTTTTTGTGACTCAACTAAAGCTGTCCATTAGCACAAGTAAAAATATCCGCATATGAGGTAATGAAATAGTTGATGTTTAGTGGATGTTAAACGATAAGCAAAATGTATAACATTAATTTAAGCCGATAGCTGTGGGATTTTTTTCTCTTTCTGGTAATGAAACCTAGGATTCCTCAAAAGCGTCTTAGGTATTGTAGCTCAAAAGCCTCAAGAAACACGTAGAGTGGAGACAATAAGATGAAGAAGCCAGCCGATTGGCACAGGAACTGATCAAAATACTTGCGAACACCAAGGTTTTGATATACAAAACAGTTGGGGGTTTTGGTAAACGTTAGTCGATTAGTAAGATTTGAGGCTTTGCATGGTAGAGATAATAAATAGTGAAAGATTTGCGGAAACTCCATGTGCGAATAATTTCTCAACTAAGAGAATGGTTCTGAAAAGAACCAGAGGTATAAACTCAGAGTTTATACCTCTGGTTCTTTTCAGAACCATTCTCTTAGTTGAGAAATTATTCGCACATGGTGTTTCCGCAAACCTTTCATTATTTAGCCGATTAGGGTAAAGCAATGTGGACATAACCGGTGAGCACAGGTAAAGGTGTATACGTGCAAAAACCTGGAGATATATGACGGAACAGTCGTTGTTTAGTGGACGTTTGCCAATACGCACAGGTAGTGAACAACCCGGTACTTGCCGACACCAGGGCAGGGGTCTTCAAAGAAGTCGTTGTTGACGGTGAAGTGCAGTGAGGTTCTGCTGCACCTTCGTCAGTGACGTGGTCGGATTGCCGCATGGTTTGACTTTTGTGCTTGATACAATCCTCTGAACCATTTTCGCGACCGTAGAGGGCCCACTTCACGTCGATGGTTCCCACGTCACTTCTAATGGAGAACGGGTAGGCCTCACAGACTTGTTTTTTTTTAGCAGTGCTGAAATAAAAGAGAAACCATAAAACATAAGCCAAATAAATTCATGAACAAAGAAAGAAACTTACAAATGTGTGTTTTCTAGATAAACGCAATATTATTTTTTTAAGGCATTGGTGATTAATCTGTGTTGTTTCCAATCTGTATTAAAAAACGAAAGCGATTTTTTTTCCAGGACATATTTATAAGGTTAAATTTGATTAGCTGACTCAGCTACTGCTAAGACAAAACCGATCCCTTTTAGTTTCTGTTGTCAATTAGCATATGTAGTTTAAAAAAATACCAGACATCTTTTTGTGTACTCTGCTTATTAGTTACTTTTAAAGTACACGTATCTCATAAGAGTTATTTGCTCTCTAAATCGCTTGACAACTCCCTTGTTTTGAAAATAATAAAATAAACGTTATTTTGTTCTAAGTTGCTTCATAATGTACGGTGAACATGTACGTGCATGTATAAATGTATGCATGTGTCTAGAACACATTGCACTGTCCTGATGCTACAGATGGTTAGGTACATTTATGATAATTTTACTATGCATTGTACCTGACGTATATCATTAATAATGCTCGTTTATTATCGCTTGAGCTCTCGCTTCAGCATGGAACACGTCGCATGTTGTAGATAGTGATGTTTCCACAACTCGCCACTGATGAGGGGCGTCAATTCCTTGGGGGGGGGGGGGCGTAGATCCCCCCCCCCACTTTTTATCATGAGGGGTTGGGCTATTGGATCATCCCCCCCCCCTCCCCAAACACACTTTTTCGTGGTGAGAAAAAAAGGCGAATTTGGAGATATATTTCGAATTTCCGAGATGCGTGAGTACACATAAGATGTACATCTGTATCACGAACAGCGCCAAGAGGTGTCATGTGGTGTCCAGCAAGCCCCCCCCCCCCTGCTTTTTGAATTTCCACGGCCGGGCATTTTTTGTTTTGTTTTAATCATCCCCATGCCCCAGTCCCCGGCAGACATTTACGTCAATGTGGCCAAGCACATTAGATGTATTGCATCATTAACGTTAATTATTATACATACTGCAGCTTTGCTCTATAACTTGCAAATGAAATAATAAAGACCTTGACGAATTTTTCACTCGATTTTATCGAGCAGTAGTACCAGCAACAGTTGATAATAAAATGCATAATTTTACATAATTTATATGTATCAGTATTTTGTTTTGGTACTTAGCATTCGAGGCACATACTACATACATAGCAAATTGTTGAACAAAATCGTTTGATTTTTTGTCAATTGTTGACATATTTGACTTTTTGACTGCGGTTTGTGAATGGGAAGACATTATGCAGGCTCAAAGAGGGACGTTATTCTGCGAACAGGCACCCACCTGGTTTTAGAAATACTTATGTTAAACTGGCCATGCACATAATTACATGCATTCCCTCATTAACGTTAATTATACATGCTGAATAGTTTTGCTCTCAGACTTGCAAATGAATCTAGACCAATCTTTCGCTCGGTGTTTCTCATTTCGTGTTTTTGAACTTGAGGTTGTACCAGTAACACTTACGAAACAAATGCATAATTTACATAGTGATTTTAATTTACGCGATTTAATTTACAAATGTTTAAACTACCGCCTGGCGGTATAAGTACACCAACTCCCAGCCCTAAAGCGACATTCCAAGTACTAGCTTTGCGACGGCAAGTACATTCTGTTGACGTTAACAGTGCACCATGGCATACGCCTTGATACTCCAAATCCTGCAGACTGTTTTCGGTGTGTTGGCTATGATAGGCAATGGTATAGTGGTTGTGGTCATCTACAAAGTGCCTTACATGCACACCATCACCGACGCCTTCATCTTCAACCAGGCAGCGATTGACTTTGTCGGGTCGCTCTACCTCATTCTGACGGTCAACATTCCGCGTCCTGACAGCTATCCAGACACTCCATGGTTCCTCTTTGTTTGTGTATGGTACCGCTCTCTCTGGGCGTTCTACAACTCGTCCACCATCAACCTTCTCGCGCTGATATGCGAGCGCTACATCGCGCTGGTCTTCCCGACAAGGTACCTCAAGTTCTACGCCAAGCGAGCAATGGTTGCCATGGTGGTTGCCGTGTGGCTCTTCGGGCCGTTGACTATCGGGCTGTACCTAGCAGCGACAGTCAAATTCGAGGATGCTCGCTGTTTCATAACCCCCTCTGATCTTGCCAGGGTTTGGAGCACCATTCTCATTGTTGTGACGTTTGTTCTCCCTACTCTCGCGATGATGTTCGTCTTTGGCCACATTTACGTGAAGCTGAGACGCACCAGACAAGACCACACCAATGACGACACTACTACTTCGTCCGAAGAGCAACTGCAGCCCGTGCATCGAGCCCGTCGCATCGCCCTGAAGACCCTCCTCTGCGTCTTTGTCAGCTTCTTTGTTTGCTGGACCCCCATCCAGACCGTATTCCTGCTGTTCAACTTTGGCTTGTTTGTGAACCTCAGCAGTACCGGGCCCCTCTCGGTTCTCGTGTCAGCCAACTTGGGCATAAACCCCGTCATCTTTGCCTTCAAGTACAAACGGTTCAGACGAGCCTTGTCCTCCCTGGTTCACGGCACACCACTCAGCGAGAATCAAAATCTTCAGCAGTCGGACGCCATCACTCTTCAATCCACAGCTGACGTGACCACACCCGGGCCCAAGATCTAAACTGCTCAGCGTGCTCAACAGTCAAGTAACAGATCTCATATTTCAATCAATCAATCAATATATTTATTGTCCATGTTAAAATATAGAAATTTGACATCCACTGGCCAAATACAAGTACACACAGTCAATATAAAAACTATATAAATTACAAAATAAGACAAGTTTGAGATACAAAGCAACAAAAGACCCGCACACTAAAAAAATGCACCAGCCAAAACGACGCCAACCGGTCACATGGGACAACATCCAGGCTGGAAGGATACAGAGAGAAAAGAAAACCCAGCCTTCCTACCCCGTAGCCCCCCGTGACCAATTAACGCTGCCCCGACCAATCCATTCCAAGAGTGCGAAAAATCAATAAAAACAGGAACGAAGATGAACTTGACATTTGCGGTGACATATTGAAGACAAAAACATCAACCGAGACGAACAGAAAAAGTGAAAAAGTAGGTGCAAAGTAAAAAATTACGGAGCACAAAATGGCCAGTGGTGGTCGCCGTTGAACAGCGCCCTCTATTTCGTCACCGTTTTCACGAAGGGGCGAATTTCATGAAAATTGTCTGTTTTTCAAAATTTGTTTTTGGTGAAAATAAATAAATATATCAATGTCTACAACGTGGTGACGAAGCTATACTTTCAAAAAAAAATTATTAAAATCTCAATTAAGCTAACTAACGAATGGGCGAATTTGCCACAAGTGCCGTTTTGCGTTTTCACGAAGGGGCGAATTTCCGCACTCTTCGATATTAATATTTTTTTAGTAAATAAATTCATTGTAAAGCCCGGTTCATACTTCATGCGAAAGCGAATGCGAAGCGACTTTGACGTCATAAAACATTCGTTGCGAAATTCGCCCGAGTTGAAATATGTTGAACTTTTACGAATTCGCAGCGCGAATACTTGCCACGACGTCACAAATTCGCGTTCGCTTTCGCTTTCGCGCAGAGTATGAACCGGGCTTAATGCAATGGCGCGTATATCACGAAGGGCGAATTTGCTAATTGGTCGTTTGTTTTCGTTTTCACGAGCAGCCACTTCTCTTAATTGATTAATTCTGCAATACTAATCACCTTTTTTCTCAAAGTTGGCTACATTTATGAAGATTGAAATACCTACTTTCCTCTGATCCCTAAATCTTGCATATTTTATGCATCTTTAAGTTTCAAATTGTTAAATGAAAAAGGGACCAACTTTAAACGGGATTATCTCGAGTGTTTGTTCAGACAATAAAATACTAAATTCGCTTCTTCGTGAAAACGGTGACGATTTGAAAATATTTGTTTCATTTTTGCCAATATTATCAGTCTTTTCTTTTCCAAAATTTTATCAAGGACCATTATTAAGCCCGATTCTGAGTCCTCAAATTGTGTCGTTTTGGAAAGTTTGCAATAACTGCTTTTGGAACAGGGTGATCGGTATTTGAAATTATGTTTTAACTTTTTAGGTACGTAAAAAAGTTACTTTAATGCACTTTCAGAAAAAAATTACACAAGTTGTGTAACATTTAACCATGTTTTCTATGTACTATACGAACTCGCTTGCAATTGTGTAAAAAGTTACATAATGCGTGTTGGATAAAAGTTTTTCTTGACAGTTGTGTAAAAGTTTACTTGATGTATGTGTAAATATATTTACACATTTATTAGATAAAAAGACAATTAAGTAAACTTTACATAACTTTTAATTGAAACAATACTATATTATCATGTCCCGAATGGTGCACTATCACAGCATATAGCTATAAGTTGGAAAAACCATATGACGTCTGTGACAACAGCTACTTTCTGTCTTTGAAGATAACATTGTCCTCAAGCTCTTTGCGATTGTCATACCGTCCCCAATCCATAGCAGTTCTTGGACACTTTGCAAGATACGATACAACAGAACAGGATGCATAATGGCCCACAGCTCGGCCACGGCGAGTATGCACGCATGCATGTATACGTGCCGAATACAACTCGTACTCGAACCAACTCGTACGCGCCCAACTCGTACACAATACAACTCGTACGTGGACAAACTCGTACGCGATCCAACTCGTACACATGGATTAAACTCGATTCGTGACTATGTACTGGGAACGGTGTCGTTCAATGTCTTTAAGTTGGCTAATTTTGGCCCGCATACGAGTTCGCTGGCGTACGAGTTGGCCCGCGTACGACATGTACGAGTTGTCTCGCAACGAGTTGGTTCACGTACGAGTTGTATAATACTAACTAATATTAAGAATGTCCTGTTTTTTTTCGTACAAAGTGTCCAGACATTTCTGGGGCTTGGGGGCGGTATAACAATCACAAGAGCTTTAGAAAATGTTACCTTCAAAGACCGAAATTAGCTGCGTCATATCCCCTCGTTGTTACAGACGTCACGATGTACTCCATCTTCACTCATGCTGTGCTGTGCTAGCCAATGCATCGCGTCACCACGCGTGTACGTTTTTACCTTGTTTTGGTACGTTTTACCTAACTGCAGTACGTTTTTACATAATTAAGGTAAATTGACTGCTTTACTCATTCAATTTTACAATTTACATGTTTACGAGGTTTTTTTTTTCCGGCGAATTTTACCAAAATTGTGTATTATTTTACATAACAATTTTTACCTAATCATTTTTTACATATCTTTTTGAGAGTGTGGAAGTTGGGTACGTAACATTTTGCAGTGTTACTATTGAATTTTCTTTAACTTTCAGATTCAAACTTTCATTTTTGACTTTTTAACGATTTTTGGTTTTACCATTTGTGCACTCAGGAAGTATGGGAGTCCTGAAGACACATCACGGTACAACATTTCTGTATGATATTCATTTTTGCAATGCTGTTTTGGGGGACCGTAGGGTTATCTGCAAAGCTGCAAGACGTTTGCGATATCTTGTAATTTCTTTTGAGTCGGGTCGTTTTAGCCATTGAAGTATATTCTGGAGTAGCTGGAGTATTATAGCCCAAGCGGTGTGTGTTTTTGTTGTAGGGGTCATTCAAAATATAATTATTTTCTTGTAGGATTAGTAAAACATAGTTTATGTATTTGTTTGTTGATTCTGATCCGCTACATTTAATTGGTTTTTGGGGTGATTTAATTCATTTTTTTTATTGTCATTGATTAATAAAGCACTTTGCTTGGAGCATATCAGAAAGCATGATTTTGTTCCTACTTATTTAAGCATTTCAAGATCTAATCCTTTGAACCCGTGGTATTTTCAATATTGTCTAAACATATTTACTTTTTTGTTTACTGCAAACTGGGGAATCTGTTTTCCCGGTTACACACACACATTGATTGTTACGTAATGATTTGGTTGGTACAAAACAAAACACCAAAAGCTGAAAAAAAATATCTTTGGCGTCCGAATAAAGCCACAGTTGTTGTTTGGCAATAGATTGTTTCGACAGGATCAATATATCGGCGACCTTCATCCCCTTTTGACATCGAGTGCATATGTCATCGATGGAATTAACTGCCAACTTGATGGGCTTTTCCACAATCCTGGATAGAGCACGGTTGGCATCAACCCCAACGTGGTGATGGGTAGTATACAAACACAGCATGGTTTGAGTTGAAGTAGTGGGAATTACTGGTCCCGAGGTGTAGGTCAGCTTTGCGTCGGGAGGTAGTTAAGCTGACCTAATCACGAACGCCATATAGCTTCCTCGCAGGCTAGTTTCTAAGGGACAAAAGTTCACGTTGGCCGTGGGTATAAGTAGATTTTAACTTGCAACTGACGCGTTATAATTATGAGTTTAGCCGCAATGTTAAGGAAGACGACCAATTAATGAACCGCCATTAACAGTACTCCAGTGTACATCACCAAGTCACACAAAAAGTTACAACTCTCCAAAGTTTTTAAAACACACAACATATAAAATTGTATTTTTTTTCCTCTTTCATTTTCTGTTCATTTTGAGGGGTAACTCCACGGGGGTAATTCTCCATTCTGGGAGAAATTTCTATCCAAAGATGATCACCAAAAGTAGTCAGGAAGCCATCGCCATCTTCCAAAATTATGCCTAAGCTACATTGCAAAACGGATCAATTTTTGTGCCCAAATTTTATCAAAATGTCACATAAATACACGCTCACAGTTTGCAGCTAACGGCTTCCAACCTTCTGCAAACTGTCAAGTTCAGGGGCCACAAAAGCTCAAATAGAGAACCTGAGGGCATGCAAATCAATATTTGGCCGGCGTATGTAAGTTTGGCCTGTTCGCTGACATGCACAATGATTTACATATACCTGAAATCTTGCTATTTCTCATAGACCACTTTTAAGGCAAGAAGAAGGATCCATGTTTTAAAAAAATGATGCGACAATTAATGTTGAGGTCGATATCAGGCCTAAACATGCGCATGCAGCTTGCCCTGCTCTGCTGTGCGTTAAAGTTAGAGCGCCCCCCCCCAACCATTTTTTTTTTACTTTGCTACAATCGTCGGATAGCCTCTCTTCATCGAAAATTTAGAAAAGAAAATCGTGAATCAGCCCTTGATGCCCCCTTTAAAATGCTGGTCCCCCCAGGACCCGCCCGTTAGAAACTCACTGTCGCGGCATGCATGGGCGCCTCCATTTTTGAAAGTCTAAAGGTGAATCCGCACCGTATGTAGTGTTGCGATTTTTTGTTGGACTGATCCAGGTACTATATGTATGCACCTTTGACCTTGCCTCTCGTTTCTCTTTGGGCAATGTGCTTTTGCACACAAAACCCTGGAAGCCCAGGCAGGGTTTTGTGTGTGTAAAATCTCAATGACTACAAGCATCGAGGTCCCGGCAATATATATGTAAAGGCCAATTATGCACTGTCTGTGCAGTGATTAACCGATGTTCGCCTTATCACTGAAGGTTGTTTGAGTTAAATTGGACAACCTGATCGACATACGTTTGCTTGAAGTACAACCAACAAGCTAGAACGCTGTCATTTCCGTCCGCTATGGCTGACATCAACCTGATTCCTCAAATCCTGCAGACCATTATCGGTGTGCTTGGTATGATAGGCAATGGGATAGTGGCTGTGGTCATCTACAAAGTGCCTTACATGCACACCATCACCGACGCCTTCATTTTCAACCAGACTGCGACTGACTTTCTCGGGTCGCTCTTCCTCATTCTGACTGTCAACATTCCGCTTCCTGACAGCTTTCCAGACACTCCATGGTACCGCTTTGTCTGTTACATATGGTACTCGCAGCTCCTCCTGTGGGCGTGCTTCACCTCGTCCACCATCAACCTTCTCGCGCTGATATGCGAGCGCTACATCGCGCTGGTCTTTCCGGCAAAGTACATCAAGATGTACACCAAGCGAGCAATGGTTTTCATGGTGGTTGCCGTGTGGGTCTTCGGGCTGTTGTCTCAGGTGCTGTACATCGCAGTGGCGAACAAACTACAGGACGGCTACTGCTACGCAAGCTCCTCTGTGATTGCCAGGGCTTTGAGCATCATCCTAATTCTTGTGACGTTTGTCCTGCCATCTCTCGCGATGATGTTCGTCTTTGGCCACATTTACATGAAGCTGAGACGTACCAGACGAGACCACAGCATCGACGGCATTCCTACCTCGTCCGAACAGCAACTGCAGCCGGTGCATCGCGCCCGTCGCATCGCCCTGAAGACCCTCCTCTCCGTCTTCGTCAGCTTCCTCGTTTGTTGGACTTTGAACCAGACTATATTCCTGATGTTCAACTTCGGCTGGGAGCTGGACTTCACGGGACCTATCTACATCACCTCTGTGATTCTGGTGGCTGCTAACTGTTGTGTCAACCCCATCATCTTTGCCTTCATGTACAAAAGGTTCAGACGCGCCTTGTCCACCCTGATTTGTCGTGTCCCTCTTAATGACTCACAGCTCTCGGACGGAATAACTCTTGAAGGTGTCGTAAATAACCAATTTGAAAATTAAATAACTCAACTGGTGATCCTGAATCCGGTCAAATGCGTATCAACCTTCCCGTAAGAGACGTTGTGTTTCCCGTGGTTTTTTTTAGACAAACTCATCAAGGATCTTTCTTGTCGCACGATGCAAGCGCAGATTTACCCAGACTGGGACCTTGAGTGAAGAAAAACATGAAAAGCAAGATCGGACCAACTCTACTCAATCGTTTGCCAACTAAATTATCCAAAATGTTCATGGGGTAAAGACGAGGTCATTATAGTTCTCACCAGCCAAGTTTGAGGTCTCCATTCAATTTTATAAAGGAGACTCTTTTCTTTAACATTTTGCAACTGAGAGTGAAGCCAGGTGATTTCATTTTGAAGCTAAAGACTAGACTGGTGCACGTCCAACTTTTTGCAAAGATTGACCCTTCAGTAGTCTGGTGGCATGAACATAAAGAATGTGTAGAAATACAGCTGGGTACCAGATGAACTAAATGCCAGACACAGTTGATGCAGTACTAAAACAAAATAAAATCTAGTATTGCATATTTTCATACTCTATCCTCATACACAGTATTGAGTCCCAAATTTTCAGACACAGAATTACCCATGAATGTTGCTGACTTCAACATGGAGGTTTGTTAACCTTCAAATCTCATCTTATCTTTTATACTACTCGAACACAAGCCAATTTTCAACTATCAAAAGTGAAAAATGATATGAATGTCGGCATATTGTACCTCAGCCCATGGTTTGGGCGGTAAATGGCGCCACCAAGAGGTGAAATCTGACTGTCCCTTTTCACAGCGCACAATGGGGAAAAATGATCCGTTCCCAATCTGCACACTATCGAGTATGGAGTTTTATTCTGCGCGCAATGTGCAATGACTTTTTTATTACGAGGCTTCAAACGAACAATAAGCGGGTTCGGTATTCCAAAATAGTCTGGTGCACAGCAAGATTCGACCAGTTTTTTTCGGGATATCGCTGTTCATATGGGTCTGTATGACACAGCGTGCCAAAAAGAGTTCCGATTTCGGCGCGAAATGATCGCAGTAAAGGGCCATTCAGAATTTTCAATGTTTTAAAATTTCGACTTTTTTTTCCAAATTATTTTGACCCACCCACCCCTAATTTCGATTAATAAAAAAACTGATTTGTTATGCAGTATTAAAAAAAAACCACATGTATACATGTACATGCACTTGCATGTACATCATTACATCCCACTGGCGGGCCTGTGCAGTACATACAGGGGACGAAGTTGGAAAAGAAACATGCATCGCAAAATCGGAACGCTTGCGCGTAGTTCAGGCAAGTCAAAAGATTCTGGGTTTTTTGGCTCTTTTTTTTCTTTGAAAAGTGAATTTCGATTTTCAATTATTTAGCTTGGCCCACCCATCCACAATTTGGAAAAATAGTCGAAATTTTAAAACTTTGAAAATTCTGAATGGCTCCTAAGACACAACTTCATGATAATAAATGGCTGCATCCAACAACTGTGTGCGTCCTACGAACCGCCAGAGTCGGGTAACCGCCAATATATAGATAAGCTACAGTGTTATAAAACTATAGAATATATATAGCATAGCATAGCATTGCATAGAATAGCATTGTACATAGCAAAGTAGACGACTATTATGTCGGACTTCCCACCCGATTTGTTGTCCGACAAACATAATTTCTGACTACGATAATAATCCGTACACGCCTTGATTTCTTGCAAATCGTACATAGCATTTGTATTATCAGCTTGCTTGGTATAAGTGGAATAAGCATAGTGGTTGTTTAAAACAGAACGCTGTTTTCGTTATGGTGTAATCCAGTGGTCGTCGATCATTATAAATTATGAAAGTCACTTGTTTCAAATTAATTTGTGTTCAATTTTCAACATTTTATTCAAAAAAAGTATGTGTGAAATAAACCAGACGTGTTATTTCCAATGTCCGTCTGAGGTTACCTCGGCAACTTAAAACAAGTAACAACAAATGATAAGATTCAACATAAAGACAACATAAATCGTGTTATAACACATTATGTTTATATGCTAATATTTCCATATTTCAGTGACCATTCCCTTATACATTCTAAAACTGCAAAAGGTGCCTGGAGAATTTAGTCGTTAATATCTTCAGCTTTTTTGCTACCAATTTTACAGCTTCTCATCTGCAAGTATAGGGATGATTAGCCTCCCAAATGATTATTAATATTATTAAGTTGTCCACACTTTCAAAGGTTTAGAAAATATTGAATAATGTAGCACTTGTTTGTTGAATAAAACAGCTAAAATGGTTGACAAAATTTCCCTCACTGTTGGTCAGTCAGTCTATACCTTCCGGAAAAAAAGCCTGAAATTCATTCTTGGTGGCGCCCTTCCTGAACACTTGAATTGGAAAATAAATTATTAACGTGCACAAATTATGCAATTTGCAGTTGTTCTTAGTACATTGATTTCTTAAGAAAAATCACCCTCGCAAAAAGAACTTGTAAATTTGTTACAAGCATCTCAATTGAAGAAAACTGAAAAATCGCCTAACTTGAAAGAGAAGTATTGCGCCAAAAAAAAATGACCTCTCACTTTTGAAAATTTTAAAAAATGTGAACCAGTGAAACTCGGTGTACTCGTACAAAGATAAAAATGTATACAATAATTTCGTGGCGGTCATTGGGTGAAAACTTAATATTAACAGCAGATTTAAATGTCTTAGCAAATACCTTTCTTTAATAAACGTGAAGGACTCATAAGTATTTACAACAACAAAAATCTAAAATGACCGCTGATAAGGACTGCATTCAAGCCAGCCCGACTAAATCTAGAACCCATCGGCTGTAGGTAGGCAAATCTTTGCGTCGATATGCGTTTTCGTTTTCGCGATGTACGTTGTATGCGATGAATCATTCTGTCAAAAATTATGGCAAAAAGAAGGGCAATTAACCTTGTGTAAAATGCCCAAAGACGGGCCGTGCGAGGGTTCCGGAAGCTAGCTACGTAACCTTTTTACATTATATGATATAAAGCAAGCCCCCGAATCATATCTAATCTACCAACATTAAGGCTGGTTCCGAACCCACTGTATTTCAACTTCGGCTTGGGTTTTGGTCCACTGATACGGAGCAGTCCAAAGTCGTAGCCGTCTCCCAAGCAAAAAAAAAAAAAAAACCTTCTGGCTACAGTAAAAAAAGAAAAAAAAAAACGACATCAACATGCGACGATAAAATTGTGTAGATCCGAGTAACTTGGGGACAAAAGCTCTATTTTGAACAAATTGTTGATAATCCCTCATTTAAGACAATTTCTGTATTCACCAGCGTAGCCATGACGTCACTCTGATGTCACTGACACTTCGGCTCAACGATTGGTTCACGATGCCGTAGCAACAAATAGTCAGTCAAGCCTATACGTTGTGTTTATGGTACATAATGCGAGGTGATAGCGCCCTCAAGTGAAAATGGATAGAACGGCGCCACATATTATTAGCTAATAGCGTAACAGTTTGGTAACTTTCATTCTGAATTATATCCTACGTAAATCTTGGTGAAATGAATTTCCGTACATATATCTGTCTGCTGTTTTGTTCTTCAGTTGTTTTGCTTTCGGATAGCGACATAACCTTTAAAATGATTCTCGCAAGTCTCTGCAGACAACCTGCGACAACCGCCAGTAAATGAGGGTACTTAATTAATAGCACCGGGATACATTTTAATGACATTTTATCATGCTGTGCAAGAAGCGTGAACCACTGCTAATAATGAGGTGCCCGTGACCTCGACAGGAAGTGACGTCATCACTACGACGGCAAAACCTGCGTTCGTTTGGTTCAGTAGCTATTCATGAGAGTGGTGATGATGAAGTACGTGGCTACTGCGACCCCAATAACAAGCACGATGCCCGATATCAGGCCGACGTAGCTCCACATGTTGGCCTTCTTGGCAGCTTGCTCTGCTCCGTCGTAGTCCCCAGCCGCGTACAGTGCTCGAGCCTGTTGAAACAATGACTTCGAGTGAAATTGGTTCCCCCAAAATGAGGGAAGTATGCGGTTGAAAGTTTTACACTTAACAGGAAATTCTTCAACTGCTGAGAGCTCATAGAGCAAGAGGAGCACAATTTTGTGAGCCTCCTTGCAAGAAGTTTTTCCCCTTTTTTTGGTAGGTTGGTTGTTATTTTTTTGGCTCTTTGTTTTCGTTTGTTTCTGTTTTTGTTTATTTGTTAATTAGTTTGTTAGGTTTTGGTTATTGCCAGCCGCTCCAAAATGCACAAAAAAGGTTAGTTGAGTCTATAACAAGTCCAGTAAAGTTTATATAAAACGTCCAGTCAATTTGCTCAAAGGAATTATGCGCTTGTCATGTTCACTTGAATTGCTTGTGACTTGACCTGAGACTGGATGACTTGTGATGGACTTGTGATGGACTTGTGATGGACTTGTGAGGACTTGTGAGGACTTGTGAGGACTTGCGTGGACTGTACTTGTGGTGGACTTGACAGGACTTGGGAGGAATTGTGGTGGACTTGTGATGGACTTTTGATGGACTTGTTCGGACTTGTGATGGACTTGGGAGGACGGTGGTGAATTGTGATGACTTGTGACGGACTTGGAAAGACTAATGAGGACTTGGGATGGACATGTAGCGGACTTGTGATGGACTTGTGATTGAATTGTGAGGACTTGTGATGGACTTGTGTTTGAGTTGTGAGGACTTGTGAGGACTTGTGATTTACTTGTGAGGACTTGTTAGGACTTGTGGTGGACTTGTGATTGACTTGGGAGGAAATTGTAAAGACTTGTGAGGACTTGTGATGGACTTTGGGAGGACTTGTGATGAATTGTGATGACTTGTGACGGACTTGTGAAGACTAATGAGGACTTGAAATGGACTTGTGATGGACTTGTAATGAACTTGGAATGGACTTGTGATGGACTTGTAATGGACGTGTAATGAACTTGTGATGTGGTGTACTTGGGAGGACTTGTGACCGACTTTTAAAGATGGACTTGACCACAGGACTATACTGAACTGGAACTCACTCTGTTTAGCTCGGCTACGGCCATCCAGCCTATCGGGCGACACCACCAGAAACGAACGCAGTGTGCGAGGCACGCCTCCCGCTCAAACACCTCCGAGGGACACGGAGCCGCAGGCTGAGGCATGTTGTGGACCACTGTTGCCGGAGAATATTGGGCAGCAGGCTAAGACGTAAAGAGTATCCGAAAAAAAAACCAGCCAAGTGAAGAAACAAATGGTGACATGCACACAGCGGCGTAATTGGGGAGAGGGGAGGATCCTAGCTTCCTTCACCACGTTTTGACTATAGGCTCCGTGCGCCAACTAAAGAGGGCGCGTTTTTACCACTTTTGAGAGCCCCGTGGACGGGACACACAGCGTGTGCGTGTACTGTACTGGTTCGTGCGCTAAGTATACGCACGCGTTCCTGAATGTGCCAAAGCTATTGGCCACAAGCGTTTTCACGAGAGCGTCAGGCGATGGTCTCCCAGATAAATCCCTGACCAATAACTTTCGATCATTCGCAATACGCAGTGCATGGACCGGGAACCAGTCTAGGTCTCCCCCAACTTTCCCTTTCTGGCCGTTGATGGGGTACTTGTGCACGGAGCTCTAGGGGGATGAGCCGTAAGATTATCTGCTTGAAGGGCCTGTGCAATTTAATTTGTTTAATGCTGTCCATGAAAATGCACCTTCGTGTCCCATTTGAACTTATTTTCAATTTTCGTTTTGCTATTCTGAAAGGTATTTTGGTGTCTTATTGGGTTTTTTTTTAAGGCTGATGCCAATTCGTGTTGTGTATGTAGTGCATTGAGTTTAAAGCATCCTTGTTATATTCTGGAATTCAGCTGTAATTTCAGTCAGTTACCTTTTGTATTTTTTTCTCTTTTCTACCCTGTAATTATAGTTGTACATGTATATTAATGTGTTAAATGAGGACCCAGGCCACGTACAAGCATTTGCTTTTTGCCTGGTATCCGCCATTCATCACCCCCTGTGCATTGTTTAATTGTACACTATTATTTATTGTGATGTATGGAAACAAAACAATACCAATACCAATTTCCATATTCATGAGCAAAACTGAGCATCTTTTAATTGTTATTTGATTTCCGTTACAATGAATGCACAAAGGTTCACTTATGCATATCCTAAAGGCATTGCTCCCACGAATGGCTGCTACGCATTAGGTCTATGGGCTCTGTAAAAGACACATAGGAAATCTTGGTTTGAAAAGATACCAGTTCTTCGAATAAAAGGTGAGAATAAACAGCACTTACACTGTACGGTGGGGGGTAGTCGGCGGGAGGTTGCGATGTCTCATCATTGACAACCATATCTATCACATTCAATATTACAAAATAATTAGGCTCAGTTTAAGTAATGCTGGCGAAATTTAGTGACTTTTCAGGAAGCACAGCCCAAGAAACACAAAACAGACGCCATTAATGACGGCTCCATTAAGTTATTAAAGAACACAAGGTTTTGTTTAAAAGTTAAGCAATAAGCGTAGCTTGAATCTCGCTTGCAGAACGAGAGTTGAGTCGTTTTGATTGGGATAGGCATATGGCATATTCAGTGGCGCACACACGATTTGGCTTGGAGGGGCTCACGAGTTTTGTTTTTCAAATTTTGTTGGAGTAAATTTTTTTTTCCAAAAAATTTTCCCTAAATTTTTGGTCGCAGAAAACAATGTGGGTTTTTTTTTTTGGGGGGGGGGGGAGGGGGAAGCGGACTATTTTGACGTTGGTGGCGCCACTTACACCCACTACTCGAAACTAGGCCACATAGAATATCACCAAGGTCAAATCTTGGGACTAAAAAAATATTACTCAAGCCCCCTAGCCCCCCCCCCCTTGGGTGCGCCACTGTGTATAGTTTTAACCAACCTGTCCATCCAATAAGCTAGGTGGGACCATCGTGCGTATACGGTCGGCTCATTAAAGTTTGCGCAGATCAATCGCCATGAATTGTATATGAACTTTTCGACTGAGACCAAAGTTAAAACTGGTCGTGCGCACGCTGTGAGCTTCTTCAAATAACTACTGAATACAATCAGTTACGGCGCACTTTGGCCAAATCGCGATTTTAAACGCAGTTTCGTTTTCAGTATACACGTAGCAAATGACTTGTGCATTTTCGTATCAAGATATAGACTTCGCCCTTGGCCTTCGATCGAGACCAACGGATTATGCACTAAAACAAACTGTCGTTTTAAGTCAGGGAACCATTTTGTTGTTTTTATGGTATCACAGTATAGTTGTGAAGAAAGCAAAGCATAAAATATTTTATGTCATTTCCAAGCGAAAGGCGGATCCAGAAAAACAAAATTGGGAGGTGCCAATTAAACAGTAGGCATATTTCATTCTCACGACTACAAAACTCGAAACTTTGAAGGTTTTTTTTCTCAGTTCATTACTTTTTTTACCATAACCATAAATACATTTAAATAACCATAACTCGTCAACGGAACGTCCGATAAAGTGCAACAACTGTACAAATATTGTTATACTCTTTCCTAACACATGTACCTGAAAACCCTCCTTTTGACCTCTACCAAGTTCAATCTCATTTTGCCAGGAAGCCTCACACACTTTTTTATTTAATCAAAGGATGTTTGTTCCTACCTTACAACCCATACATGTAGTGGTATTTACTCGAATGTTACTACTCTATACACATCACACAATCACGTAAAGACCATAAACTCTAAAGCAAACAGGTCGATAATGTAACATTAATAATGTGTCAATGTGTCAATGGCCTATTACCTCCTTTCACGTTGTCCTCCATGTTGTGTCCGGATGTGTTTCGATCTGAATCGGAATTGATGTCGCCCACACTCGACCTACCTCGTCAAGAAAAAATCTGCCTTGCGCAGGTTGGGTATAGTTTGAATAAAGGCGTATTTGGGTTAAAACACCGCCCGCTGCACAAAGTCCGACCCATCACCGGGAGTGTATACGTACGTCATACGTTGTGCGTCACATAACGATCAATTCGTACGAGCTCAATGATTTGATTGAGGGCGCTATTTGAGGTTCCAATATGTTGATGGGGGCGCTGTTCAAAACCGACGATTATGCACACTAACGGACAATGGGCAAGTTCGCGCAAGGACTATAGTTAACCATTGGTCGACTAACGCTTGCCCGATCTCTGTCTAGTCAACGATGGTTAACTACGCTAGTCGACTATTTGGAACCAACCTACTGGGGTTGGTTGCTTCGCTGGTAACCATAGCCACGCGCGTTCATAACGTACAGCAGGGAGCCAGGATCCAGACGTTTTGCAATGACATTTTGACCAGCGTTCGACTAGAGACGTTCGCACTTTGCTATTAGTGCGCAGGCGTAAGGTACGTCACAAATCAACCACTAGTCGACTAATGGTCCTTGCCCGAACTTGGCCTATATAGTGTGCTTTTCAGGGCGATACATGCGTGAAATAAAAAAAAGGCACACGGAACGGACGATGGCACAAAACAGAGCACTACTTCTTTTTTGAAAGGGCACTTGTTCAGAAAAAAAAGGGCACTTCTGAAAACAGGGGATCTCTTTACAAAATATGGGGGGGGGGTTAAGCGCTGGTGAAAAAAAGGCATTTGAATGGAAAAGTGCAACTCTTTAGGTAAAATTGGGTGGGGTGGGGTAATTACTCCCCTTACCCCCCCCCCCCCCCCCCCCACGCTGGGTACGCCAGTGTCCCCCCCCCCCCCCCCCCCCGGATTAAAAAAAAACCACCACAAGACAAACTTAGGCAATTGATTGAACAGTTTTGTTTTGTCCCAACATACTTGATCGTTGCCCTCTACTGATAAGGGTAGGAGGTCGCGATTGTCTGATATCACAAGGCGCACTTTAGTCACTGTGTTGGACAAGATCACCTGTCGTGATCAGAATAGCATTGAAAGCAAATTTATGGGCAGCGGAAGCTTTAATCTGTTTTCTTGTGGAATATTTTGAACTCTAATTGTGTTTCAATCCTTCCACTTTTACGACGAGGCGTATATGAAAGTTGCTGCACGGCACATGGTTCCAACTATAAGACCGCTGCGGTTGATTTAGGTAGTAACTTTCCCAATGACGTTGACCGAAGTTATTTAATTCCACATGATATAAAATTTACTTACTAAAAAGGACGAGCCTTTGCAACCCACTAATTCATAATTATATATTCACCTGTAGCCGGTCTCCCACAAAATACAATACAAATCAGCCATCTGACTTATATACAAACCAATCATTAATTTTATTTACAAAGACGTTTCAATTACGAAGCTAAAACCAAGTAAGTTTAAATAATTCAGAGCACTTTTGGAAGGGTTTTTTTTAATCGGATTTTGATTATGATTTTAATCCCTCACGATTCAAATACGAGTTTACTGCTCCTTTTTTCCTATTGAAAGGTTGACGTCAGTCATTCTGTAGTGTTATGCAAAAAAATGAATATCCATGTATATTTAACACATTTTAAATGCCTAATTTTAGTATTCGGCCATTATGCTTAAGCATTTATTTGGTTCAATATTACAACAACCCAAAACCTGTTGTATTAGTTTACGGAAATTCTTGTAACAACAGTGTCGCACTTTCATAACCGTCAATGCTGCAGGGATTTTATAGTTATATAAAGTGTTATAAAATGTCTTTCTAAGCCACCTTCGATCGCTTTACGCTTCAATGACGTCATACAAACTCACATATTTTGAGTTTTTACCAAAATATTGTTAAAATGCCATCCTTACATTGTGTTTTTCTTTCTTTTTTTCAGGGGGGGGGCGTGGATTGCGAGGAATGTTGATTGCAGTGTCCGTGCTGCTATTTAAATATAAACACAAAATTAACTGGCCATAGTAATTATGGTTTAATAACTGAGTTTAAAGAATAATTTCATTTGGACGAATAATTCTTCATTATTTTTCTGTGAATTCAATCATATGCACTCAACCGACAGAACAACGCAATGGTTTAAAAATCTTAGGTCTAGGGCGCCCTCAAGCAGCTTAAGTACTGTCGCCGGTTTCGTCCATCTTGCATAGCCGAAAACCATAGAGCTCATAGCGTTCGTGTGTCTTGTTTACCATGACTAGCCTCCTGACTTGAGCTGGGTGAGTGTGTCTTGCCAGCTAAATATACTTCATCAGGAGGAATATCATGACCGAGAGAGCAAGCCCGAGAAGGATGAAGCAGCCAGAGAGAGCGGCTGACCACGCCCACCAGGTGGAGGCCTCCGTGGCCTGGGCTGAGGCATGGTACTTACCGGCTTGCCGTAAACGACGCGCCTGGAATAAGAATGACAAAAGATGCAGACATAAACGGTTAATTTGGATTAATTTAAATTGTACCATCTTTGTTTAACCAAGAGCAAATTTCAATGGAGATGAAACTGTCCATCTTGCGTAATCTGGTGGACGTTAGGGGGCGCCATCGATATTATGTTGTTCGTGAAAGGTGTGAAGTCAAGGCCATGTCCGAAAGTTGTGGCTGCAGCAGGAAATAACACGTGCGCCTATTGAAGCCACTGGCTTGTGGCTACAGCCACTTACCATAGACGTGTGTGTTACTCCCGGCCGCAGCCAGTTGATTTGGACACGGTCCAACTCACTATCAACTCAATAGTACCTGCCATAACATATTCAGTGATATTGCTGTTTTGGACATTATAATTTTTTTTTTTTTTAACTCACACGTGCAATTTTGCAACATACGATTTTACAAGGCTTTAATTCAGTTGTCTCCCCTTACAGCATTTTATTTTGTAATTTCTATTTTGGTAAAAATGCTCAAAAGTTTGCACCTAAAAAGAATTACCAAAAAAATCGAAAGATTTGTCGAAAAATCTCACCTTGGAAGCCAATGAAATGGCCACGCAACCGCATACCGGACAGCAACACGAAACCAAGATGGCGGTAGGTAATACGTCAGCATCTCTTGGAAACATCTCCGGTATTCCATCTTCCATCGCTGAGGGAGTCCTGGGCCGGCCATTTCCCAGTTCCTCAATGTTATTGCACGGATCAGTATTCTGCGAGTAAGTTTTTAAACACAGTGGTTAAAATCATATCCCACGGTGACTGAATTTGGGGACACCTGGTTTTAATTGATACCCTTTTGCCAAGCAATGTGGCACTTTTGAGACATTGGTGGCAGCAAACACACAGGTCCTTTTTCCATTGTTTGCGTCATATTGAGCATGCGCGCTTTAGCTTAAACATGACGTAAACAATTGAAAAGGACCGGTGTGTTGCTGCCACGAACGTCTCAAAAGTCTGCCATTGAATGGTTTGAACTTTTGTCTAGAAACCTGGGGACGAGGTTGCACCATACACAATGCAAATCAGAGAGACTTACTGCCTCGTTCCTGGCTGTGTGCTGACCATTGTCGAACTTCACCTGAGGACTTCCCCAGTCACTTCCATTTCGATGCTTCGATTCCTCGGTTTTGGTCGGATCGAGGAGTCGATCATAAGACAATGATCCTCCCGGATTTGACTGAGCTAATGACGTCATGCTGCTTTGATTCTCCTCCGTAATAGTATCGATACTTTGACTTTCTGAAATGAGAACTATAAGATGGGGTAAAAATGGAAATCAATCGTTAAAAGTCTCCACAGGGTAAGTCAAACAAAATGTCATTTTAAAAGCGTTCATGATCTCCCACAAAAACGGGAGAGGTTACCGTTTTTTTTTTCTATTTGGCCAACATTCGGTCTGGCCCACTGATCTCTATATAAAGACTGGATAGCTAATAAAGAGCCGCACAATGAATGAATTTGACGCCATATTGAGACCGGTGAGACCGGCTGGTGATCTACAAAGGACAAGTTGCCGTCTTATAATAGACAGCATGATTTCTTTTGTAACGTCGCGGCGCGGTTCACTTGACTTATATTTTGACCACCACCACTGACCAAGGTTTACTACAATTTTTCTAACGTCGTGGATACTTTTATAATGCTGCAGATCACTTTTTCGGCGTTTTTGAAATAATAATCACTACGGAAATGTGTCCCTTTTAGAACATCATAATATGTGTACGTGACGAAAATGCGCGTCAACTGTTGATACAACGCGCGCGTATTTACGCGTAGAACGTTCGTATTATACGCGGCCATCTTCGTGAGACCGGGGGCGAATTGGTCAATATGCGAAGTCTACTGTGTGAATGTTGTATGCATATCCGCTATCCAGTCTTTATATAGAGATCAGTGGTCTGGCCACAGTCTGTAAAAGTTTCACTAATATATTCAGTCATGTTTGAAAAGGATACAGCCTTTCTTTGTGACTAGTAGTGTGACTACCAAAAACACTACCTGGGTTCAGCCTAGGCCTCAACACGTACAATGCTTATTTTGCTTAGTATAGTAGGGCCTATACTATACATATATACTATACTATACATATACTATACTATACTATACATATATATACTATGCTTATTAAATTACTGTGCTTATAGTTATAGGAGCTCCATGACATTGGGCCCCATTATTTACATTGTGTCCATATGCAATCCCTATAAGTAATAATGTTGTCACGCTTTGTTTACTGCTTTCCTATGGAGCTTGGTGTATGGTTCACGATCCCAATCTTAAGCGCACATGTAAACTATTAAAGCGTGACGTCATCATGTCTAAGGTCTATTAGTAACCATACCTTCCTGTGAATTACCTGCAGTCTCCATCGTTTGGCTTCTCCAAGTCAGGCTTGAGGAGCAAGTCTCTTAAACCTGCCTATACCACGAGTCTATCCCCAAGGCCCACTGTTAGAGTCGATCGACAGAAGCTCGGTCTCGACCAATCTATTGCTGTTTTTTTTAAAGTCTGTTTGCAGGTACTTATTTATGGACTGGAACTCGGCGAAACAAATCTGTAATGGCGAGAAACTGTCCAACTTGCCAACACTATAGTATTGCTGAATGATCCGATGTGAGGTCTGTGTATTATCGACAAGTGGAAAGCGTCAATTCGTGTAGTGTCCGGTTCGGTGTTTTTCCATTCAAGTTGACATCACACAATACCGTGCCGTGAACTGTGTACAGGTTACCTACAGAAATAAAACGAACCGGAAAAGCAAATGATTATTTATCAGAATTATTTCCTTTTCCCTAGGACTGTGCTCAATGTGACAAGGAAGCATACTATAGCGTACTATCTTAAACTATCGATGATAGAAAATTAGCTAACAAATTATTACGTTAAAGTAAAAAAAATGTATCTGATAACCACAAACACATAATTGTGTACAATCAAGACAACTTATTGTGACGTCATAAAAGAAAATTCACTTCACGCTCGCAACGAAGTATGATCTATGGCACAGAAACAAAAGATTCGAAGGACGAACCGATTAAATTCATTCAGATCAATCGAATAGATCGAGTTTTCCCTGAGTTTCGACTGGGCCTATAAATGATTTCTCATTCCCCAAGGTATACAGTTCTGTCTATGAGAGGTATTTTCACTCAATCGTCCGGTCCCTATTGCGACTCTCAGCGTTACAACAAAATTTCAATTTTGAAATAGATAAATGAATCAAATATGCCTGTATAATAATGTCATCCTTACATGCATGTATAGCGCACTCACTCTGGTACAAAATGTGGAACGTATATAGGCATTATGTACAAGGCATGTACTGTCATATCGGAATAAAGGCGCCTGTTTTCGTATCCACGTTTTGAGTCCGTATATGTGTCATTTTACACGGCCTGCTTACAGTTTTATACTCAAAGAGAAATAAAAATGGTTAAGTATACCAAGCCAAAAAAACATGCAAGCTCAAAATGGACTGCAAAACGTGCAATGGCGGTTTGAAAAAAATGGGTACATACCTATGTTGCTCGATCCTCCATAATGCAGTCACCCTTTTTCTACAGCCATACAGTCTTGCGCGATGTTGCCCAGTGTTTGCACTTTGTCACACGCGTACCCAGGCTATAGGTTTACACACAGTACAGCAGTTAATTATTGAACCACGCATAATACTGACTGATATAGGGTTGTTTTTTTCCCCCTTTGCAAGACAAAGGTCGCAGATTATTTTTTTTATAACTTTTATAATCTGAAGTCAATACACTTTGTCCTGAACCCTAGACGATCGAGATTAGTTTTCGGTATTATTTTGTTGTCTCGTTTTAATCACTCCTTTGTTTTGTTGACTCGTGTTTTATTACGTTATTAGTTAATTGTGTGAGAGTTTTTTTTTCTTTAGGTTTGTTTGCATTTCTTCAATAAATTGTACTGCTCATAGCTCTTGGTTTCATTTTAAATAAACAAAACAAAAGTAATTTCACATTTGTAAAAACTTGCGAGAATAAAATCGACTGTTTTTACATTTCAATTGATGTCCAGCATCAATGTAAAAACAGTCGAAGCTTGCTTTCATTTTAGATTAAAAAAAAGTTGTTTCACATTTTTACTTGCGAGAATAAAATCGACTGTTCTATACATTTCAATTTCATTCCAGAGGAGGGCAGTTTCCCATGTTAGTTCAAACACAAAGGCCCTTAATGAACACAGTCATGGTGATGAAAAGAAAGCATACAACGTGCCGCGTAGAACTCTTATATATGTAGTTATGTAATGTTTGACTTATGCTTCTCCAAATATTTACCATCTCGACGTCGTGGAGGGGGATGGTCGAGAACCCACGTCCAAACGGTCAATGTGCCACTAAACAAAAACTGACCGGTGCTCAGTACTACTAGCCAGGGTGAGGGCCGTAGTCAGCCTGGAGTGGTGGGAGGGATCAGGGATGTTGAAACTTGAAGCGCATCTTTCATGTCTATCCGCACAGAAATACATGTAGGCCTACACATTAATTGAGTAAAACTTAAAATAATGTCAATCCCAAGGAAAAAAGTGGAACTGCGGTCAATTGGGGGGGGGGGGTGTCATCCGACGTACCCCTGTCCACTTACTAAACTGTCGGGCCCACCGTAGCCGGGGAATCGGGGGGGGGGGGTAGAAAGACCATGGAGGAAGGAATTAACCTTCCTCCATGGAAAGACCTACCCATCCCATTACATGTCCCTATTTATATCCCATGACGTCACGACGTCGCGGCTGTCAATATAACTGGTACTTGTACTTCTTCTATAAATCGGCAAGCCTTACGGGGTGTCGGACGCTTCGCCCCATTTCCACGTCGCCCCATGTCACTTCGCCCGTTACCACTTCGCCCCATCCCCACTTCGCCCCATCCCCACATCGCCCCATCTCCGCTTCGCCCCATCCCCGCTTCGCCCCATCCCCGCTTCGCCCCATCCCCACTTCGCCCCATCCCAACTTCGCCCCATGTAGTATGAAAAGGTGAAGGCTAGGGGTGCAGACCAAATAAACTGCCAAAGACCCCAGATAATAAATGCTCCCAATTCTAGAAACTCAGGAAAAATACAAACTCTCTGATGAGGTGCTCGAGACACAGATGAGAGAAATGATGGCTCTATCCCATTCAGAGACGCCTCTCCTATCATGCCTATTGGCTTGTGAATAAAATCATCAGCCCGGCTGGATTCAAAAGAATCCGTAGGTATGGGTCAGTGAGTTAAAAGGAATTCACTGCCTTGAGGAAAATGTTCCGTCAACATTAGGATGTCAAAGGTATTGTCGTTCTCAGATAAGTGGGAGACGCCCGGTTGGTATAGCTGGGTTGGGAACAGTTGGATCTCAGTTACTTCAAGCTTTTTTCTCGGTAGAGGAGAGCCTAGCTTGAGAGGTTGGTTATGAATTGTTCATTTGGTGATGGGCTAATTCTTTCCGTTGGTTAACAATTAGTGAATCTGTAGAAATTTTTTTTTTTTAAGCCAATATAACAGATGAGATTTTTTTTTTTACATGTAACGGCTGGGGCGAAGTGGGGATGGGGCGAAGTGGGGATGGGGCGAAGTGGGAATGGGGCGAAGTGGGAATGGGGCGAAGTGGGAATGGGGCGATGTGGGAATGGGGCGAAGTGGTTAGGGGCGACGTGACATGGGGCGACGTGGAAATGGGGCGAAGTGTCCGACATTCGCCTTACGAATACGAGTGAGCACCAGTTACGTGAAAGGCACATTCACATTCTCGTCAACCTCGTCCCCGGGGCTTACTATATTTTCAACCTCGCGCTGAGATAGCAGGTAGCGGTGGCCGCGTACTGCTCGACACCCTGAGGACGAGGCTGCATTCTCGTTTGTTATCGATCAGTGTTGTGGAACTCCGTCACACTCTTGTCCGCTCAAACCCGACAAAAACTCATGGAAAGTCAAGGTAAGTGAGACTGGTGATTGTTTCTTTTATTTCTTTGTCAACTCAATTAACATATGCGTCAATTAGCTGGCTAACATTGGATGTTTGTAAGGGTAGAACACGTAATTTTTAAAAGTGAATCCTCTGGCTCTGTGCATGACTAAACGTACTGTGTGGTGCACAGTTCCCACCGCGTCATCACAGGGAATTTCCCATTGCACTTTTTGCAGTATTGCGCGGTACGTCGTAGGCCTATATTGCTGTTGTGCCCATTCTTGAAAATCACGCATTCTCGAAAATGGGCATGCACATTCTCGAGAATGGGCGCGCATTCTAAGAATGAGCGCCCATTCTTAAGAACGAGCACGCGTTCTTAAGAATGAGCGCTCATTCTTAAGATTGGTTGGGAATATCACGTGCACAATTTATTAATTTTGCCCAATCTTAACAAACATTGCACGACATAATTATGTTAAATGAATTGTATAGCGGTTAAAAGGGAAACAATTCATATATTGAGGAAAGAAAATGTGCTATGCTTCTGTACTCGTATAATTACGATAATTTGAATCAAATTAAACCTGTTATTATTGCTTTTTTCTGCCCACTATGGGAAGTTTTGTAATAACGGAGGACTGGGAACTAGTCTGGGAAGTGCTTTGTTTAGGCTAGACAAGTTACAAGTCCCTGCATGTATCATATGCGTGCCACAAAAAAACCGATGTCCAGAACCTGCCAAAATTGCTCTTTTGACTAGATAGAATCCAGCTCTGCGACGTTATGGTGGGATGTGAACAATAAATTGGTGGCAATTTAAATGGGAAATAGCATTAGCACTATGGGATGTCGCAGTATTCATTCTCATTCTTCACATTCTTCATTCTTACGTCCCCCCCCCCCCCCCCCCCCCCCCCCCCCCCCCCCCCCCCCCGCTTTTATTATCCCAAAAATCAGAATTCTTTGCACTAGTATTATTATGTCTCTTATATTTTCCCGGTCCCCCCCATATTAATACGCCTTTACTTATCATATCCACTCTACTTTTCAGCGCCTTGCGTTGCAACAGTATAATTATTGAGAATCAGTGAACGAGGATTCAGCTAGACTTGCCAAGCGCAGCCGGTGCTCGGCATCGACAAGACCGTTATCTTGTCGCGCATTCTCGAGAATGTGCGCTCAATCTGGAAGAGTTATTTTTTGCCAAGATTGAGCAAGGATCCAGTTGCACATTCTCAAGAATGTGCATGCCCATTCTCGAGAATGCGTGATTTTCAAGAATGGGCACAACATTGCCAAAACTCTTCGTTAATTAACGAGCTCTCCTATTCCTTCCTCCATGCTCCAATTAATACAAACAGAATTACTAAATATCACTGTGCAATCAGTTGACGTTGGTGTCAAAACTGTGTAGGCCTAAACAGTTTTTTACTCATTAGTTACTGGCATGAAATTTACTATTTAGTCCAGTAAAATTTCGTCATGTTCGTGGGAAAGAATAAATCCAGATTGTGCACAAAGTCTATGGAGCTGAGAGTCATGGGAGAGTCAAGAATATTTTTCAAGTATTTTCTAACAAAATTGGAAATGTTCCTCTGTCCCGGATTCATGTCTTTTCATCGTTTTTTCAATGACTGACCTTCGTTGAGATGATATATGATAAAAAAAAAGTGGGTTCAGGATGCAACATTCTTTCCAGATCGTGTCCTGAAATTAAGTCAAGTATCCAACTGAAATTTGAGTCATGTTTTCTTGTTTGTCATAACAAAAAAATTAAAATCATTTGCTTATTTTTGTTTGCATCTTACAAGTGGTCTAAGCGCATGTAAGAAAAAAAAGTCTGAAATGGGGTGGTATTAAAACTCTATGATAAACCATATCGTGGTTTAGTTTCTCTGTCATGCGTGTATTTTTTTTTACACACAGCAAATTAGCCGATAGTGGTTTCTTAAGACTTAAAGGGAATGTACAACATTTGCTTTTGCTGTAATTTTCAGAAATGGATGGAATTGGGGGGTTGGAAATATATAGCAAATATAGTTAGTTACACTGACTTTTTTGAGGTTTTGGGTTCAAAAATGCTATAAAAACCAAGAAAAACAATCATTTTCCTGTAGTCTGGTTCCCTGACTCCATTTAAGAAGAAACAGAGCAGTTTACATACATTGGGGAATTGTAAGGTCAGGGAACCAGTCTAGCTGGCTTGTACCTGTTCATAGGTGTGTAATCAATTGCAAACAAGTGCGATGGTCAACTGGGGCCAGTATTTGAAAAAAAAGCCAGTTTTTTCCAACGCTGTTTGGCCGATCAGCGTTGGAAATTGATACGAAAATACCACTTTTCTTGAAAATGACAGTATACCAGGTGCCATGATTTTACAGGATGCTTTACACTGTCATTCACTAACAGTCCAGCAAGGTATTTCAAAATGATTTGGTAGTTTTATTTTTGGATGTTTGCAAATGTTGTATCTTCCCTTTAAGGGAAAGAATATTGCATCGTGATGCCACTTTTATCATCATATATTATCTTAATGAAGGTCAGTTATTGCAGAAATGTTGAAAAGACATGCATCTGGGACTTAAAAACATTTCCAATTTTGTTAGAAAATACTTTAAAAATGCACTTGTCTCGCCATAGACTTTGTACACAACCAAAGAAGTGGTGTCTGGATATTACATTCTTTCCGTTTCGATGACTAATCTTTCATTTTTCTGATAATTCTGGCCCAATTTCTTCATTGTTAGCTGTCGCAGCACTTGGTGGTTTAACACAACCATTCATGACCCCAGATATGCCGAAAACGAGTACAAGTAGCAAAAAATATCAACCATTCCCCCACTCCATTAGTGCCTCAGTCTGCACAATAAAAATTGCAACAGAATGACAATATACATTTCATGTTCGTTCTTTCAGGAAGCACCGTAGCTGCTCCGCTGCCGGACAAGCAGGGCCAGGCTTACAGTCAGCAGCCTGCCCCAGGGTATGCCCCAGGGTATAACGCCGGGCAGATGTCTCAGGCTCCCGTCCCCCAAGTCATGTACCCCCCAGGCCAAGCCCCACCGGCCTACTCGGTAAGTAACTCTATATAAAGTTGCTGGGAATAGACCCGTGCAGTTGGAGGAAACAACCATTACGCCTCTTCAATAAGGGAATAAATGTGTGCTCCGGAGGTTTTTATCACTCTGTTTAATACCACTTAGAGTCTGGGTGCTGATAATTACCCGAGCCGGAGGCGAGGGTAATTATCAGCACCCAGACTCTAAGTGGTATTAAACAGAGTGATAAATACCGACGGAGTACATATTTATTCCCATTCATAAATACCTTTTCGGTAAAAAAAAATCATATAATTCGTTCAAAACATCCCGTTTTTGTTCAACAAATTCACTTCATGGTTTTTGAATCATCCCTCCTGCAAAATAATGGAGTGTTCAGCTGGCGAGTAAGATGAAAACAACCCTTTTATGGAGATTGACGCGCGCGTATCATGTTCTATGCGATGTCGCGCAGAACGCACCTGGCGCGTTGCGTTTTGAATTTAGAACTATAAAATTCTAACTCCATGGTAGTGTTGCGCATGCCTACGTGAGGATTGTGAACGTTCAACCAATGAAACGATAAGAGGCACTGGATTTTTAGGAGTCCACATTTTATTGTGACACTGGAAAAGTGTTTAAGACCAGCTAGCCATGTCTTTATCATCCGTTTAATACCGGCCACGTGACGGGCTCTCGACCAATAGGAATGGCTAAACTGTCTGAGGTATTTATGAATGAGCCTTTTCGCAATGTCAACTGCGCGTGTGCACCACAATTTTTAGTTTAATGAGGTTTTATGAGGGATACAAAGCAGATGAATGCACACAATAGACCTTATTCACGATGAAGCTATTTTTGATCGTGTTCCCTGAGTTTCATTTACACGTGATTTTGTCGCGCGATAATGTCACGCGTATTTATACACACACACAAATCAATGAGCGCGTTTACATAAGTCGTGCGACTTATCGAACTAATAATTTCAAAAATCGCGCAACATATCACGCATTTGTTCATTTGCATTGCCGCGCGACATAGTCCTTGCGACAAAATCATTTATAAATAGGCCTTGTAAACTGTAGAATGGGATGGTGTCAGACTATTGATTTTTCATTTTCATTTTTTAAAAAATTAAATAAAATACACAATATACTGGTAATGACATTTGCCAAAGTCACTGATTTAGAAGGAAAACAATTCTAACTTTTAAAAAATTTTATCCCAAATTTTCCAGACGGCTCCACCAGTTCAGTACATCATTCAGAACCCCCAACCGCTTGTCAATCCACCCAATGATTACTTCATCCAGGCCATACTCGTCACCGTGTTCTGTTTCTGGCCAACCGGCATCATTGCCATCATCAAAGCATTGGATGTGAGTATGAGAGTCTTAGGCCCCCCCAAAAAGTCTCCGGTTTCTGGTATGGAGCTTGCCCAAAAAGTGGTGCAGCGACGCGGCTTTTTTTTTTTTTACCTGATTTTGTGCTTCAAATGTCGGCTGATGACTGCAAATGGTGCCCGACTAAACTTAGTGCAAATATATGGGAGTCCAGAGAGGCCACATAAAGCTTATTCTCGACCATAACCCAATCTAAAAACACGTTAAAATTGTGCAGCAGCAGGATTCCAGTCAAACCAGTGAGTTTGGCGGTTTTGAGACATCATCTTTCATTGAAAAAAAACTTTTTCATTTTGCCTACGGCGACGCGAGCGCATACCAGAAACCGGAGACTTTTTTTGTAGGGGGCCTAAACTACTTGTTTCCCACCTTTGTTTATCACACATCAGTTGAGGGCGTCAACATGCAGTGACTTGTAAAAATTTAGTAAGTTGGCCACAGATTCGCCTACAAATCTCTCTTAAAGACTTACAGTTCTCGCATGAAAGTATACTGTCTGAGGTACAAGGTAAGCAAACAAAATTGTCTTTTTTTTTTCTGTTTCGAAAGTAGCGTCAGGTTGCAAAATTTTTTCTTGTCATGATATATGATTCATTTTCTTGTCTTTGTGCTTTAGTCACGCAGAGCCGCCCAGACCGGTGATGCCCAGAATGCCCAGCTGTCCTCCCAAGCTGCTCGCAAGATGTCCCTCATCAGTCTCTTTGTTGGCATAGCGATACTCGTCGTCATTGCCATCATCATCGTCATTGAGCTGGTGGTCGTCTTCTCCTTATACTAACGACTTGAAGGCACTGGGGCCGGTTTCACAAAACCAGAAGACGGTTCAATGATTTCAGGACAAAGCAATAATGCATGTAGTCACCAGATTAAACGACCCAAACACTGATATTAAATTAAGACAAGTGTTAGTTACCAATGAAGTTTGGATGCATTGAACAAATCATACAGTTTGGTAAGATGTATTGCACAATATGCCCTCCTAAGACACATCTTAAGAGTTTTGTGAAATTGGCCCCAGCCGTGCTGTGGTGAAAAGAAAGGACTTGCATCACTGAGAGTTTTTACAAAGGGGAGACTTCAACTCCACTGTCAACTACTTACATAAAATAACAATAATGGGTATTTAAAAAGTGCACTCCCTGGGGAGTGTATGCTCCATGCGCCAACAAAAGAGGGCGCACTTTTACTTTTTCTGAGAGCCCCTTGAACGGGACTCTGCGTGTGGGCACTGTAATTCGCGCACGAATGTGCAAAAAGCCAAGCCACAGCGTCTTCGCACGTGTGTGTCAGGCGTCGTTGGCGCGTGAATACATTCGAATCGCTCCAATTTAACTTGCGATTGTCTCCCACACTAATCTCCGACCCCAACAACTTTAGATCTTTCAAAATACGCAGTGGATGAATCGGAAACCAGTCTAGGTCACCCCCAACTCTCCTTTTTCTGGCGTTGATGGGGTACATGTGCATGGAGCCCATACAGCTCGCTGCCATTTTGGCGCAAAGCAGCTTAAATCAACCACAATAACCATCTCTGCCCTCACAGGTACCCATTCACTCCTGGGTGGAGAGAAGCAATTAAGGATATAGTCCATCATTTGTAATTTGTGCATTTTGTTCGTTTGAAGCAACAAAAGTGTTCAAAATCTAATGAAGGATACTGAACAACTAACCTGATGAAGTTTCAGCTCAGCTTCAGCTGTATATTCCGAGAAAAACAGCATTCTAGGATCTCAATTTCAAATCAAAAGTTGCTGAATCATGTTTTGGATTGGGCCTGAATTCAGCGTCTGAGACGCGTTCTCACTGAGCCGATTGCAGCTATACGCGATGTCGCGCATTGATCCGACGAAATATAGCAACCGCACGCGTGTGTGCGTCATGCCAATGCTTGCGCACGCTGCGCCGAATAACAAAACGAACTACTAATTTAAATTTTCCTACGGTGCGTCTTAAGACGCACCGTTGGATCGGCCTTCTTTCGTTGATTACTTCAAAATGACAGCTCGCCAGAAAGAATAATTTCACAGGGAGTTTAGTCCCCTTACTATCTTTCAACCAAGTATGTTTTCCAACAATAATTCACCAGTTACTTTTTGGATGGCTGCAAATGATTGACTATAGCTTTAAGGACAACATACTGGCCCTCGGGGACCAGCACCAATTTAAAAGTACAATGTAGTCTTTTTAAATGATGAGATTTTCGTCAGTGTGTAAATATTTTTTTCTGGAATCGGATGCTCAGCTAGTGGGAAATGGCTTGTCGAGCATTTTAAAGGGCAAATGAAATATTTCTACTGTACTATGTTTTATTTGAAATTTTGCCTTTTAGTTTTTTTTATCAGTATTCTTAATTTGAAAATAAGACATTTTTACTTCATGAGTTTTCGTGTTGCAGAGATATAGAATGTATTTTATTTTATCTTTTATTTCAAGTTTGGTTTAAATGGAGCATTTTCGTAGCTAAGGGAAATATAAGTTAAAGTTTGTCATGATATCTGCTATTTTTCTTTAAAGGAACCATATCAGGAAAACTTAAAGGAAGAGCAGACCATTGTCATTGGTGCAATTTTTTTTTGGGGGGGGGGAGGGGGTTGAAGTAACACAAGTGCTCAAAATCTAACAACTAAACCTGATGAAGCGTTAGCTCTGTCAATGCTGTATATTTCGAGAAAAAAAAGAACAATATTCTGATTTTTGATTTCAATTCAAAAAGTTGCAGAGTTGTGACACAATCCAATAACTCGGTATTCAGGACATGATTCTTGTTCCGCCGATTGTTGATACGTGATGTCACACACGACTGATAATTCTTGCTAAAAATAGCATCTGCGTGTGCGTCGTGTCAACACGCTTCCACGTATTCACGGATTTACCCAATTACAAACCAACTGTACCAATGGAAATTTCCAAAAATGTGTCACTTGACTCATCTTTGGGAATGACCTCTTTTTTTTTCAAAATGACAGCATGCCAGAAGGAATAATGTCACAGGGAGTTTATTGCCATTACTATCTTTAAACCAAGTAAGCTTTTTAATAATAATTTGGACGGTTACTTTTTGGATAGATACAAATGTTCACTGCCTTTAACAGAATTATCTTCATAACGGCCATTATTTACTTCAACTGACAAAATTTAACAGCTCGCATGTTTAAACTCGCATGCAAAGTATTCATTGTATTAAATAAAACTATACTAATATTCAGTCTTGCACATTTTCACTGACCACCGCAATCTCACAACCTCTGCATAAACTGTTGATTCATAAAAGTAGAGGATGTGATTTTGTTGTGTCCGAGAGAAATATTCAATAATACATGTAAAGTACTTTCGGTATATTTTTCTATAGATACAACCTGCTTTCTAAATTATTATTAAAAGATGTATCATTTTGATCAAGTTTAATAAAAAAAAAATCCTTCATTATAATGTAGCATCTTTACATCTGTTGCTGATGAAATAAAATTATTCTTATGTCAGAATAAATAGATAAAACGTCTTTAACAGAGCTTGTCCTCTTTTTTTACATTATATAGTTCATTGGTGTTCGATTGGGAAAAGAATGATGAAACCTGTTTCACTTTGATATTTATTTGTTCAATGTGTTTTTCTGCAACATAATTTGTGCCTGTTTATGCATGCATGAGCTTCATGACAAAGAAAGTCCCCCCTTCCAGTAAAAAAAGATCGATATAAGGCCCCCCAAAAAAGTCTCCGGTTTCTGGTATGCGCGCGCGTCGCCGTAGCCATGCGCGTCGGCAAAATGAAAACTTTTTTTTTTCAATGAAAGATGATGTCTCAAAACCGCCAAACTCACTGGTTTGACTGGAATCCTGCTGCTGCACAATTTTAACGTGTTTTTAGATGGGGTTATGATCGAGAATAAGCTTTATGTGGCCTCTCTGGACTCCCATATATTTGCACTAAGTTTAGTCGGGCACCATTTGCAGTCATCAGCCGACATTTGAAGCAAAAAAAACAGGTAAAAAAAGAAAAAGCCGCGTCGCCGCACCACTTTTTGGGCAAGCTCCATACCAGAAACCTGAAACTTTTTTTTTTTGGCCTAAATAAACATTTTCCAGTTAATGCTTGGAAAATCTGACTCTCTGCACAAAGTTAGCTTTAAGAAGCGGCTGAGGGCGCTGGTCACTACCTGAAGTATCTTAACTGGTATCCATTTACGTACGTAAACTTTGGTAAAGTTTTAAGCAGGAACTGACGAAAAAGCGTTGCGGACGGATACCAGTTAAAATCAAGATGGCAGCGCCCACAGGTTTGGCGATTTTGGAAGGTGTAAATAGATTTTTGAATACAGCTAGGTATAAAGAGGCTTTGGCGGTTATTAAAGGCCTGAGAAATGGAGCAGTGTAAGTATTCAATAATTCACGGTCAGATATGTTATTGTGGTCGTTTTCGTTCAGACGAAGCAACACTTCTAATGATCTTGAAATCTTCGACATTCGAGTCCATCCAGCGCGCCATCAGCATCAATCATGCATGATGATGATGTGCACCGCGCGCACCGGTAATCGTGTAGTTACGGACCCGGTTCCCCATAAGAGAAAAGCCACATTTATAAAAGTTTTAATTTATTTGACTTACTAAACTAGTAGTGGGCGACATTAAGAACATGCATGTAATGTATAGATAGAGGGTAAAAAGGTTTTAAATTTTTGAGGTAAAATATTGGGGGAAAATGAAGACCGCGATGAAAAGATAAAACACAACATGAAATAAAGATGGCATGGATGGCGATCGTCGCGATGTACCGTGAACACTGAACTGGCATTGTGCACTAAATCGCACAGCACCAAGCATAAACGCTAACTAAAATTGTTCTTTTTAGAAAATTTTACCCCTAGATCATGAAGATACAAAATTACAAAAAAATTCTTACCAATCTTAGTAGAATAGAGAAACACTTGAGAGAAGTCTGCTTTAGGTTGAAAAGGTTATTTTGGAATGGTAAAAAACATCCTTGACATCCTAATTTGATCGAAACTAGGCCTAAAGAGGGGCCCGTAACTAAATGATCGCTAGTGACTGTACTATCAGTGCATTACATCAAGTTGATCTTTTCTTGTTTTTTTTTTTTTTCCTCCCACAGGTATGGTGTTAAAATCAGGGCTCCGCATGCGCTGGTTATGACATTTCTGTTTGGAAAAGGAAGGTATGTTCATCCCTGACCTGGTCAATGTTGGTATGAACAGTTAAGTTGAATGATTGACAGAATGAAGAGGATATTAATATAACGCATAGGCCTAGCTTGAGTAATTCCAGCTCCAATGCTCATCCGGAATTCCACATATAAAGAGCTTGAGCTTAAACTATGTTGCATATACTAGATTCTTTAAATAGTCCCTAAAAAAATGGGACTCTCTGTATCTGCATCACAAAAATGGTCCTTTTTCCCTCTATTATCCCAACCCAGATTCCATCAAACATAATGAGGTACGTGTAATTGAATCTGGGTTGGGATAATAGGGAAAAACTAGGACCATTTTTGTGATACAGATCATACAGAGAGTCCCATTTTTTAGGGCCTCTAAGAATCTAGTATCAACAACATAGTTTGAGCTCCAGTTCTTTCATGTCTATATGTCGAATTCTCGATGAGCATTGGAGCTGGAGTTACTCAAGCTAGCATAGGCCTACATTTTTAAACTTGTAATCTATCAAACTTTAATTTGTTTTTCTCTGTAGCTTTCGTCAACAAGTCATTTCTATCCTGAGAGCCACCTACACACATTCAAAGAACCTAGCATTCTATGTATTTTTGTACAAGCTGATGTTGTTCATCATGCGATGGGCGGAAGGGAAGGCCCATCACTTACACCCGCTAGTGGCAGGATTCATCGGGGGTTATCTTATCTTCGGCACCAATGACAAAATCAATAGTCAGGTGGGTTGCTTGCTCCAGTGATGTAGTGCCTTGATGCTCCGCCTTGGCCTTAAGGCTGCCTTAAGGCTGGATTTTAGGGCCTTGGCCTCGGCCTCGAGGCTTGAGGGCAAAAGCCTTGGCCTTGAGGGATCACGGCCTTGCAATTTTGAGTCAAGGCTCTTCAAGGCCCATAGATTTTTGCATTTTCCAGATAAATCTGATCGAAATTTTGCTGTTACCATTTTAATCATATTACCATGGAGGAGGGAACCCCTTGTAGATTTGTGTGTTGGGCACACATCCACTTTTATAGCATCACATGTTGTTACCATTGTAGTAGATTTGCTGCAAAAATATTCTGTACACTTGTGGGGCTAATGAGATGATCACTTAAATTGCATACAATTATGGAATAGATCTGATTGGTTGTATTTCTCCCTGATAAGTGCTAAAAATTTGCTAAAGTGCTAAAGCCTTGGCCTTGGCCTCGAGGCTTGAAGGTCTAAGCCTTGGCCTTGGCCTTGAGGGTCAAAGCCTTGGCCTTGGCCTTGGCCTTGAAGGTTTAAGCCTTTGCTCCAACACTGGCTTGCTCACTCCAGTACTCCTCCGAGTCCCGAACTTGGCTTTGGAGTCAAGGTTTTGTTTTGGAATCAACTGTAGATTTCCTTGGCTTGGGCGATTCAAACATTTTCTGGATTCAATCTTGTTTTTGTTGAAGAGCTAGGGCCTAGATGGTGTTTGGAATAGACTCAAATTTCCCTGGAAAAAAATATAAAAAACATGAAACCCTTAAAAGTATACAAAAAAATGAACTGCAATAGTAAATGGCTAAAGACTGATACAAGATACAATGTAAGTGTCATAGTTTTTACAGGATAGAAAGAGATTAAAACAGAACAAGTTGCGCTGAGCTACACCTCCAGCAATAAACTCTGTTGAGTTTGTTTCTCCCTAGAATTGCTTGTTCTTTGTACTTGTGTTGCAGTTGTTGGAGTCTCAGAATTATTGGGTGCTGCCTGTAATTGAGTCTCAGAGAACTACAAATATGGCAAGAGTTCATCGCAAAAACTGCAATCATTAATCCGACTGCGAGCTGTTATTATTTGATCAGGACATGGGTCACAGTTTACTGAAGCCCATCCTAGGTTGTTATGACCCTAACTCCTTAGGCCTTTTTGCTAGGATGTAGCCTCAATCCTGCAAAATCCCTCAATTGCCTCATGAAAAAATAGCATATAGCCTCGATCCTGCAAATTCCTGCATTATTTCTTGAATATGGTCCGTGGAGGGGTGACCACTGCCTGAATCCTGCAAAATCCTGCGGCTTGGACTCAATATGTTGAGGCTTGGCCAGTGACATCCTGGAGCAGTGCAGAGGAGTTTCAAGCACAATCCAGGGCTATATTTATGCATGACTGAGAAAAAATAACACAAGGTCCGGCCCAAGACCTTGACAAAGTGCATCCTGCGAAATCAGTAACGCACTTTTGCCATGTAACCTCAATCCTCCAAATTCCTCCACTTTAACAAAGAGGATTTTGGAGGATTCAGGGCGGTTAAGGATAACCTGTGTGCAACTTCAGATATCATGGACACGGAGTAAAAGCTTAATTTTTTTTTGTACGTTTTATATCAACAGATCAACATGTATCTGCTCTCCCGGATCCTATTTGGTTTTGCCCGCCTGGCCGTCAAGAAGGGCGTGATTTCTCAGCCCAAGAGGGACCCCTTTCCCATCTTCGCCGCCGTCGTCTGGGCAATAGTCATGTGGCAGTTTGCGAGCCACCGAGAGGTCTTGCAGCCCTCGCTGCAAAACTCCATGACGTATCTGTACCACGATTCCAACGTGTGGCACGGCCTGAAGGACTTCCTCTGGCACAACAGGCTATGATTACCACGGAAACTTGATAATTATCATAGAGAAAGGCGATATCTCTAGGACCATTTACAGCCAACTCTCTTTAATACAAACTCAACTGGACCTACCCAAAATGTTTGTTATAATTATCAGAATTTTGTATTAAGTGAAGTGCCCATCCCATTCATTGTGCACATAAAGCACCGTCGTCGGGACCAAGTATTTATGTTTGCTATAATCAGAATTTGTACGAACAGTGTTTGTATTAACAAGAGTCGACTGTATTTTCAAGTTTGAATGCTCGGAACATTTCCTCCGGCCGGGCGAAATGCCTTTTCGAATAAACAAGCCCTTGATTCTGAATACAGCTTGGAGATGCCAGATTATGAATCCTTAACATTAACAAGAGAGGGCGCTATGCAACCTTACAGTTAGCGCATGTGGAGGACACTTGGCTGGTACACGCACACCGTTCACTGTTTTATAAAACCAACGTATACCAGTGCGCACCAGGCAAGATGGCACCCAGTGGTCCTTCAATATTAGAACATGTGAATTTTAATGTATTCTTGAGAGCATGTGTTCTGCATGGTCACCATTTTGTTTTGTTTTGTTTTTTGGGGAACATGGGGGGGGGGAATTTGGTCTCATAAGTTTGGGAGTTGGATGGAATTGGAATAAGGTGTACGAGAAGAATGTGTTGAGATGCTCCTTTAAGTTTCTCGTTAGGAATGTTGTAATTATGATGAGGTAATCCTTGGAGTTTTGCAAAAAAAATTCCTTTATGTCTATGGTTTCCCAATATATACGGTCTTTTTATTAAGATTGTATTGAAATGCCTTATATTCTGTGAAAACGCCAACAAAGCTTTATGTTGAGCTGAATGTAAACTTAAATAATAAGGACCAAGTTATCAATTTTGTCGGTTGTAAAAAAGTAAAAGTGTGAACTCTGTGCAGATTGGTAGTCTGCAACTGGGCACCATCTGTGACATGCTGTTAGCCAAATACAGACAGAATCCATTTATTTAAAGCTTTGTGATGTTTAGCTATGCACAAAATATTTTGCACAGGGTGTTATAGGTCAAACATCTTTCGTATTTCTCACATTTGTTACCCCAAAATGCATTTCTTTTTGTTAAAATGTTAGTGTTTTATCGAGGGGCATGTTAGGGGCTAGAATCATAATTGTAATTATTTTGAGATGTGTCAATCAGTCAATCACAAGATAATCACAAGTTAGTCACACAAAAAAAAGATGAACATTAACAATGGCAATGAATTTCAGAGCTTGAGTGTTCATTTGAGATCATGACTGACTACTAATTGATAAGTTAGGCCCTTTGATAACTTGAATGTGTTAGAAATTAAACAATTGCTAATTATTTATATATTATCGTATTGTTTTGTATGGGATGCACTAATAACCGAACCGATTTGGAGGGTTTTAGAAAGAATTTATTAAGTGCTTTTATGCAGCCTCCACCACTTTTTTTCTTTCTCGTATCATTTCCCAAGTATTGTAATTATTGTGTAATTTATTTTACTGGATACGATGTATAATTGGTTAAAATGCCAAAAAAAATTGAACTTGTAAATTTGCTATTTTTAGAAAAAGTTCTAGAAGGTATATAAATAACTAGAGAAAAATTTTTGACCCAAAACATTGGTGTCATTGTAAAGTTCTTTTTCAACAAAACTAATCATGTAGACCTACAGCCCCGCTCTAATCCTTGTTCAAGAGAGCCTGGCAGTGCTATCATATAGGATTACCTTCTAATAACCCAAAGCTTGCGCATATCTTGTAAGCCACATACATTGAAAGACTACCAGTGAATAAAGCCGTTCGGAATCAATTTTGCGTGCCCTGTTGTTTGGACCACAGAACCTAACTTAATTGTCTCATAATATGTGTCTTACTATCTATCACTGTTTGGAATATTCCAGTGCATACAAAAAAACTATTATATCGTTGATCATAACTGCCAAGTGCGTGAACCCTGTTTCAAAACTGTCAACTGATGCGGCCAGTGGCGGCGCTATGGGGGGGGGGGGGGGGGGGGGGGCGTGCATGGGGTGCATTTGCATGGCCTTATGATCAGCAGCGTCTCCATAGGCAGGTGAGGGCCCGGGGGAGGGGCAATTAACATACCAGGTATTTTATTTCTGATAGAAAAGGGAGTTTTGGACACTATCTCACAACTTGCAGGTGTGATTTAAGTGGCGCTCGTGTGGATACTGCAACTATAATAGCCGCTGTGATCGATCGAGGTGGTGGCACTCTTTTTTATGGGGGGACTCGGAGTTGCCCCAGTGGTGGTTCTACGGGGGGGGGGGGCATTTTGTCTAGCCCCCCCCCCTTAAAAAAAAAATCCATGGAAAAAAATTGCACTAGCATAATGTCAGAATGTGATGTGCAAGCGAACGGTCTCCCCCTGAATTAATAGTCGTGATGAGAAGGGTGCATTTGTACACTTTGAGTTAATATAGTGTGCCTGATTGTAGGATTTTATCAGCGCTCCCCATTGAAAATATGGCACGAGCCCCCCCCCCCCTCCCCCATTGATTTTCGGAGGCCTAAGTGTCCGGAGAAAATAACCGCGCCTGAGTTGCCCGCCCAACCATTAATAGGCACACGAACGCAAGAGCACTGGCATCTGGAGTCGGCGGCGGCTTACGGGTCTTGAGACTGTTTTGGGGAGGTCAAAGGAAGGTGAAGGATAAAGCGTACCCTGCCACTGATGAGGCGCAGTCAATCGGTCATGTTCCGGTCAAGGCTAAGGGACCGGGAGTAAATTCGTGGTGGTCTGTGGGTTCATGGAGGAAGGAATAAGTTAATTCCTTCCTCCACCTTCCTGGTGGGTTCCAACTGATATTCCTTGCTCTCTTTAGTGGAGGTTTAAACCTTGGTTTTGTCTCCAAACTTCTGATTTCGTCTCTGACAGCCTAGCTTGGCTCAGGATTCCTGAGATTCATGCCAAAACGAACATTCAATTGCCTTGGCCCCGTGTCATATTTACTTAGGAATGGACCATGCATTGACACGAAATCTTGCAAGAATGGAGCCTGATACCGCAGCTGGTAATGAAACCCAAGTTTCACAAAAGTGAAAATGGTGGCGTTTTAAAATGTTGAGTGTATAGTCTTGCTTCGAGACTTGTTTCATCCCAACAATCCACAATGCTCGAAAAACACCGCCCTTAGGCCAAAAAAAAAGTCTCCGGTTTCTGGTATGCGCGCGTGTCGCCGAATCCTGCTGCTGCACAATTTTAACGTGTTTTAGATTGGGTTATGGTCGAGAATAAGTTTATGTGGCCTCTCTGGACTCCCATATATTTGCACTAAGTTTAGTGGGGCACCATTTGCAGTCATCAGCCGACATTTGAAGCAAAAAAATCAGGTAAAAAAAAATAAAAAGCCGCGTCGCCGCACCACTTTTTGGGCAAGCTCCATACCAGAAACCGGAGACTTTTTTTTTTGGCCTTAGCATCCGGCGCGGTTAAATAATATTTAGAGAGCTAGAGAATTAAGTGATGCCGGTCAATTCAAGAACCGATATATTGACTTGATGTTGCAAAATTGCATGCATATCATTATACGCATCTTGGCTTAACTCATCCTTAAAAAGTAACGATCCTGAATGACCTCTGCCAACTAGGACAATGAACGACCGTTCCTTATGGCGACTCAAGTGAGGTCAAAATTACCCCGTGCCATGCCGCGACCCGTAAGTTCAGTGAAACTCGCGATCAGTCAACTTTCTAGACTTATAATAGGTTGTGCTTCGACTTTATCGATCATGTCCGATGTTTGTGTGGAAAAAAATAAAGCTGGCAAGAGCAGATCAACTGTACGTATACTTACTGCATTGTTATTCACAATGGAGCTTATGTAATTCTTGTTTGAAGAAAGCCCGTGCTGACGTGTACATTAATCAGCAACTCAGGGTACCGTGGCACGGTGAACACAATACATGTACATGTACTACCAGTAGCCCATCGTACAAAAGGAAGCAGAGCCAGCTAATGTATACGTGCTCCTATCCTCCGCGCAATCGGGCGCCGTGCAAGTAAATGATTGATGCTGGTATTGGGATATACTTTAAGCTCCGTGCTTGCTGGACGGATGATGACTTCAAGTTTTCTTCGAGTTTCTCGGACGGTGAAGTGCTCAAGATACACACAAGGAATGTGCCTTGATTGACTTGAAGGAGACTTCGGAAAGACTAGCGAGTGAAAATCGGTAAGAAAAGACATCGAACTTGAAAGATGAACTTTCTGATATACATGTATATAACAGTGTGTAACTACGGGGTGCGCTTTTGGCCAGCTTTTCTTGGAGAGGCCAGAACTCAATGAGTTTGATGATTATTTCAGGCAAGACAATTCAAGTTCTTCCATTTCCCCCTTCAGGAAGAGGGGGCAATGTTGGCTGCTTTTCGTCGATCCCTTGCTACAGTCTGCACCACTAGTACTAGCCCTATAAATGGACCAAAATACTGACTACATATATATGCGGAGCATATGTACGGAGGTACTTTCAGTTTTGGGTCCCATTAAGGGCTACACCAGAGCAAACATGCATGCATGGCTACCGTCATGTAAAAACATGTCGGTATAAAACACACAGAAAATCTTCCAATTTTCCATGGTGGAAAGCGTTTTTTCTTTGGCATGATGTACAAAATAGATTACATGATAAGTAGTATTGCTAGGAATACATTTACTGCAGAAATCTTTGAACGTGCGCCTCGATGAACCGTACTGTAGCCAATTAATGCGGAAGACGACGTTTCAAATATTGCTTGTAAATTCCCTGGTTCAGATTCGTGATCGTTTGTTAGTACCAGAATTGAATTCATAATTGAGTAGCATCTTGATTTTTTTCTCATCTCACGTGCCACTGATTACACTACATTTAAAGACTCCCGTACAGATACAAACAGCCTAATTATTCCGAAATCCGGGAGTAGCTAGCCCCCGATCGCACCCAATAAAAAGAGTAACAAGCTGAGTGTTAATGTTATCAACCTTTCCATATTTTCAGGGCTGCCGTGACAGGCCTTTTTGTTATTGATCCCAACATCTGCTTGTTTGAACGTCTAAGTCATCTTTTAGCTCAACTGATTATTGATTACCATACCAACATATGATGATTGCTGCCCTATCTATTGACAACATTTAATCTTTAAAGAGTTATTCTTTAGCCCTGAACATTTCACAAAGTGACCTTTGTAATTACAATATTACATACATGTTCTTATCGTAAACCTTTTGTTCAGAGTTGCTGACGTCAAGTTCATGAGACAAGACGACATCTTACCACGATGACACAGATTCAAAGTTCACTCTTGATATGTCGCTACTTGTTTGGACACAATCATTTTTTGTTTAAATTTACTTTGGAAAGGTTGTTACATGTATAGGTATCGCGGAGGTCAAGAAAAGGTTATTGTGCAATGGAAGATGATCATGCATATCATCGGTGAAAATGTACGATGCAAAACCAACGCATCCCCCTTTCTTGAAATTGACGGATTGTTTCAAATCACATTCCGTTCGATTTCAAATGAGGTTGCCGGCAGTATCTCTGCAATTCTGCATCGAATTTTTCCCCTTTGAAATTTCTTGTATTCTGTACTTGTAAGCCTTGTTATATTACAACCAAATTGCCTCTACGGTAGGCATTTTGATCTCATTACAAGCCTCACAATAATTAGAAATCTAGAATTACATTTGACAGAACTTTAAAACGGTGGTTGTGTTTAAAATTCCGTAACTTGAAAAGTACACGAGTGATTTGAATGATTCTTGTACTAAAAGAAAGTTGATGCATTGGGCTTTCATATCCTGGATTTTGAAAGTGCTACATGCAGAACTTCACTAAAACAATAGTCCCGACATTTTTATTTTTTTTTTTTTGCTTTTTTTTACTCACCCTGTATGTGTGGATGACTACGTGCAACTGACAAGTGAACTTTAAACTCAGGGAATAAATAGTCATGCATCACGCGCGTTCAAATTAAGTGTTCTAATTTGCATTGAAACAAAAAAAAACATATATACGGGTTATTAGCATAATCGTAATGGAGGCAGGACTGTTGCTCCCAATGAAATGATCGGGAAGACGATCGAAGGACGAGCGAGTCAGCTGCGAGATGAACTGACGCATAAAATTAACTTAAGATGGGCACAAAATTGAGAATGTTGAGCGGTTTTATCAATTGGAAGTCCACAGCTGTTTTTTGAAAAGGGGTTTGCTGAACCAAACATTATTATATGATGCCAAAAAAAATGTTTCCTATATCCCGTCCCCTCCCTACCAAGAAAATCGTGAAGAACCTTAATATTTGTATTAAAAAATAATTCATACAAACTTCTGGTGCCGCCCACCCTAGTTTTTGCGGACATTGTCCTGCCTTTAATTTTTTTTTTTTTTAATTCAATTTCATATTTTTTTTATGATGCGATCAAGCTAAATGAGTCGTTTGTCGACCCTGGTTAATCTCTTTTTTTTTTACAGATTTGAAAAGAGCACAATCAATATTACTGCTGTGAAAACTGCATGCTGATCCCATCTTTAGTTCAAAACAATATGGAAGTCGGAACACCAAGAGATTTGATGAAGTGATTTGATGAAGTGGCCTCATTTTGGCCTGAATCTCCTTATTAAAGTTTTCGACAAACGACTCAGTTAGCTTGATCGCAAAATGTTGGTTGACATGTGTTCTTGCCGTATGCGGCAGCGAAGCCTATAGTGCAGCAAATGCAGAATGAAAAATTGATTCACATATTTACTCTTAACTGATACGGATAGAAGCGAAACAACTGGGAAGTTAATCGACCACCATATTATTTGAATGACCCCAACGCATCCGAGAATCGATTGAAAGCTGCCCCGTTTGTAACTGAAGCCAATATTCCATTACTGAATATTAGCGCACCGCTAATAAATACGTCTCGGTGCTTATAGTTAGACTGCAGCACGAACAACTACATATAAATATTACCCTTTCTAAAAAGTGGCCTTCCTCAGCCAAATCATGCCTTTTATGACATATTTTTACAGTAAATTTGTTGCAGTAAATATAATTATCAGACATTATTTGGGATTTCAAATTTGCAAAAATGAAAAAATGAAAGTCGAAACAAATCACCCCATATCGTCTTTGTTTAGTCGTACATGCCCACGCACGTTTTAAAGCTATATACTATACCCAGATGTGTCCGAGTTTGATAACACACGTCACGTAAAGCTTATAATATAATGTTTGTTAAATCATTGTAGACGGCTGTTTCCTGGGTGCAGCATCATCCACCGACGACTGTTGCATTCACTACTGGTGCTTGCAGCAGGTGGCACCACACCACACCGGGACGCAAATCTACTGGGGGTTTGCGGCTCAACATGTCAGCACGGAGAATCATCAGAGCCACCAAAAAGCGTATTACTGTGGGACTCTTGATTGTGTTAGCGACCCTGTACGCTAGCTTTGTGGTGTTCGGGCGGGGCTTTGTTCTCAGCAAAACAGGTGGGTACCAATTAACCATTTAATTAATTGATTAATGTATTAGTGACAGGTGTATGGGTACACCGGGATGATTGACCAAAATGTACGGGTTATATATCATACCCACGGCTGACTAGTAGCCCCAAAGGAATTGCAGACCAGTAAAAAAACACATTTAGAACAATTATCTTCCAAATTTTCTTCCAAAAATTAGTCAAATAATTAATGTAGTCTGTCTCTCCAAGGTTTTGAAAACATTCGTTAACTTAAAATCGCTTGATCTATCGTCAATTTCTGGTGGATATTCAGGGCGTAAGCCGTTGACATTTGGGTGACGTTTTCCTCTATAGATGGATCCACCCCCCCGTCGGCAGTTCGTCACTCTATTTCACTGCAACATGTTGGTATGCAATGTCACTTAGGATCAGTTTGAAATCCTGTCCTAAAAAGAAAAAGCGACAAAATTTCAAACTTGGTGCGGCTTCGCTGGTCCCAAAGGCCAGCCACGTGTCATTCTTGTTCCTATCTGATTGACTGTCTAAATCTTGACTTCTTGAACCAGTGTCGCGAGGAATTGTCTCCCCAACTTGTGTCTTATTCTGTAATACAAATACATTGGTTAGAATTAAAATCCTCATGACATTTGCTACTTTTGCATTGACGCAACTTCTGTCCTCATTATATTTGACCTCGAAGGCGTCACGGACGTGCCGCATTGACAGTTGGCATCCCACTTGTGCCAATTATGATATATCAGACTTCAGAGGGGAAGTCGTCATGACCTTGACGAAAATGATTTGCGTCCCTCTAGAGGTTTGGCAACATTACCAATAAATGTCACTGTCGTGTCAACATGCAATGAAAGAACGAGCCGTGAGCGGATCCGTTCAGGGACTTGGGGTGAAACGATTACGCATGTGCACCCAGGGCATTAATGGCCTGAAATCCCCGAAGATGAAAACTCATTATAAAAGTAATGCATCAAAAACCAACGTCTCCACACAATAATAATGATAATTGTGAGAAAATGAAACCAATTAGGCTGATGGAAGCCCAGCTGTTGCCATGACAACACTGCTTACTCATTTTCGCTTTTCCTGTTGTCAAACACTCTATTCTGGACTAACATCAGGCTTGGCTTAAATAGGTCTAGCAAAAAAAAAACATATTGTGACTAAAATAGATTTCGTTTCAACAATCGCAGATTATAAATTTACGACTGCAAATGTTTGGTTAAAGATTATGAATGATCAAGCTAGGTTTTACGCAGTGGTGCTCGATATAAAGAACACTGACGGTGCATGACGGTGTGCCGTACTAACGTGTTACCCAGATGCTGGGCTCAGCAGGGGCGGATCCAGGGTTTGCTGGGGGGGGGGGTGCAAGAGAGGGTTAAGAAGTCATTTTGTCCAAGTTGTTATGTTCCTGCTTCCCGGCTCCTCGTAGACCTCAGGCTGCAACAGCTCACCCACTGTTCAAATATTTTCAAGTCTCTTAACTGTCGTGAGCTGTAGACACATGAAATTAGCAACTTAAATCGTTTGAACTGGTTTACCAGGGATATAATTCGCTCTTTTCACACTTCCACATGGGCATGCAGTGCGCCTCGATCTGGCAACTTTACACAATACATATAGCGGGTTCAGTGATTCCCGTGTCGGGGTTCAGATCACTGAACCGGCTATTTTTATTGTGTGAAGTTGCCAGATCGAGGCTGTGCATGCCCAATGGCGGAGCGTGAAAAGAGCGAATACGCATGTGGAGACCACCTCTGCATTCGTTGTTAATGATTAGCATAACGCAATCCTCTTCCAAGATGGCTGCTAAATGCAATGGATCTCTATATGGTAACGATGTCAAATAGCCTTATTTGTTTTCCAATGCGATACTACGCCCCATACGTGGGTATTTGTAAAGCGCACCCATGCATCCACCAGGACTGGTGCTCAAAGCGCTACATCATTATTACCCCTGCTCATTGGGCCCATGAAACATTCCCAACACCATCTCAGCTCCATGGAGAGTATACTGGCTCGATGCTGCCTGTTAGGCGCAAGGAAGCTATAATTCAATCACAAAAACCAACTCTGCCCCCACAGGTTCCCATTTACTCCTGGCTGGAGGGAAGAACGAGTGACAAAGTGCCTTGCTCAAGGGCACACGCACCATGACCCCAGGCTGGACTCGAACCCTCAACCTGCAGCCTTACCCGCAGACCACGAATCAGTGCCCTTAACCACGAGGCCATATCGCACTCCAGTCCATGATGACCACATATTAATCTTTTTTTCCCTGCGAAATTGTGTTCTTAATTATAGGGTACGGGAAAGGTTAACTGTTGAAATCCTCCCTCAGTACCACTGGAATTTTTTTTGGAAGCTTATTAGTGGGGAAGCTTTTGGGGCCCACAAAATAATGTCACTGTGAGCATCTGTTTTTCACATGACACATACGTCACGACTCTAGAGTCTTGACCCTAGACCTTGACTGTGACTCCGCTGGCAACATCTGTCAGCACTTTTTCTAAACGAAAATCCCAAAGTCCACAGTATTAAGGCCAAGCTGCTAAACACCCTTAACGAGTGACACAGGTGGATTCGGGCTAACGGATTAACCGATGTGGCGGCGAATGAACTTTTAAATGAACTCTAAAGCCCAGGAGAAGTCAATAAATCACCACTGTATCTAGGGAACTAGGAGGTACTGTTTAAGGCGGAACTTCTTAAAGGGAATATACAACATTTGCAAACATCGAAAAATAAAACTACCAAGTTTTTACGAAATACCTTACTAGGATGTTGGTAAATGACAGTCTCAAGCATCTTGTAAAATTATGGCACTCGGTGTGAAGTCATTTTCAAGAAAATAGTATTTTTGTAAACATTTCCAACGGTGGTCGGCCGACCAGCGTTGGAAAAACCTAACTATTTTTCAACTACTGCTCCAAATTTACCATTTTTTCACTCCAAATTTTGTTTGCTATTGGTTACATGTTCATGAACGGGTGCAGGCCAGCTAGACTGGTTCCCTTGCCTTACAATTTTCCATCATCTATAAATTGATCCATTTTATCTTTTGTGGAGTCAGGGAACCAGACTACTTGAACATTTTTGTTTTTCTTGGTTTTTCCCAACCTTTTCGAACACAAAACTTCAAAAATGTCATTGTAACAATATTTGATCTATTATACTAACCTCTCAAATAGTTCATTTCTGAAAATTACAGCAAAAGCCAATGATGTACATTCCCTTTAACCCAATAGTTCAATGATACACATGTCCCCATCCCCAAACAAAATTTACAAAAATAATAATAATTAAAACCGAACCCTCAAAAATGAAAACACCCTCTTGTTCACAGTTACAAAAAATACATCGCAATTTTATAACACCTCACCCACAGATTCTGTGTCTTGATTGGCCGAGAGCGAGTCACATGTTACTTTCTAATTTTGCTATCTTTCTGTGCACGGCCAAAAGTACTATGCGCATAGCAACCAAAGTACTATACCATTAGCAACCAAAGTGCTATTTCCACGGCGCGGTATTTGTGTGCAAATGCATGCTGGTGTGCGCGTTGCGCGTTGTGCGTAGCACGTTTTATTCCAAAGAGAGCGCGCCGCAGACTTGGGTTCAAACATTTCGTGAAGGGTTAGTTTTTAAGAGAGAAATACATTTTCCACCAAATTTGTATTGAAATTGAAGTTTATTTCAACTGTGTTCAGATTTAAATAATGTAAAATATTAAAATCAAGCAGAATCTGTGGGTGAAGTGTTATAAAACAAATATTGAATGCTTTATCTCGTGGTGAAGTAAAACTAGCCTCCCTCGGTGATCCATGGACCATTCTATTTTCCCTCGGCTTCGCCTCGGGAAAATAGAATGGTCCATGGATCACCTCGGGAGGCTAGTTTTACTACACCACTCGAAGCATTCAATATTTGTATAATAGAATATTTGGAGAGTATAGTTGATTCAGCTTTTGAACATCTATAAAAACAATTCCAATCAAGCAAATATGTATTGAGTTATGGCCAATTGAAAACATGTCCACGGTCTCAATTGTTATTTGTTAAGAATGTAATAGATTTGAATTGAGAGTATAGTTTTGCTTTCTGACTTCTTTTTTTTTGCCAGCTCTAGATTTCATTTAAGGTTCCGGTATAATTCCAATTTTTTGCGTACCGATTCGTCCTAAATTTGTAAAATTCGTCTCGTGTAGAAATCGGCGTTGCATTAAAAAAGCAAATTCGTTTTTTGTTTTGGTCATTCGTTATAATGTTGTTTTCATCACATTTCGTTTCTGGTGACTTAAAACGTTACGATTAGAAAATGTGCCCAATCTTCGGACTAATTTGAAGAAAAAGTATCGAAATAGGGAATTCGTGTGATACAAGTGCTAAATTAACCGGGAAAACCTATATTAAAAAATCGCTTATAAAAGAAGTTGAAAATTTCTCATAATGTATCATGCATGTCGCATATTGGGGATAAAAGAAAATGTAGGTTTTAATGTTGAAGTTATGATAAAAGAAATAATAGCCAACAAACTTTTTCCTTAAATTTTCGAAAAGTGAAATACCATAAAAAAGTGTCTTTCTGAACTACAAGTTTTATATAACCGCCACTTATTTTCTTTGTTGTACTGCACGAAATTTCCAACATAATTAAACACGTATTTAATATGTCCACGCATAATAGGTCAACGGCCATAATATTATTGTTGGTCTGTCAATCTGTGCACAGCACGGGGCCATTATCCAGCTTGGTATGACCTATTGCTAAGATCGGGTGCGAATATCCGCTTAAGTACAGACACATTTTTGCTTAGCAGAAACAGTCACTGATCGCTAGCCCATGCCATGAGTGCGTGTTTGTTGCTGATTTCGGTGCTGAGCGCGCACACTTGGTAAGCAAGGCTTTCCCAGCAGAAGCTTCCAATGAAATGTGGCCCATGCAGTGAGAGTATAATTTCAGTGCTCAGATTTTCTTTCGCGTGCCCGAAAAAAAGTTGAGCGTTGGCGGGGGAAAGGCCACCTACTGTGTCTCACAAATGTCAGCTCAGCATGAAGAAAAGAATGTTAAATTGTCATTGCTGTGAACATGAATACCTACACATCCCGCAGAAAACAAACATTTAATGATGGAGTCATTAGGACACCGTTGGTTCGAGTTTAGGCCACGGAACACCCATGTGATTTTTTTTTAAAAATGAATGTTGGAACTTGGAACGTGCCATTTTGACCCGTTTGACCTTTGTAACCTTGTAAAGACTGGCCAGAGCATAGGGCTGAATCAGCTTATGGCTATGCCTCTGGTTTCCCAGGGAGTGGAAGGAGAACTCAATGAAAGTTGGAAAATGGGGACATTTTATACTGTTTAAGAGGGGCAACTGTAGGTGAAAATAGGAGATGATGTCATATAAGGAAAATATAACTTATATGACATCATTTCTGAGTAAAGGTAGACTGACCATGGACTGACGTAATGGTCAGTCTGGGGAGTACCCTTATGAGGTCATTTTCCCCTGTACAAGGTTGAAATCACAGTCTTGGCATGCTGTGGGTGGTTCTCTTGTACACTGCATCGCTAAAAGTGTTGACATATAAATTATGTGGGCCAAACAACATAAACAAAGTGTTTCGGTTATCCAGCGGTTGCTTGTCTGCATTACATTACTGGGAACATGCATACAAGGAGCATTTTAAAACGCGTAGGCCAACGCAGTAGATCGGGGCACGAACACCCCCACCCCATTCAGTGTTTCGGTTACCCAGCGGTTGCCTGCCTGCATTACATTACTGGGAACATGCATGGTATACAAATGAGCATTTTAAAACGCGTAGGCCGACGCAGTAGATCGGGGGACGAACACCCCCAACCCATTCAGCCGCTAAACAATTATTGATACCTAGTAAAAAATAAAATGGGTCAAAAATAATAACATTTGACTCAAAGTTCCTAATTGTATTCTCATACTGCCTTAGAATGGAGGAGGGGGCACGCCCCGGACCCCGTATATAGCATATGGGCACGCAATTCACTCAAATGTCAAACCCCCCTCCCCCTGTCTCAGTATGTTTCCCGAAAGCTAGATCGGCCCCTGCTACGCGTACGCTTGATTGAAAACGCCGTCTCAGTCAGCTGGCTGCCGGCCAAGCATTTACAACAAAAAAAATTATGTGGAAATATTCAAGCTTGACAGTCTTAATGCCATCCTTCTGTGCATAACCACATGTCGAAATCCAGGGAGACATGTTAGCCTAGATTTCTATGGACATTAAAATTTAAGGGGTCAGCCCCCACGATGAAGCTATGTGGGGCAACAATCTTGTCCCAATTCGTGAACAAAATTGTCTTCAAGACATGTGTTCCTCAGTCACTGTATATTTTTTTATTATATGCCTCAGTCGCCACATTTCGTGTGCCATCAGTTCGCTATGACCCACGGATGTTAAAAATATAAATACTGACTAGAAAAAAAATGTCAGATAAAGCTGAACATCACAATGCACAGTTCAAGCGCCGATCGACCTCTTTAATATGAACGTCCAAAGTTCAGAAAACGCTTGACATTGTACTGCAAAAATAACAATTTGTCATTTTGATAATTATTTTGTGACACAATAAACTGACAGAAGAAAATGGTGCCACCATTATGTACACGTACAATATCTATGATCATTTGCATTTATCCAAAAAGTATGCCTACACCAATTACTAAACAGGTGCTAAACAGCCCGTGAAATAATTCAGTCTGGCTAGCTGTCATTAAAAAAAATCAAGAAATGTCGGTGATTTTTAACGATATCAGTTGACTTACTGCAATAAACTGCAGAGAGTGCTATCGACGAAATCGTGTTTCGTGATCAAAGGTTCTGCACGGTTTGTCACTGTTTTTTCGAAAAGTCTTCCACATCTCAGAGTTGAAACTTCAACATTCTTCTCAGATTTTGAGTGGTAATTATTGGAAACGAAAAGCAAATGATCCTATATTACATGCCTTTAAGTAGTAAACTATTGTCAGCATTAATATGAATCAATCTGAGATCCCCCTTCCTTAATTTTTTTTAAATATAAAAAAAATCATTTGTTTTGACAGATACGTTGTTGAAGAGAGTGTACACGGACGATGTGTTGGATGTTAGGAACGAGGTTGTTGCACCCCCGGACACGAGACTGCCAGTGTCACATGGGCACACATTACGTAATCACTCATCAGAGATCCAGAATGCTTCGCGGGTCAACACTAGCGCTGTTAACAACCAAAGTAAAGAAATAATGCAGGTATGCATCATTTAAATAAAGGCTTAATAGCAAAGCCATTTTTTTCACGACTCGAATCGCATCTAGTCCCTGTCCCCGCCCGTGGAGAATTACGCAGAGGGCGCTACGCATGCAATAAATTTTTAAAACTACTCCGATCCGTGGAACAAGTCACTGATGTAGTCGAACTGTATATCCGTAGGTCACGGTTCGAATCCCTCTGGGTGTGATTTTCTTTCTTTCTTTTTTTAGTCATTTGGAACTTGTTCCATTGCTAATTTGTGGTTTGGAAGATTTTGTTTAGCTGCGGGATAGCAGCTCATTATCATGTCTCCCCATTAGTACGTTAGTTAGTAACACACGCTGATATTGTCTATACTACATTATTTTTGACCGATTTCAACCAAACTTTGTCAAACGTATCAGTAGCCCAGCCCAACATGTCACATGACCAAACTAGGGTCAAAGGTCACCATGGGGTCACTGGGGTCAAGATCCTGATTACATGGCACAATCACGTGACTCATGCATGAACACAGGTTCGTTGGCCCGCAGCTTCCAAGATCCGACCAAGCTTATTTCAAGGGAAAATAAAGTCCGACAATAACCCTACTTGCAACTCAACGTGCTTCGATACACGTCCATATAATGTCTTTGTATGGTATGGAAAAAAATATCGCTCCCCTCCCCCCTTCAGGAACTATTTTTGTATGTAATCTGTTCACTCGGAACCAAGCTTATCTTTATTATTGTCCACAGGATAAGACAGAAACGAATCAACAAGAGGAAGATGCTGAATTCCTTCAGCGCATGGCGGATGTGCAGAAGGCTCGCCACGACCTGATCCGCAAACGATGCGCCGACACTTACAACATCACCGAACAAGTGGATTTCAGAAGGGACCGCGCTAAAATCCTGTCCTGGAAGAAGTTGTACGAGCACGCTTACGCCAACGATGACTTCAAGTTCATCATCTGCCGGGTGCTGAAAGTCGGCTCCTTCAGCTGGCGTAAAGTCATCAGGTCGTTGTGGGAAAAGGGGAGTCCGGCTTTCAAGAGGAAACAGAAAATGGGCGACTACGCGATGCGAGAATACGACGACGAGACGTTTCTAACGGAGCTGGAAAATTACACCAAGGTCTTGTACGTGCGGGAGCCGTTCGCGCGGCTACTGTCCGGCTACAGGGACAAGTACGTCGAGCTGCGTCACTTCCCGTACTACAAGCCCATTGGCTCCAAGATCATTCAAGCCTACCGAAAGGGCGCCACCAAGAGTCAGATTAACAGCGGCAAGCCCACATTTGAAGAGTTCGTCCGATGGCTGGTCAAGGACCCAGACAACCGCGAGGGGGATTACCACTGGAGGCCGCTCTTCGACTGGTACCACCCGTGCGAGATGCAATACGATTACATTGGGAAGTTAGAAACTGCTGGCGAAGATGCGAAGTACATTTTCAAAATGCTTGGTATCGATAAGTTGGAAACCTACCCCTCCACAGAAACACATCATAAATTTAGCTCCACTAAGGACATTCTCAAGCAGTACTACTCTCAGATCTCGCCAGAACTTTTACCAAAAATCGTTTATCGGTACAGAGAGGAATTCGTGTTGTACAATTACACTGTTCCGGAAACACTTAGCGATATTTGGTCTTAACTGTAAAAGCTTCCTTGGAATATGACAAACTTTATCTTTTAACTTTTTGAATCCTAAGGCTTACTCTTCGTGAACCTATTGCCTGAGGTGATAGTTTATGAACATCTTGTTGAATTTTTGCTTTGTTGTTGTTGATGCCGTATTGATGTCTCACAGATTTTAAGAAAAACAAAAATCTCAGTCAACTCATTTTTAAGGAGAGTGTGGCACCCTTACAAAATGTTTTTTTGGGTAAATAATTGATCATTAACATTACAAAATGGTATGAACTTTCCACTAAGACTTTCAACGAGAAATCGGTCCACGCTAATTATGAATTTGTTTCAGCTTATGCGCTCAGTGCGCGAACAAGACAGGGCGTTTTGACCACAATGTCTCCCCCACCCCACCCGTGGTCTCCCACAACTCTCTCTTTCTTACCGATGAGGGGGTATTTGTGCACGGTAGGCCTACCAAGTAAATGCCTAAATTTCCATTTTATTATACGGGTCAGTAATACTAAAGAAGTGTTGTAGACTCCCCCACCCCCCCCCCCCCCGCCTTTGTGTATTTTGTTAAATATAAACCTGTCCATTACTTTTTTTGATAACGGGACTTTTAGAATTATGTCCAATGTTTGCCTCCTGTCCCCGAATCGTGTTCATCCGCGGCGTTTGTCTTCTCAGAGGTGAATTTTCACTCAGTTGATTTCGCTTGTGCTAATTTCTTTTTTTCCTGAATTTTTTTTAGAACGATGTCAACCCTATTTATTTCCCAGTATTCAAAATCTATCAATATTTGTCTTTTTATTTCATACATAAAATCAATTGTTTAATGTTTACACAAATTAATTGTGCCTATTGTTGATTCCATTAGTTTTTCATATTGTAATATAAAATTTAATTCTGCAACTTTTCATGGCCCGATATTTATTTTGGAATAAAATGTAAAATCATCACAGGAAATTCATATATACATGTAATAGCCTTTCACGGTCTCTTCCACTTTAAATTGATGGTGGTTTTTTTCGATGAGGGCGCCCTGGCCATTTGACGTCAATAAGGATCAATTTACTTACCATGTTTTTTTTTATCACTTCCAACCTATTACATTGTATAGGCAAGTTTTTGAGATGGTGATCCCCCCAACATGTTGTAAGACTGCCCTTTTCCATTCAAATGCCCCGTTTTTTTCACCAGCGCTCCCCCCCCCCCCCCAATATTTGTGATTTGTAAAGGTGTCCTTCTTTTGTTAACAAGGTCCTTTTTTTCTGAAACAAGTGCCCTTAAAAAAAAGTCGTGCCCTTTTTTTGTGCCATCCGCCGTTTTGCCCGTGCGTTACGGGTGCCTTTTCTTGAATTTCGCGCATGATAAAATCACCATTGTCCGTTAAGGTCCATAATCGTCGGTTTTGAACAGCGCCCCCATCGACGAATGGTACCCCTTGTATGATTTTACATGTCTACATAATCTATACTACAATTCAAGGAATCTCTGTCTGTCTGTCTGTCTGTCCGTCTGTCTGTCTGTCCGCCGATTATCTCCAGAACTGGGCACCGTATGGAGTTGAACATCGGCGGGTGCATTGTTCGGGACAACAGAATGTGCAGTGCCGAGTTTGAAGTAGTTTGGACGAGGGGTTCTCGAAAAAGCTGCAAAAACAACAGTATTTTCTGAGACCTAGCGCGCCAGAATATAGCCTAGAACTCCGCGCACTGCCGTTCTTTTATATTGTTTACGTCATGTTAAAGCAAGAGCGCGCGTGCTCAATATGACGCAAACAATGCAAAAAAGACATGGGCACATTGTAGGGCGATAGCACTGCACACCATGTCTTCGTACGTTAGTGGCATGCACGGGCACGGGCACATGCATTTTGTAGTCAACTGAGCAACCATCACTGCACTGTATGTAGGCGGTCGACTGAGCAACTCTAATACAATATGGTATCGCCCTACAACTACGCCCTACAGTTGGGCAATACCATATTGTCCAGTAGGGGTAAATATCAGTGTCGGGGGTTGACGACATATTGTGCGTTTAACTTGCGAGTGTGCGTTCACACCATTGAATAATGTGCGTTATTTGCACGAGCTGCAGTTCTCAGCTGCCCCCTCCGAACACGCACATTTTCGACTGGCCCTGCACTAGTCTTACTATAATTCCAGGAATCTCTGTCTGTCTGTCTGTCCGTCGATTATCTCCAGAACCGGGCACCGTATGAAGTTGAAAATCGGCGGGTATATTTTTCGGGACAACAGAATGTGCAGTGCAAAGTTTGAAGTTGTTTGGACCAGCGGTTCCCGAAAAAGCTGCAAAAAGCAGTATTTTCTGAGGCAAACGTGGCAGTATATAGCTTAGAACATAACACCCGCACGCACTGCCGTTCTTTTCAATTGTTTACGTCATGTTTAAGCTAAAGCGCGCGTGCTCAATATGACGCAAACAATGCAAAAAGGACGGACACGCGCACGTGCATTGGAGGGCGATACATTGTCCAGTATGGGTGAATACTAATGGATCAATGGGTGAATAGCACTGCATACCATGTTTTTGTATGTACACGGGCACATTATTTTTGTAGTCGACTGAGCGACCATTGTAGGTGGTCGCACTTCAAACTTGGCAAAAATTTTGACGTAAGTGTGCCTTCAACCTGTGAAAACAACATCATTGAATCGCGTGCGTTGTTTGCACGAGCAGTTCTCCAAAACTCTGAAAGTATGCAACCTATACCAGCGGCAAAGCAATTTGCGTTTCCCGAACATGCACATTTTAGACGGGCACTGCACTAGTGTTCATAATTCAGCACGGATGCGCAAGTACCCTTTTCAAGAAATTTGCCCCCCCCCCAATAAAATGACCTTGCTACGCCCCTGAAAGAATGGCGTATCTAACAAAATAATACTCCTTTCAACTTCAATTATAGTTCTAATGGAAGATTTTTGCTAGTTTTTACCAGAATTATTTTTCCTTTGGGATATGGTGCAAATATGCCCAAATACTGCCTACGTCGGAGTGGCGAAATCACGATTTGCAGGCCCTCGACTCAAAGTTGTTTGTTAGAGCATTTCGTAGTCCATGAACTTGAGGGTTTGTTAAAAAGCTCGTATTTCTGTGAAATTCGGATGAAATTGCTCTATTTTGCATCTTTTAAAAAAAAAAATTATGGCGCCTAGCTCAGGAATACCTTTGGGAGTGATCATCTATTTGGATGGAATTTTCTCCCAAAAGTCATCAGTTAACCCCTCAAAAGTTGAGCAGAAAAGAAAGATGATGAAATAAGCTTTAATTTGATGTGTATCTCAAACACCTTGGAGAGCTGTGAGTATATTTTTCATATTCAGTTTTTGGAAGTGGGCGTAATTATCGCGGAAGTCTACGGCAATTTATTTACTGGTACGGGTAGTTCGGTCCGAAGCTGGAGCGCCCTCAATGTAAAATAAGAACGAAAGTAAGATTGGACAAGTCCCCTTCCCCTTTCAACTTGCCCAGCTGCAGCAAACCGTGATTGGAACCAGACTATTACAAATCACTGCATTCAAGATGGCGATGTCCAGAGGCAAGTTTTTGGAGACTCTTCCCCTTTCCTTTCATATCAAGCATTTTACCTTTATCCATCCTCAAGAATGAGTTAATGAAAGAATGATGATGAATGTGCTTATTCAAAGCTACAGCGAGCTTAGTTTTTTGCCGGTGCAATTTGCCGCCGTTCCCATCTGCCACACCCGTACCACTGCACACACATTTTTAATGAACCAGTTCCGATATGGAACGACAGAATTTCTGAACCACATAGGCCTACCTCCAAATAATTTCTGGAAAGAAGGTTGCATCCTGACGCCACTTTTTTCATCATAATAAACCATTGAAAGAATGTAGTATCCAGACGACACTTCAGCGGCTGTACAAAACAAAGTCTTTGGAGAGTCAAGAACATTTTAGTATAGTAGTAGGCCTACTAGTACTAGGATTTCCTAACAAAAAATGGAAATGTTTCTCAATGATTTAATCTCAGTCATGTCAGTCGCAGATTCATGGCTTTTCAACATTTTGATGATACATTCTTTCCAAACAAATTTCAACTAAAGTTTCTACATTTATTTTAGTATTAATTTTTGATGGGGTTTGCACTTTGGAGAAAGTCGTATAATTTTTTTTCAAATTATATTTTGATTCTGTCATGTCTGTCAGATTCTGGCAAAGTACAGAAATATAAAGCTCGGGCCTAAGAAAAGATGTATTTAAAGCAGACATTTGTTTTTGTCCCTTGAGTGAGTGTGTATCATTTGTGTATGTTTAATGCAGAGTAAAGTTACCATTTAGAATAAGCAAGCCCCATAGCTCTAGGGGTATAGAGTAAAGTGTGATTATTTGAATACAAAATTGGGAGTGTAGATTTATGAGTAAACACTGACACCTGTACACGTATTTATAATTTTTGTGTCCAATTCACTGAGGAACTTGATGAAATTAACTAAATTGCAATTTTACAGGTATTTTTATCGTGGCTGCCAAGCGTACCCCTTTCGGTGCCTTTGGTGGCAAGCTGAAGGACCTAACACAGACGGACCTGTGCGAAGTTGCTGCACGTGCTGCACTGGCAGCGGGCAACATCAATCCAGAAATTATTGACAGCACATTCGTTGGTAATGTCGCGCAGGTAAATAACTATATTCACAAAATACACTTGATACGTCCTAAATAGATCAAAGATCTGTAACGAAATATTATGAAAAGAAAACAAATTTTCAAAAAAATTGAGAGGCTACACCTAAATACATGACACAAAATTATAAAGCCAAGAAAAAGATTAATCAGTTTCTCTTCCCCACATGAACCCTTTTTTTTCCCCGCCCGTGTTTTTTTCCCTGTGTACTGTTTTTATTTATTGGCAGTATACCGGTACATGTAGATTGTCAATTTATCTGTTTCTAGCAAAAGTGTAGCTGTGTACCCAAGTTCAAAATCTAGTAGAAAGGGTGACAGTGAGCAGTGAGCAGTGAGAAAATACAAGCATTTTCTTAGAAAACACTTAGAATTTTTCAGTCCAATCTCATAGGGCTTGTACACAGGGTGTTGAGTGAACTTCGTATATGGAAATCTTTCCAAAGACTGTATTACAGTGTTTGATATTTTTTTCTTCTTTTAGGATTCACAAAGCCCAGTAAATCCGCCAAGGGGACCAGTGCGGGGTACATGAAGTGTAGTAAATGAATTAGTAAATCAATGGGAACCAGTGCTAGATTACTGACGTGTGATTTAACCCATTTGTCTTCCTAGACTTCGCCTGATGCAGCCTATGTTGCGAGACACGTAGCCCTTCGGTCTGGCGTCAAGGACGACAAGCCAGCTTTGACTGTGAATCGCCTGTGTGGGTCAGGGTTCCAGTCCATTGTCAGTGGAGCTCAGGTAAAACTTAGGCCGGGCCTGAAGTACTTGGCTACGACTTGAAATAACACACGTGTCTATGGGAAGTGGCTGCAGCGGCTAACATAGTCGTATGTGTGACTTCCAGCGATAGCCAGCTTAGCCAAGTAATTCGGACATGGCCATATTTTTAAAGCTATAGTCCATCATTTGCAGCCATCTGAAAAGTAACTGGCGTAATTATTGTTGAAAAGCATACTTGGTTGAAAGATAGTAAGGGGACTAAACTCCCTGTGAAATTATTCTTTCTGGCAAGCTATCATGTTGAAGTAATCAACGAAAGAAGGCCTTTCCAACGGTACGTCTTAAGTCGCACCGTAGGAAAATTTAAATTAGTAGTTCGTTTTGTTATTCGGTGAAACGCGCGCAAGCATTGGCACGACCACACGCACACGCGGTTGCTATAATTCGTCGGATCGGTGCGCGACATCGCGTAGCTGCAATCGGCTCAGTGAGAATGCGTCTCAGACGCTGAATTCAGGCCCAATTCAAAACATGATTCAGCAACTTTTGATCTGAAATTGAGATCCTAGAATGCTGTTTTTCTCGGAATATACAGCTGAAGCTGAGCTGACACTTCATCAGGTTAGATGTTCAGTATCCTTTAGGCCTAATAGATTTTGAACACTTCTGTTGCTTCAAACAAACAAAATACACAAATTACAAATGATGGACTATATCTTTAATTTGCTCCATTGTAGAGAGATCTTGAACGTAAACAAAACAAATCTGCAACTTGAGACTGGGTATGAACATGAAATGAAAAGGAGATGGGCAGGGCGCGAATTTTTTTCTCCCAAACGACATCTGCATACATGGTTGTTTAGCGCCCTCTACGATACTTTTATGATACGCACGCAGGTATACAATTATTTGTTTCCCACGTTTTAGCGAGCAGTGCGACAGCTCAGTCGATAGACGGTAGGATTTTGCACCGCGAGGTTGCGGGTTCGAAACTCGGTTTTGCACCCGAATTTTTTTCCTTTTCTAACCGCTTTGGAGGATTTTTTTAAAAGGGAAATGAAGTCCGAATTTCATAACGTTCAAATTCACTTTTTTTGTCTCATTTCATATTTTCTTCTCATGTTTTCATAAATGTAAAGTCCAAAACGCCATAGCGTACACCCATATGCGGATGTCGTTTGGGAGAAAAAAAATTCGCGGGCAGGGCACCTAGCAAGAAGACAAGACAACAGATGGACCAAGAGACTCACAGAATGGCAACCAAGGACAGGCAGAAGAAGAAGAGGCAGACAAAAAAGAGATGGAGAGATGAAATCACCACATATATGAACACGGCAACATGGAGTAGAATGACAAACAGAAGAGAATGGAAACTGCTTGAGGAGGGCCTCATCCAACAATGGAAGACCACAGCCTGATGATGATGATGATGAACATGAACATGTCGACTTCATCACCATTTTGGACAAACTAAAATTCACATCTCATCAGGAAACCTGATGAGATATGCATGTTGCTGGGTCGCCCACTGAACAGTGAATGGTTTGAGAGTTAGTGCGTTGGTAGTTAAAGAAACTTAAACTCTTGCCAGCATTGGAATTTGTTTAAGTTTATGATCTTGTTTCGGATTGATTTCAGGACATTCTAACGGGAGATGCAGAAGTTGTGTTGACTGGAGGCACGGAGAACATGAGCATGGCTCCGTACACCGTGAGAGGGAGCCGCTTCGGGACCAAGCTTGGAGTGGACCTCAAGGTAAAACAAGAAAATAATAATAAAAGTCTGGATGTGATCACAAGATGAGAAGACATGAAAGCATCTTGAGAGTCTTTCACTTCCACCTGCAGCTTGAAGACACCTTATGGGCCACCCTGACAGACTACCACATCAAAACCCCCATGGGCATGACGGCAGAGAAGCTGGGGGCCCAGTACGGAGTCACCAGGGAGGACTGCGATCAGTTTGCTCTGTTGTCACAGCAACGATGGAAGAAAGGTACACAAATATCTTCATTTTCTAAGCTTTGATTTGATTGGTCAGCAACTCCATATAAATCACTGTGGTTTTTATTCCAGCCAATGACGAGGGTCGGTTCAAGGATGAGATGGCTCCCATTGAGATGAAGTCCAAGAAAGGCGTTCAGGTGATGGACACGGATGAGCATCCACGAGAAGCTACTCTGGAAGCTTTGGCCAAACTTCCTCCCGTTTTCCAAAAGAACGGGCTAGTCAGTGCTGGAAATGCTTCAGTAAGTTAGCTTAAATTGTGTGGTGTGCTCCGTCCTAAACCGACTCTTCTGTGTAGCTTGTCTAAAAATTAGTTTCAAGTATTATTAAAAAAGCATTGATAGAGGTCTCGAGACCAGTCTCTGTCTCACGACAAACAGTAGTCCTGTTTTTCACTGGTCTTGGTCTCGATCTTGGTTTCAGTATCTTAGACCCTTTAAATGAGACACAAGTAGACCAGTTGGAAAACCTCTTCTTTTTTTCTGGCTTGCTTAAAATATCTCTGAGTGATCTCTTTTAGTTATTTCCCAGGTTTGCAGCATTGCTAATGTTGCTAGAAATCATGACTTTAAGGCGTGATCCCTGGCGACATGGCATATACAGATTCATAGGTGGCCAGCACCCTTGGAACAAAGACATTGAGAAAATGCCAACATAGGGCTGGATAGCTCAGTAGAGTATCGAAAGGGCGATCCGGAAGGTTCAACTAATTACAAAAAAAATGTAAAATTTCTGTATTGATATCTGCAGGGAATTTGTGACGGAGCAGGTGTGGTGATACTAGCAAGTGAAGAGGCCGTCGCTAAACACAACCTGACGCCGTTAGCCAGGCTGGTCAGTTATCACGTCTCGGGATGTGACCCGAGCATTATGGGTATTGGTCCTGTTCCGGCAGTTAAACGAGCCCTGGAGAAAGCCGGGCTTCGACTAGCTGACATGGACCTCTGTGAGGTACAAAATATTTGTCTTCGGTGGAAAAATTCCAGTCTTTAAAATCTCAACTCAATGTAAGGCCCCCAAAAAAATAAGTCGGTCTCTGGTCGGCGCGCGCATCGATTTTAATCATGCGCGTCGATCTTTTTTTTTTTTCAAAATGTTCCGCGGTAGCTCCAACAGCGCCCTCTATTTCCGCACCTCCTCATTTTTTTTTACCAAAGAGCACCAAGGAATGGGAAATTGCACCAAGGCAAATGATCGAAAGTACCAAGGCAAATTATGGAGGACACCAATGTACATGAGGACACCAAAAAAGCAAAAAAATACCCACCTTGTCTGTACAATCCAAGCTTGAAGAAAAAAAAGAAAAAAGAAAAGAAAAAAAGAAGCCGCATCAATTCCGGAACTTTGGTCTGACCAGAGACCGAATATTTTTTTTTTTGGCCTAATTTATAGTAAACCCAGGTATAACTATGCTCTAGGTTAATCGATCCTACAGCATGCTATTTTTCTTGGCTACTTTGGTATGAGTGGTTAGCAAAGACATTTGTTCTAGTTGTTTATGATCAATTGCATTCGGCAAGATGCCAAGAGAAACAGTCCAATTTCATGGCACTGCTTAACAGCCGATTTTGCGCTTACCGAGCCTCGACTTATTTCAAAGAGACCGTAAGCAGTAAACACGGCAAAAGAATGCTGACCACAGAGGATAGAGTTGCTTAAATCAGTGATGCAACAATCGAAATCTCCATGCGCGCACAACCGTTGAGACGTCCACGCCATGAAATAATGCTTAAGCAGCAGTATGAGTTTGTGCTGTAGGTAGCACAACTTTTCTGCTAATTGTTAAAGCTATAGTCCATCATTTGTAATTTGTGCATTTTGTTCGTTTGAAGCAACAAAAGTGTTCAAAATCTAATGACGGATACTGAACAACTTACTTGATGAAGTTTCAGCTCAGCTTCAGCTTTATATTCCGAGAAAAACAGCATTTCTAGGATCTCATTGTTTTGAATTGCAGCTTTACGCGATGTCGCGCACTGATTTGACGAATTATAGCAACCGCGCGCGCCTGTGCGTCGTTCCAATGCTTGTGCGCGCTGCGCCGAATAACAAAACGAACTACTAATTTAAATTTTCCTACGGTGCTTCTTAAGACGCACCGTTGGAAATGCCTTCTTTCGTTGATTTCTTCAAAATGAGAGCTTGCCAGAAAGGATAATTTCACAGGGAGTTTAGTCCCCTTACTATCTTTCAACCAGTATGTTTTTCAACAGCAGAGCTGTGAAATTGGGCCTTGGTGTTAATATTATTTTTATTCTACCATCAAAATGTAAAAAAAAATATTGTGGAATAAAGGAAATTTACTTCAGTAGGATTCGTACTCGCATTCTGTGGAATACTGCTCTAGTGTTATACCGACTGAGCTACCTATTCGCAGTTGTGAAGTGCACATCATTATCAATCACGTCGCTCTTCTTTTTCAGGTTAACGAAGCATTCGCCGCCCAGTTCCTGTCCGTACAGAGAGAGCTTGGACTGGATATAGAAAAGACCAACACCAATGGGGGCGCTGTTGCCTTGGGTCATCCCGTCGGGGCGTCGGGAAGTCGCATCACAGCTCATCTTACCCATGAATTGAGGTGAGGTGGTTTACTGCCTTCGGGCCAGTTTATGGTTTACAAGCATGCAAGAGCAAATCGAATTTCATGACATTAACAGTTTACCTTTTGTTTTGTCTGTCTCGGATGTTGCGCGTTCCGCGTCCATATTTGTATATCATGTAATTGGACAATACTTCACAAGCTGCATTGCCACAATTCTACCGTGATTCTGCCGCGATAGGTCAATTGAAATTACATTGACGTTCGCCGTATAAACCTTAACAAACTTCTTTGGCAATCAAATTCATTGTTAAGCCTCCTAGGCACATTGAAGAGGAATCACTAGTATGTTTTAGTACGGCTATTTAATTAATGTCGAGCTGAGTAGCAGATGTTACCTATGTAACACCGATTTCCAGGTGTCCGTCCGTCCACTTTGCTAGATGATACGGCATGGCTATTAAGGCACGTTTGAACTGGGAACTCGCGAAAGCGAAATCTTTTTCACCAATAACACCGCAGTTATGCATAAATTATGAGAATAGTACTGCAGTTTGTAGTCCTTGTCGCTTCATCATATTCATAGAGAGATGTTTTTCATTTTGTTTGTCTGCAGGCGGACCGGAGGGAAGTATGCCTTGGGCTCGGCGTGTATCGGGGGAGGCCAGGGTATTGCTGTCATTCTAGAAAACACCAAGTAACAGAAAAACTCCAAACTCTTCAAACAATGCACTTTGATACTGTAAAAATTATACAAAAATTATCTGTTTGTACTGTTCTTTCAAATTTAGATTTTCCATCCGTGAGGCAATAGGAAGCTTCAGGTCTCATCCATTTGGCCAAATATTTATGTGTCTGAGTGTAAAATGTATTCAATCCTTTATTTCTCCAATTACATGTATTTGTAATTTGCAATTTGATTCAGTGAATGAACCAAAAATCTGGATAAAAAAAGTATCTTAATGAAAATGGTGAGTGCATGAACAAAAAAGAACCTTTATTTTCTGAAGGAAGTTCTACTTAAACCACACACGCACAAATTAGTTTGAATTCACAGATTTAAGTTTATACATTCCAATGTGTGTGCGCAGTTAATGGAATGAAGTTACTCTTACAAAATTTAATTTTTAAATTGCGAATATAAATGTTACGATGTGCAAAATAAAATGTTGAATTCAAATGCAAGATCCAGATTTGTTTGGGAAGAGTGAATTTTGTTTGTGTCTCGAAAGAAATATTTGACTTCAAAACAAAGAAAAGGTTCAATCCCACGGGTTGTATGCAATTATTAAATCAGATTCTTCTAACGAAGTTGAATTATTTGAAACGGCAATTAGGTACGGATTGTATTTCGTAACCCTATAAACGCCACTTGGTTCCCTTTTGGAATCCTGCCCACTCCTGGCTGCCGTAAGTCAGTTTTGATGGCTGTTAAATACTAAGACACAACCTAAGAATACATGTATAATTAAGCGAAAAACAGACTTTAGAAATGGCTGTATTACCGTTTGTATTGTTTAAAGTTTGATAACCTTGCAAATTGTTCACTTTTTGAATCGATATGTCACATTTAGGAAATAAACTACTCATATTTATAACAATGTACATGTATTAATATACTAATTATTTTCATACATTACATTTCATTTCACATTAAAATAATAAGTAATCAAATTGAAGGAATCACCATCCATGTAATAATCAAATGTCAAAAATGCAATTGAAAATTTGCTTTAACATCAAGTTTAAACCGTTTCAAAAATGCAGTTTCAATCAGGCTCAAAGATGCGTGAATTAAGTGTTGTCACTTGTCACTTTTACATGTCTTTCACCTGTAGCTTCGCTGCTCTCATCATCAATAATTTCCCCTTCTTCCAGGGAAACATTCAATGAATCCACTTCATGAGGGAAAGTGCTGGAAAGAGCAGCATCATTTGTCGTGTTGCCATGGTGAGCATCAGCACCTGCCATCGCATCCATCACTAGGCAACAATCCTCTTGACTGGCAGACGTAGCATGTGTCTCACAGACTGCTTCTTGTACTAGTTCAGTTGTGGCTTTTAGCTGTTTGTCCACAAATCCGGCCAGCTCTGAGCCATCAGTTATGGGAATACTTCGCTTGCCTTCAAGAGTGCTGCTGACATGAATTCCCCTCACTTCATCCTCATTTGTGGTGTCTCCATGCATGTCGCTGAACTTGTCCAGTCGATGGCATGAGATAACAGGTGGGACTTCATTGTCATCATCACTCTCGCCATTCTCATTAGACTGCGATAGTCCAGAAAGTGAGCCACGGTCGTCGCATTGGTCATCCTCGTCGTCCATGTTGGGCATGAAGAGGGCAAAGGCCTGCACACCTGTAAGATCTGGATCGATGCTTCCATCCTCGGCCAACAGTCGAAGCATCTCCTCCGTCAATTCTTCGGGGATGATGAAGCCGGCTGCCTTTGCATCTTCAAGTGTATCAAACATCTCTGCCGATTGCTCTGCCTGACTGATGGGTTCTTCAGTCACGTCTTGAAATGGACTCAGCACTGGAGGCATCCCGTAGGAATCAACAAGAAACTCTTGTTGATGAGAATTGTATTCTGAAGACAAGGTTGGATTGGGATAGGTGGCTGGAGTATCTTCAGCTACCTGTTTGGTTTGAATGTCATCCTGAGGTGCGATGCTATCTTCTAACTTTAGATTGTTAGCATCTGTACTGAATTTAGTATCAGTTATCCAGGTATCATCAGTTTGAATCCCCTGATGAAGTAAAGGTTCCACAGGATCAGAAGTGCACACACTGAATTCAGCAGCAACAGGTGGAGTGTCTACAAAGATGGACTCATCTCCTGTCTGGACTTGGGGCTCTGTTTTAATTGTTACAGACTCAAATTCCCCAAGAGATCCAGTTTGTGCACTTTGTACAATGTCCTCCCACGTGGACATGAGGAGTTTCTGGAAACTCTTGTCCTTGGACGGTCCACCTCTTGGAGTCCCGAGCTCGTTTGTCATCACCTTGAACCCTTCATCTATGGCCAACTTCTCGGGACTGATTTCGGCCTCCTTCCACTTGAGGTACGTGCAGCGGTAGCAGTCTTCCCAAGTCTGGGCTGAGATGGAAGCCAGGGTCTTCCTCCCGCGTGTGATGGGAGATGATGGGGAGCTGTCTACCTGGCTGTAGCTGCTGACTGAAGCTGAATCCTCTTTGCGCCTTGCTCTTGATCTTGTCTGCCTTCTAGCATCAAAGTCGATGGAGGTCAGGCTGCCTGAGGCAGGATCAGTCAAGCTCTGAGGCGAAACTTTACTTTTCTTTTCAAGCTTGCGCCTCTTGGGCTTCTTTTTGGCTGCCTTGTGTTTTCCCTTCTTTTGGGCTGGTGCGACATCCAGATCCTTGTCCTTATTTTGCTTTCCTTTCTTTGGAGTTTGACACTTCTTTTGGGGGGTTTTCGTCGCAGGGGAACTCACGGCTTCATTGATTAAAGGTTTCTCTTCTTCAGTGTCATTCTTGGATTCTTTGTTCCTCTCCAGGTGCTTTGCTGATTCTGCAAGAGACTCGGCCAGGACCACTGATGAACTTCGTCGCTTGTGCCAGGGCGTTCCTCCTGGAGGCCCTTCGCGCACTGGCTTCCTTTTCTTCTTTAACCCCAACATTCTCAAGACCTTCTGCCAAAGTGGGGCATGGTATGACTGATGCCCCCTATCTTGCCTCCGTCTCATATTTCTCCTTGCCTCTTGATATGACATCCGCTCTTTTGAGATATTCTCTGGGCTTCCAGAGCTGTCACTGTCGCCAAAACTTACCCTCTTTGAGTATTTTGACAATACATGTACTGTGTCAGAGTCACTGCTTTGACTTTTTGAAGATCTCAGGTGATGTCTTTTAGAGGGACTGTTGGCCTTACTCACAGGAAAGTCTTTGTTGATTTGCCCATTGGTAGAATGGTCTTCGTCTACCTTGTTCTTTTTAGATTTCTCCTTTCTGCTGAGAGTGTTAGGAACTTGTTTCAGAGGTTCTGTTTTGGGGGGAGTTTTATTCTTGCAAGATGAAGAAGATGAAGGCCGTGATGACAATGAGTCATCATCTTCAACTCTGCGAAATGCCGGACTACCTTGATTTTCAATGTTGGCTTCTTTCCATTGTGTGCCAAAGTTGACCTTTGTGTCTTCCAAGGAGGACAACTTGCTAGTGATGCAAGTCTGATGTTTGAAACTGGTCCTCCCTGTCCTGAAATCGTTATGTTTAAATACAGCAATCGTTGCAGATGTTTCATCATTATGGCCCTTGCTAATCTTTGTGGCACAGTCTTCTTTCTCTTCTGAAGGCCTTGCTTCTCCTGAGCTTCGCCTGGATGATGTCCGGATGTTTATCTTGGACAAACCGCCGGTCAGGGCATTCCGGAACCTTCTTGTGCATTTGGATGGTATTTTCACTGGGACTGATGGTCGCCATTCATCCTTCTTGTCATCTTCGTCATCAGATCGTGTTTTGTAGTCATCTCCATGACTGGATGTTGTGTCTTCTGACTGAGTATCGCTGTCATTTGAAGAAAGTTTACTCAGAGCCTCCACGATATCAAAGTCTTTTTCACCCATAGGCAGGTCAGAATTATCCATATTTTCCAATGATGCCGTCTTTGATGGAGATGCAGGACATGTTTCTTGCTCTCTGGATGTCTTCTGTGAGTCAACATCTTTTCTCTCTGCGCTCGAATGCAGTGTTTTGGGGACATAAATACAATTGACGGTAACAGAACTGTCAAGGAATTTGACGTACCGACCTTTGGGCCCTGATCCTGCACACTTTTTAGACTGAGAACACGGAGAAGATTCTTTGTCATTACTCTTGGTCTTTGACGTTTTATGTTTATCAGTATCTTTTGCATTCTCTTCTAAAGAGGTGGCTGCTTTGGCGATTCCAACTTTCAATCTTTTTTCACAATCTATACTCTTTACCTCCGGATATTTTTCAGACACTTCTTTGGAAGCATTCTGTTTGTTACTGACAACCAATTTGTCACTCTGATGGTCGTTCTGAGATTTGTTGTGGGTGACTGCCTTGGAACTTCCTGGCCCGCTCTCCTTCTCCTGTATTTTCTGATGTTGGGATGTGCTTTTGCTTGTCAGATGGACGAGCTGCTTTTGTGACAGCATTTGGAATGGCAGTCTAATCCCTGTGGTTTGGTCCGGCTTCATTTTAACAGTCAAGGCTCTGGATGCCTGCGTGTGTGGTGGATGTCTAACAGATTGTAGGGGTACATCTTTGCCGTGTCTTGGAGGTAAACAACCCTTTGGTACAGAGGCAAGATGTATACGACCTTGAATTTGCTTGTTTAGACCTGCTGTTTTGCCATCTGTAGGTTTTGGGAGCAGTTTATACTGCTGGGAGGAAATGCTCGGAGATGGTTTCCGGTCACCTCCATGTTGCCGGGGCAGTTGTACAAGCCCCTTCGGAGTTTGAACGAAGAGTGTACCGTTTGGAATAACAGAAGCCGGAGAGGGTCTCGAAGATGGCTTACTTATAGTAGGATGCCCTCCAAATGGTGTTTGTTGTGGCGTTGCCTTCTCCCAAGGTGACTGCTTTTGTGTTGCAGGTGGTGGTGGTGGCGGCGGTGGCGATTGTTTAGATGGAATTGTTGATGGTCGAGGAGGTGGTGGTGGTGGTGGAGGGTCCCGATGATGCAGGGGTCGAGGTGACTGCTGCTGACCTAGAGGTGCTGCTACCATTTCTTGAACAGGTGTAGGTACCCGAACAGGTGCTTGCAGATTTGCAGGTACATGTTTGGAGGAAGCCGCTTGTTGCGATGACGACACTGAGGTTCCTGTGACGGTTGCTTTGTAAATGACATACCTTATAGGTTGGTAATTTCCAGGTACCACAGTTGAGGGTTGTACAAATCTCACAGCTTGGCAGCGTTGACCTTGCCATCTTGGTTGTGTAACTTGGTGTCCTGTAATTCCTGGAACATTCCTGTTGGGAAGGGCTTGGTGATACTGGGGAAGCATGATTGGCTGGTACTGCGTGGGTAAGGTTGTTGGAGTTTGGTACCTCCCTCCCAAAATTGGGGTCACACATTGATGATAGTGAGGTGCAGTACTTGTGGACCAGACCACTGGACCACATGCTCCTTGCCTGGGAAGTGTTGCTTGGGTATTGCCAGGAAAGAACAGTATCTGAGGCTTGTCTTCGATGCTCGCTGATGCTTGTGGAGAAACCATTCGCTGTGGAAAGCATGAGGTCGGGCACGGATGGGTAGCCACATCATGACTACAAGAGCTTTGTGTGGCACTCGTTGATCTTCTTTGAAAATAGGACGGAGACAGGAGACGGTTTGTTATTGCGCCAGATGCGATGAATTGGTAGGCAGGATGTGTCTTGGAATTAGCGGTGTAGATTGGCTGCTGATTGCCAGGTGGTTGTGGGATTGGTGTAGTATTGTTCGCAGCTGTGACCACTGGTCTAGACAACTTCTCTTCAACCAGTTTCTGCTCATCCTTAATGCCAACTTGACCACTCCCTGGCTCTGGAAGCACTGACGTAGATCTGCATCCCACCGACGCAGATGCAGGTCCATTTGTCATTAGAGATGGATGTTCGTGTTGTTCTTGTGTAGACGGAGTTGGCTTGCTTGTCGAATAATCAGTGATGACAGACAGAGAGGCAATAACAGAAGAGGTTTGCTCCGATGTCTGTGCAGTGCTCACTGGAATTGTTTGCAATGGAATGTTGCTGCTGTTCTCTGGATTCTCAGAATCAGCAGCCTGCAGACTGCTCTCCGATTTGGCCTTTTCTCCCTGCTCCTTTGCCTTCCATTCTAAGTCAGTTTTGTAACCCCAGGTAGTTTTGTCGGGGAAAGTCTCGACACGTTTGAAGACATTGACGCCTGTGTCAGTATCATCACTTGGCTGCTGCGTTGTGGGTGATTCATCAATGATAAGATTCTTCTCATCATCTTGGTCGTCAGAAACGCTGCCCTCCATTTGCCTGTCTATATCCTCTGTCTTCTCAAACCAAGACCCTTGAAATTCATGGTTAGGAGTTTCGCGGGAGGAAATCTTTGCAGCTTCAGATATCTGGGACGAGGATGACCTCAGTGACATGTCATCACTGACATCAGCTGCTGGCGATCGGTTCCGATCTGCAACGGCATCTCTAATCTCCGTGATCTTCTCTTTGAACGTCACCCTCTTCCCCGTATTCAAATCCCGTACGGGCTTCTCGATCTCGCGTGATCTCGTGCCGATCTCGTGTAAAGACTGCGAGCGTCCCGGTGGCTGTTTCCTGTCTCTCTTCTTCCTCGTCGATGATGACGATGATGATAATGCAGGCGTGTTCAACGGAGCGAAGAGCACCGATGCCAAGTCAAACTCGTCCTGCTTGGGGATAATCCGTCTAGGTCGGTCTTGCTGGCCTAATTGCACGGTGGTAGAACTTTCAGCTTTCAGAAGGCGACTCGGTCGAGAGGAAGCATCTTGTGTTGTATCTAAAATAAAGTCAAATTTGTGTAAAAATGACGTGTCCTCATTAATTCAGAGAACATAAGCGTACTTATAATGGATTCACACCGTTCTAGAGATTTATCTCGTTTTGGCTTGGCTATATATTAACGTAAAAGCCTACCAGATCTCTCTAATTTCCAAGCAATGAAACTAGATAGGTATATCTACTACACGATTTAGAATATTATTATAGATGACGTATTTTGAAAAAAAAACACGTCGAAAATCGATCTTCTTCATTTTTTTACTGAATGAATTTCACTCTTAAATAATCGTATTCCAAGTTCAGCTGGAGTGAATTTTCGCTCTTTGGAGAGGTTGTTTATGAAATGTATGCAAAGATGATGTGAATTTTTAAATATCTGAATAATACGAGGGACGCAAAAGGATGTACAACGCCACGACAAATAAAAGAAACGAAAGTCGATCATAGACGCGGAAAATGCAATATTGTTCCGTGAATTAACAACTTTAAGAACTTTAAAAGTCCAATTTATCATATTGGCGTTTTGGACACGGCTCAAGCACATCGTTATAACAATGAAAGAGTTAGGACTGAATAAAAACAGCACCCAAAGTCGATTGAAATGTACGGACGGGCGGTTCCAAAATCCAGTTTGATGAACACATTCCCCAAAACGTTTAAAGTCGCTTACCTTTCACCGACTTCCCTTGCTTTTGGAGCACTTGGACCTCACAAACATTAGCCGCCTGTGGCACTTTGGCGTGATTCCTCTTCGAAGTGACCGTCTGGAGTGGCTTTGGAACCGGGGAGTGGGCCCTAGACGCGTCCGCTTGCTGTACGTCGTCTTGTCGCTTTCTCGGTGATGTGGGTGCAGGGACGGGGATGCTCGACTGCGAATGAATTGAGTAACCGGCTTTTCAATGCACAGTGGCGGATTTGAGACCCCTCTCGAGTCTTAAAAAAGGAAAACCATGCAGAAAAACACAGCAAATACCACACCCTCCAAACCATACCAAAAGCTGGATCCGCCACAGCTGTACCGCATGTATGAACTTTTTAGTTCGTGCATGCAATTTGATGATTTTGCTGATAAGCTATTGTAAAAGGGTGCCTAAATTTATTAATATTTTGTTTGGATTTGTTTCCACGAGTCAATCAGGGATGAATAATATTTCAGGTAAAATAAACTGCAAATCAAAGACAGTGGCGTGTGTAACTGAAGTCCAAGGGTGGATCATCCGCCGCCGCCCCCCCCCCCCCCCCCGGGCCGGGGGGGGGGGGTTGCGCAATGAACGGGGGCCATGCCCCCCCCCCCATTTTTTTTGGGTTTAAATGACGTCACAATAAAGGCAGGCACTGTGTATATAATTTATACACCGTACCATCTTTTCCTCAAAACAAAAATTGGTTTAAGGTGGTCAAAAATTGCCTCAGATCGCACCACATGGCATACATCTCAATGTTATAAATTGGAAACAAAATCCTCCACATGTGGCATTAGCTATATGGCTAGGGAAATAGTTCTAAAAACAAATTCTTGTTCTTTGAAATAACAGCTTGCGAAATGCCAGTCTAATGTTTTCAGACTCATCTAGAGCTATAGTGTTACTGTTAGGCCCAGTGATACCTCTGTTGAATGGGTCTATCAGACGCTTAAAAAAATAGCAAATCGAAAAATTAGAGGGCTCCAAAAGTAACTTTAATGCACTAGCCTACTCTTACTTAAAAAGAAAGAAAATTGGAAGAGAAGGCCTACTTACAAGTACCGGAGATCGTCTCATGTGATGATCAGCAGCAACGTATTCAACTGGAGACAATGAAGTCATTCTCTAGAAGTGTATTATCACGACTTTATCAGTTTTGGTCGTTCACTGTTTATTCGAACATTCACAATAAAAGTTGAAATACACCGAGGCCTACAAGACAATTCATCGTCATTTTTCCAACGCCCGGTGACTTTTTTGTAAGCCAAAGCAAAAACAAAATACTACTGTGAAATTAATTACTCCAAAGGTAATGTTTGTTTATTCCCTTGTTTATACGCGTGCTCTTTTATGAATGAATTGTGCGTTTACAAGCGCGCTTGAGTAGATGCAAGACGCGCGCCTATCGTGAGCCCGCGCGCCTGTTGTACACATGTATCAGTGTGACGCAAGTTATGTGGCGGAAAAGCGCGGCAAAATAACCAGTTCATGTACAAGCACGTGTTGCTCCACTTCGTCGGTCGTTTTATCGAGTTTGACCTATCGCCGTTTGCGAGTTAGCCACGCCCCTTACAGATAGAGATGCCAACCATTACTCTTTTGGAGTAATTATTAGGATTTTGAGGCACTCTAGAAAATTCCAGCTGTCCTATACGCCAACATTGTGGCTACTTTGGAAAGTACTGTGGTTACTCTTAATTAAACCGTTGACTGTTGTCCTATGTATTTACATTAGCATTACTCTTTGCAGGAAGATTCATTACTATTTTGTAGTCTGTAAAGTTGGCATCTCTGCCGTTATTTGACAACCCTATAAAATTTTGTACGTTAAGTTTGGTTTGTCTCAGATATTGCCCGTCCGCGTCCCTTTATGCATCGTGTAATTGGACAATTATTTCACAAGCTGCGTTGACGCGATTTTACCGCGATATAGGTTCATTGCTGGGAGGTCACTAATGAAGAAATTCCAAGCTTAACTAGATTTTTAATGACAAACGGGGCAATAACATGGAAGGAAATCGATTAACTGTTGAGGAAACGGTATTACATGCCTGTTTTAATTGAAGTTTTAAAATACTTCAGCCGGTGTTTTATAAAACGTTTGACTTGAAATGTATCTCAATGGTTTTAAACCTATTGTTAAAGGTAATATACAACATTAAATTTGCAAACAAGGAACAATAACCACCAAATTATTATTAAATATTATCTAGCATCCTGTGAAATCATGGTACCTGGTTTGCAGTCATTTTCAACAAGAAGTAGTTTTGGTATCAAAAACTTACTCAGTTTTTAAAAATCAAATACTGTCCGCAGTTTACAAAATTTAGTTTAGTCCACATTTCTTTGCAATCGGTTACACATCCGTGAACTGGTGCAAGCCAGCTATAGTCTGGTTGCCTGACGTGACTATTTTCCGAAGTCAATAAACTGTTTCATTGTCTCCGAAGTAGGGACAGGGAACCAGACTACTAGAACGGCATATTTTTTTTCCAGCATCTATGATCACAAAACATTAAACGGGTCAGTTTAATCAAATTTGCTATAAAATACAAACACCCAAATCCATCCATTGCTATAAAATACAGCAATAGCAAATGTTGTATATTAGCTGTAAACTACTACACAACAAACTATTGAGCTACGTGTACAATTTCAAACAATCCCACTATAACTTATGCAAAAAACGAGCTTGCACTTGCTCTAGTCTTTATAACAGCTTAAAACTCACTTGATATCATGATAATTAATACTGAAAATGCTGTATCTACGTCTTATAATTTAAAACAATGTAAACAGATGGGAAAGAAAGTTGCATCCTGAAGCCACTTTTTTTCATGATAATAAATGTATTACCTCAATGAAGGTCAGTCATTGCAAAAAAAGTTGAAGAGACATTAATTTGGGACTGAGAAACATATCCAATTTTGTTAAAAAATAATTTGAAAATTCGCTCGACTCAAACAACCAAGAATTGGCGTCTGGATGCAGCATTCTTTCTAAAAAGGACTTAACTCACATATAATACAAAAAAAACTTGATAAAAGCATTCAAAACGAAAACAGTCTGTATTAATAATACTTCATGGCAGACAAGTTTGCTCTGCAAGACTATAAAATGGCATTATAAAACATTATAAAAAGTTGTCTGCAGTGGCAAAAGATTGATACATAGTAAAATTCATGCATTCGAATACGAGTATGTTTTCAAACAGTTATTACACTAATTCATAAAATATGGATGTCCAAGTAAAGGGAAGTTCCCATTTGCTGTTTTACGGCATAAATATGCAGCCTATTTTTAAGTTGTAGTTGTAATGGAAAACAAAATTTGAGCACAACATGATTTTATTTTAAGAACGAAGCAAAATAAGTTAGTAACTTCTTGGTTTAACCTTGGCACACAAAAATAAATTAATTCGAAATAGCTCTAAGTCTCAACGTAGCACCTTGGATTCAGATCACCATTTAGTATCGGTAACAACAAAAAAGGCAGCTAAATAAGCCATACATTGTACCTTTATGTCCTTTATGATTCTGAAAGGGCAATTTTCTGTGGCGCACACAAAAAAATCAAATGAGGCCAAGATACTAACTTAGGGCTTGCCTTGGTTTTCTAAACCAGAGTATTCTACCTTTTGGTCCAAATATCGCTTATCTTTTGTGGTATGGGATAATCAAACAGCTCAAATTCCTCTTTGTATCGGTTGACGAGTTGAGGCAAAAGATCGGGCGGCAGTTGGGAGTAAAACTCCTCAAGAACATCTGCGCTGGAGCTGAATTTATGATGCGTCTCGGTTGACGGGAACGTCTCAAGCTTATCAATCCCAACCATCTTGAAGATGTACTTTGTATCCTCAGTGGCCGTCTCCACCTTCCCGATGAAGTCGTACGAGATGTGGCAAGGGTGGGCCCAGTTGAAGAGAGGTCGCCAGTGGAAGTCTCCTTCAGGGACCTCCTCTGCAACCACCCATCTTGTGAACTCCTCAAAGGTCGGTCTTCCCGACTGGATCTCTGCTGGCGTGGGATTCTTACGGTACTTCTGGATGATGGACATTCCGATGGGCCGGTAGTATGGGAAGTGACGCAGCTCGACATACTTGTCTCGGTACGCTGACAGGAAACGCGCAAAGGGCTCCCGGACAAACAAGATCTTCTTGTAGTTCTGCAGCTTAAACATGAAGGTTTCATCATCGTAGTCCCTTATGGGAAAATCGCCCATCTTCTGCGAGCGCCGAAACTGGAGACTTCCCTTGGTATAGAGGGAGATCATGACTTTGCGCCAACTGAAGGAGGCTGCTTTGAGCTCGCGGCAAATGATGAACTGGTGGTCGTCGTTGGCATAGGCATGCTCGTAATACTTCTTCCACAAGAGTATCTTCTGACGATCACGCTGGTAGTCTAAGGGGGTCAGGTTGTATCTCGTCTGGCACTGCTGCCTGATTCGGTCGCGTCGTTCTCTTTGAACTGTCTCCATACGCTGCATGAACTCCTCTTCACTTTCATTCTCAGGTGGAACAACCTGCAAACAAAACGTTTGTGGCTTGTTAAATTGTCACGTTTTTATGTTAAACCTTCACTTTACTGCAAACTACCCCCAACCAAATCCATAAGTTCCAGCTCCTACATTACATGCAGCTCAAAAGGGTCAAAAGGTCCAGGTATCTATCAAACAATTTATCATAATTGCACTTTTGAAAGCTTGTTTTACGTTAATGTACACTATTTAAAACAGCCCTGGTCCAAACTGATATCTATTTTACAGTACAGAAACTAAGCAATTATTTCACATTTTGACAAATAAACCACTTTGGCCATCTTCGTACCTTTCCATGTAGTCCAGTACTTTTGTGACTATTTACTTGTATCTCTCTGGACACGACAGGCTTTTCGGATTGTCTTAACTCCAAACCACTCCTCAGTTGAGCTGCATTTGGTGGTACCGGCCTTCCATCCTTCTGGATAGTGATCTTCCTTGGCAGGTTTCTGCCAGGGATTCTGTAGGCAATGTTGTCATCGCGGCCAGGTTGGTTCATTATCACATTGGACAGACTTGGGTCCCGATTTGCTACGTTGGCAAGATTGAGACCACTGTGAAATTTAGAGTCATCTGATGACTTGGATATATCAGGAACAACTTTTGTGTTCTCTCTTTCAAGGTGTTCACTGGCATTTGCAAGAAGGGTTTCACCGTCTTTATGAAAACCTGCTCTTATTGGCTTCTTGGTGACAACTATGTGCTCATCAAGTTGCGTGTCTGGAGGTGGATGAGGGATGCGTTCTTCATTTGGCATCACGGTATCCTTGGCAACTTGGTCTCTTCTTCCTCCATGAGGCTGAAAGACAGGGACAAGTTGTTTTGGCTCTTCATGAGACACTGGATTATTGCTCTCTGCAAAACGAGACCTAGGTGGCTGAGAGTCGACTGGCTTCCTGTTGACCACAGGAATTTTCCCTGCCTCAGAAGCTGTAGCAACAGCATCCGTCATCTCTCCATGAAGCACACCAGAGGGCAGAACTTGCCTTTGCCATTTATCAAGCTCATCCTGAGAGACATTTGCCGATGGATAGTGGACGTGCTCTTTGTTGAGCAAGCCAGAGTCAGAGGACTTGGCCATGTCTTGAGAAACCTCATTTGTCATTCGGTCTTTAGGCACGACACCTAGAGTAGAGTAAGTTGGCACTGTATACGGCACATCAATTCTGCCATCATTTCTGTCCACATGGAAGACTTTGGGCAAAGTTTGAGCATCTTGTGGGGGCTGGGGTGGGTTTTGCTTTTGATGAGGCAAAACATCTTTCTGACTTTCAGAAAACAAAAGAGCATTCTGAGGCTGATGGATTTTTTTCTCGTATAACCCTTCTTTAGAAGGTTTCACTGTTGCCAAAGCAACCTTGTCTTTCTCTTCATCCTGATGAAAGGGAGAATTTCGAGGCACAGAACGGTTGTTATCATCAAACAATCCAGCCTGTGCAGGATTCTCTCTTTTCACAACAACCTCCGCATTTTGATCATCTTGAGATGAGACGTCCGATGATTGGGTGCTCGAGTCTTCATCATCCGGCCCTTCATCTCTACTGAAAGACTTGCTGTCATCGTCCGTCTCTTGACGAGGCACGGCCAGAAAGTAGTTGTGGTTTAATCGATTCGGGATCTTAGCATCTGGTCTGAGCCTGCCATCATCTTCCAGAGGGGGCGGAATGCCGTTGATGTCTTTAGCAACATCAGGTCGTTCCAACTCAATGATGTTTGGGTCTTGGTGAGCGTCTAGCTTTGGCTTCCTGGCATCTAGAACAGAGGAAGGAGGCTGCATGCCCTGGTGCACCTGGACCTTTGCATCAAGTACGTTGGCATTCCAGCCTGGGATCTGGGCGTTATCGGAACTTTTCCGCTCACTGGCAACATACTGTCCACTCTGCACCTTTTCACCTGTAAAGTGAAATAAAAAAAATATCATTTTTACAATTTCCTGTTTAAGTTAAAAATTATGACCCTGTAGCTTCTATTAGTTTTGTGTGATCCAACACAGTAGGGCCTATAGACCTTCCACCAATTTGAAAATCATTCTTCAATTTTCAAAAGAGTTTCGTTTCAGACTTGGTTTTGCAACACACATCGCACGTGCATGTTTGTCTGATGCTTACAACACATTTGACAATTTCCTTTTACCTGATTTGAAGTAAGATTTCCAGCTGATGAGGAAGAACAAGACGACACCCGCACCCCACAGTAGAATGAACCTGGTCCTAGTCAGTTTGGGAACCCTCATGATGGATGGATGGCACAATGTCGACGACTGGTACTCGGTACTAGCGCAATATTCCAGTTGCTATCTGCATACATATACGGACATGATGGATTCATGAAGGTAAATTAATACAATCACTCATTTTGTACGCACATTTCGAGAGTTTTTTATGTACAGATCACACAGTCTCCTAAAACAGTCTAATATTTGTATTATTGAAGTACATGCATACATATTTCAAAAGGGGGCGCTGTTCACATTCGATGATTGTTAACACTAGATTACAGAATGGTGTACCGTATTTTGAACAGGCAAACATTATACCAGTATAACTTTTTTGGGTGTCACAGCAGGGGAGTGTCACAGAGCTGGGGGGGGGGGGGGGGGGTTGACCCCCCAAACCCCCCTCTGGATCCGCGCCTGGGCCCGTCTCTCTCTTCCCCCAATACACTCGTTGTCCGTTGTACAAATTCACTCAAGCAGTTTTTGCTACATAAAGGCTTATGCCATGGAATTGGAAACTCACCGAGTTCAAGTACGCAAACGCCTCGGAGTCGTTCACGCGTACACGTTGGCAGACCAGCCAGCAGAACATTGACTTATCATTTTAGTTACGGCAGTTATTGTTCATCATTTGTTCATATACAGACAGCCGCACCTTTATCACCGTTACGGCTACTTATTCAAGTCATGCTGTGTAGGAACAACATCACAATAAAAAGTGACAAACATCAAAACATTGTCTAAAAATCTACAAAACATCCGCGTTGTCTAGCCATGTCTACGGATGTCACTGCACTTTCTTTGTACCGCGGAAGTTGTTGATCAAAATTGCGAAAGACAGTCGGGTACCCCCTGCTTATCTCACGTGTAACATGTTAATGGCTTTTGGGTACATTTCACCTGCCAGTCATCGCATGTGTACATGTGTTCGATCATTTACTCGGGAATTTGATGATTTTCACCAACAAAAATGTGAAAAACTGTGCTATTATATGAACTACTTTTTATTTAGGGAACTGAATATTTATAGGAGGTGGAATCATGTTTGGCTGTTTGGTTGCTGGCCGTCTGGTGAGAGTTGTAATTTTCTTAGTTGCAAACAGTCATTATTGCGTAAATTTGCCTTGACTGGTTGCGATATATTATACAAGTTCAGCTGTTTCAGTTTCACATTAATGACATTATATTACTCAATCAGCATGCCGTGCATGATGCATGTTGAGTACACCAACATGGTTAATCATGTTAATCAAGTCACAAATCAATCAGTATAAACGTAGTAGGCCTAATAAATTCTGTGTCATCCTTTTAATTTTATTGTTAAATCTATTAAGGCCGAGTAAAAAAAGAAAAATAGATTCTTGTCCGGGGTTTTTGAAAAAAGGGAGGAAGCGGGGCTTTTTATTTTTTATTTTTTATTTTTTTCAAGATGACCGCCTTTTCAAAATTTTCTGCAACCGTTGGTGTTCCACTGTTCAAAGACACTTTTAAAGATGAAAGACAAGTTGGACAAGAGAACTGAACATATTTACAGTGTCATTTAGAGTTGTATTGGTATTGGTATTTATTTTCCGATGAATTTGTAGACTTTTTCGGTGTTTTTCTACTACATTTTTCAAAAATAAAAAATAATAAAAAAATCCAGGCGACCTCCAAAAAGGAAGCGGGCGGGGACGAGAAACTTTTTTTTTTTTACTTCGCCTAAGCTGACTTTAAATTAATTGTGATTGACTTATCGTCTTATGCTAGAATTAAATTTAAGACAAAGTCCAACAATAACATGTCTAATGCTGATTGACATGTGATTTTACTTTTGACTGACGTGTGATTGACTTGTAATTGACATGTACATTATCATGTGATTGACCTGACTTAATTAAACTGTGATTGACTTTATGATAGGCCTATATATAGTGATTTATTTGTTGATTAGGCCAAGTTTAAAAATAAAACCCCCTTCCCTGCCGTCCCTCTTTTTTTTTTAATTCATACATTTGCAATATATTTTGCACATAATTATATCATGTAAATTGTCAACACATTGTCTTTTTGTTTGCAGAACGAGAAACTACTAATTTTTTTTTTTACTTGGCCTTAAGTTGTGATTAACTTCCAAATTCATCTACAGGTGTAAATGTGCACTATTGGCCAAATAAAAAAATAAAATAGTTTCTCGTCTGGAGGAGGCGGGCACTCTTTCCCCTGCCCCCAAGATGGCAGATTGGATTCTTCCATTTTCTCATCTCTTTTGCCAGGTACAAAATTGTGTCCTAAGGAGCCGTAACCCTTTCTACATAGCTACAATTTTTGTTGAAACAAATAAAAAGACGATGTATTGACAATTGCAAAATATATAAGTATTGCAAGTGTAAGAAAAGGAGGCAGGAAAGAACAAGGAAGCGGGCGGGGACAGGAAACTAGTTTATTTTCTTACTTGGCCTAACGTGCACTGCTTCAGGTTCAGACGGATATGCAGCAAGTGGATCTGACACACTTCGTCTTCAACATTGAGAACGCGGACGCCGTCAACCACATCGTCGTCTTTCTGACGGGCACCATGCCGTTTCCCGAGGGGATGGGCGGGGCAATCCACTTCAGCTGGCCGTCACCGGAGGGGGTGGCCTGGCAGTTCTTGGGGTACATCACCAACGAGAAACCCAGCGCGATTTTTAAGATTTCAGGCTTAAAGAAAGGTGGGTTGCTGAAATGGTTTGCTGATCCCTATCTCACTGATTGGCTGACTGACTGACTCATGGACTGGGCAGTGCTATTGTATAGGATAACCCTTTAACACAAATGAATGGACTAAATCTGGCCCATTGTGTAGCAGAGTTGTAACGAGTCACTGTTTTTTGGGACTCGAGTCGAGTTGAGTCATTTTAAAGAAGTGACTCAAGTCGAGTCGAGTCGTTCGGTCAAGAAGGTCGAGTCGAGTCACAGTGTGTAGTCGAGTCGGGTCGGGTCGAGTCAAGTATTTAGCTCGAGTCAATTTGAGTCACAAATATTTGAACACTATTAATAAACAAAAGAGAGAAAGTCATTTTTTGGGGGGCTTTTTTAAGTTACATTCGGGCTACTCCATGTGGTGACACCACTTTTGACTCTTAATGAAAATAAAAAGGGGTGCCAGCTGATCGTCCTTCAACTAATGGGGACACTGATCAAACCACGTATCTATGTATACATTATTCGCGGATATTCTAATATGAAGTAAACAAAACCGTCACCGGCGTAGGCCTAAGTCATTGCAAACAATTTTCCCCAAAGTTTTGCTTTCATTTTTGGGACTCGAGTCTTATTAGCCTTCCTCAAGTCGAGTCAAGTCATTTGCTCGCAGTGACTCGAGTTGAGTCATTTGCCCCTAAGGCCAAAAAAAATAATAGTTGTGCTTCTGATTACATGGCATTCCAAAATAGGGTAGGTAGGTAGGAATTTTTTTTTTGCCATTTTGTTTTGTTTTTTGGAGGCGTCTGCATAAAGTCAAAGGAAAAAGGTAGAAATCGATGGTTTTGGGTATTTTTTTCCTCATTTTCCCATAAAAAAAATTAGGGTAGGGGCTGTCAGAATAGGGTAGGTAGGGAAACCGGAAGCAGAACTTTTTTTTTTTTGGGCCTAAGGACTCGAGTGGAGTTAATTACAACTCTGTTGTGTGGACCAGACCCATGAAAAGACTTCAAGTGAAAAGCGATTGTGGAATCAAGTCTTGCCTTTGGTGGTGCCCTTGCATTCGCTTGGCAACCAATTTTCAGCAGAGATTCTCAAAGTCAATTGTTTTTTTCTGCTAACAGTCATTATTCATTTTGTTTTATCAGGGAACATTTCCGCCAACAACCCATTCATGCAAGCTACCCAGCCCGGTCAACAGATGAACACCGTGTCACAGATCGGCATTGCTGTCGAACCAACGGCTCAGATAGCCCAGCAGATACCGGCAAAGAATACCCAGGTAAGAGTGTATACCCAGGTGGGAATATATACCCATGTTGGAATGAACCCACTTGGAAGTGGCCAGACTAGCCAGATGGAGACAATACACATGTACAAATGTACGCACAGTCGTGTTTTGCTATGCTTCCGAGGATTGGCTTTGTGTTTTCCTTTGTTCCCTGATCTAAACCTTTCCCATAGACTAAGTGCACAAACCGGCGTTCGAGGACAATAGGCACCGTCGTCCGAGGATGAAAGGCCCCTTTGTGCTCCTTTTGTTGTCTGTCCTCGAGCGTAATACAATACAAGAGCCGACATACAGGTAGATCCTTTCGGGATACCGCTATGTTTGTGGTCACGCGGCCATCTCATTAAGGAGGAGCTTTGTTCCGTTATGCTTATTGCTTAGGTTACAGTGGCATGATAAGACGTATTTTTGTTAATATGAAATATAATTTTGGGGTTTGGGTTTCGCTTTTTTGTCTACGTCTCACCCTGTAGTACTTAAGGTAACATGTCCTTCACTAAGTAGTAATAAAAGTTTTGTCTGCAGTTTCTGAGCGTGAGATGTGTCCTTTCCTTTTGTGTTTTGTGTTCTGCGCAGACGTCCAACGTGAGCAACTTCACGGAGTTCACCACGAAAATGCTGGAGAATTTTTACAATTTCGCCTCCTCGTTCGGCATCACGCAGGCACAGATGACGCCCCAGCCAGACGTGAGTTGGGTGCCCCTGACCGTCCTGGACAAGTGGTACGAGACGTTCAAGAGGAAAATGTCGCAAGACGTCAACTTCTGGAAGAGCTAGCAAGATCAAACCAGAACAGGATTTGCAAAACTCATGGATTTTGTACGTGCTTGAGGTACCGGGGTCCCTATGGGCTCCGTGCACAAGTACCCCCTCAACGGCCATAAAAGGAGAGTTGGGGGAGACCTAGACTGGTTCCTGGTCCATGCACTGCGTATTTTGAATGATCCAAAGTTGTTGGGGGCGGGGATTAGTCTAGGAGACCATTGCAAGTTAAATTTGAACGTGCCGACCTGTGCCGACGACGCCTGATGTTTACACACAAAGACGCTATGGCTTAGCTTTGTGCACATTCAGGACAAATGAGTCGTGTGTACTTCGTGCGGGAACCAGTACAGGATGCACACGTGGTGTCCTGTCCAAGGAGCTTTCAAAAGTGATAAAAACGTGTCCTTTTTAAGAACACGAAAACATATAGTGATCTATTGAGTGTTCTGTTTTCAGGCATGTAACTTTTCCTCGGATCAGCTGATTTCCTCTTTTTTACTTCCCATGTGTGCCATTGAAAATAGAAAAACACTGTACAAAGTCTGTACAAAGTCTGGGAAAAATGTGAATTTCCTCTTTTTTTTGTGATTTCCCAGTTGCATGCCTGTGTTTTGCGAAGCCGAGGGAAAATAGAATGCTCCATGGATCACCGACGGAGGCTAGTTTTACTACACCACAAGATAAAGCTGTCAATATTTGTTTTATAACGCCTCACCCACAGATTTTACTTGATTGTAACAGCTAACTGATTAATTCAACCGAAATCCAATTTGAAAGGTACTTTCATTGTTCGAACCCTCCATTATATATGAAGGCATGAATGTGCTTGTAAATGCATGCACAACAAATATGGCTGAACCATTGTCTGAGAACAATGCGATTCATCCATTCAATTTAAGATGGAACACTTAACTGTGTCTAAATATTAGTTACAATTTATTTATCTATGTGTCTTATAGTTTCAAAAACTAATTGCTAAAGTACTGCTTTGTTTGTAGTAATCACTTGTACCGTAAAAAAAGGGATGTTTTCCTTAAACTGTATTTCGTTCACTGAATTCGTCTTTTATAATTTACACAAAAGCCAACTTGGATTGTCAGTTTTCATTTGTGTATTTCTTGTGACTGTATACGAACAATGTAATACAAAATAACACTTGGCAATGCTGAACTAAACACAGAAATTTGAGTGCTGACATCTTATTAAAATTTCATTTGCATTTCATGAATATTCATGGTCTCCACTCTACAAGCTCATGCTTTTTGGAGACCTCCATCCATCCATACACAGTTATTCAAATGTTAAATACAATACAATACAATAAATTAAAGATTTGATTGATTCATTTCACAGTGCTGATGGGAATTTTTTTTCTGGAAATTTGTTGGTCTTTTTCTTGCTATAGAAGTGAGGTTTCTAATAATTGAAAACCCTCAGGTTGTGCTGAGGGGCAGAGGCCTTGGGTCTGAGGTACATGTAGGAATTTGAGACTTGGGATTTTGCGATCGAACTTGCTGGTTTTATTTATAATGTACTAGCTGGAAGATTCATTGTACGTATACTTTATACTAAAACATTGGTCTACTCGATCATGTTCTTGATACATGTACTTATTAAAGCCTTGATATGGTTTGGTGGGAACTGAGAGTATAAATTTCAAGGCATTTCTTTTACTAAAGTATCCCCGCAACTGTATATCTGTTTCTTCAAAATGTTAAATTTAGAAAGAAGATTTAAAGACAGGGACATAGGAATGACGAGTGTTAAACAGTGCTTAGATATTTTACCCACATACCATGGTTTTGGAATTTATTTCTTTATATGCTATCAAAAAACAGCAGTACATATATGTATGCATGTACACTTATATTGGTTTAGTTAATATACAAATACACAATGCATCACAATGAAATGTAACAATTTCTGTTAACACTTGAAGGTTTACTGTCAAGGTAAATTAAAGTGACTCTCTCCGTTGTTTTTCACCCGACAATCAATTTTGTAAGAAAATTTATGACAGTTTCACTTTAAATATGTTTGAGTATACATGTTTAACTACATAATTAATGTAATTTACCTCTATCAACTATTAAAGCAAATCACTCATTTGTTTTTAAGTTTTTAAACTGATTTTGCGTTTATGATTCATTTACATTTGTCTAACAAAGGTAAAAAGAGAGTCAATTTTTAAGTAGTTTTGCTTTCATTGTTTTAAATTTAATTTGCTCTTTTTCTTTAAAATAAATTGTGCGTTACTGCACTGCTTACAACAAGCTCGACTATAAATTTAGAATGGCCAATGCTTCTCGCGTCTGAGCCCTTTTGAATCAAAGAATTGTCTCTGGACCAATATGGGCCGCCTATCTTTTCTACCACAGAGGCCCCCTATAATGGCAAAAGCATTGTGCTAGCTATTGTTCACATAAACTTTGATAAATGCGCACATTTTTCACTTTTTTTCCAAATGGATATACTGTGCTTTGGAAAGAAACTCTTCATATGTAAATTTAAACAGAAATACGCGTATCAACTTTAGTTCTACATTTTTTTTCACAAAGTTTACTGTACACCTGAGTTGTTATATTGTTAGAATGCCATGTATGATTTTTTTTCCACACATTTTACCCTTTTCTTGACATAAGTATTCCTCGGTCAAAGTGAAAACGATGACATCTGGAGATGCTGCATGTTATTCCGAGCTGGACAAAAAAAGAAGATAAACGAATATTTGGTAAAACAAATTTTTGAAAAATCCCATAAAAAGTTTTTATTATTTTTTGTTTGCCGAAGAAGTATTTTGAAGGTTTCCATGTCAGGTACAAGTTGCAGGATTCTAAACAACTTCCTCGCAATCTTTTCGCAGTGAAGTTATCAGTATTGGCAAGTCAAGCAGTTGCTGATGAAAATTTCCCCGGAACATGTCTGGGACAAATGCAGAGCTTCTTCCGGACAAAGTGAATGATTCTACCCGCAACTTGTCCAGAACTTGTCCTGGATATGTAAGGAGACGGCCCTTACATGAAATCCAAGACATGTACTTACCATCAAAGTACGTGGTGTCTGTCTTATCGTCTGGCGCAGGAATGAATGGGGCTTCGGTCTCACGGATGTGTGCCCAATCAATGCCTTGGAACAAGGGGTGGGGCTTCAAATCTAAAAAAAAAAAAGGGAAAAAGATGTTGAAGGACCTTGCTTATTCACACACACTGTGTGTGAGGCATGGTGGCAGAATGAGATGGAAATGGGCTCAGTAGTGGAGAAAAATAGAAAACTGAATGGGGTGATTTTGTTTTCGATTTTCAGATTTGATGATATTTGTAATCTGTTAAATAATAATAATAATAATAACGGAGTCTTATATAGCGCACGTATCTACTAACAATTAGGTACTCAAGGCGCTGGAAATTATGTCTATTATTAAAGACTGGTGAATGAAGTTTATGAGAAATATGAGATCCATTATGTAGCACCTTATAAGGGTTTACAAGGTACTGCGGTGCATATTGCAGCCACTGCCAGAAACACCGGGGCAAACCCCTTCTCTTATCGATAAGTGTTGCTGGGTTCTTTAACGTGCATTACACAACACACAGGACCTACGGCTTTACGTCCCATCCGGCAATAATGGTAAAGTGCCTTGCTCAAGAGCACAAGCACCGTGTTCCCAGGATCCCATGTCTACTACACATGTTTTTAAGAAATGGTACTAAAAACCGCAAAATAAAATTGTCTTTATAAAGGAAAAACAATTGACATCTTTCACTCGAAACTAGGCCTCTTTCTCAGTAAATTTATTCTTTGACATGTTGATAAAATGTGAACTTTAAACAGCCATAACTTGTCAACGGATTGTCCGATTTGAGTGCAACAAATTGAGAGGGCATCGTGTTGTACTTGAGAAATATATTGAAATAGCATAAGAGGCTGTCGCCCTCTAGAGTTGACGCATTTCTACCTTTGGCCGTAGCTCTCTTGTCCTGGTCCATGGTCAGAAGACGGTCGATGACGTCCAAAGCATTGTGGGACAAAGCTTCTTCCCCCTCTGGAATCGGAATGTCTGAAAAAGTAACCAAAGCAGCAAATGTAATTTGATTGTCAGCAAAAGCTCTGAATATAGTTGGTAGTCTGATGCTCTGTGACTTCTCTAAGTCTTAGAGATAATTCTTTGGGATACTGGAAACACTCCAGTTGCCTTTCATCACTAGTTCCCGGACAACATTTTCAAGCATTCTAATCTCCTGGCTGTCGTCACATCAATTCAATACTTTAGTTCTGAAGGCATATACCAAGTGACATTTGTCAAGTATTGACGTATTGCCTCTCTGAAACGCCTGACCCCAATCTTGTTTCCCTTACACAATCTTTCGCAACTCAAACTGTGGACAGATATCCTTGGTCACTATGACTTCTTTGTTAATCTTTCTTTTTGGTAACGCACATCTCGCACATCTTGGCCTTGTGATTGGGCGATACCTGTTAACCCCCTCCCCCTCAAAGGAGGGAGGGAGGGGCTTAATAAGCTGATGCCTACCTCTGCTCAGGATGTTCTGGAAGACCAGGTCTGGTGATTGGTCATTGAAAGGCGGAATCCCGGTCAGGAACTCGAAGAAACAAACGCCCAGCGCCCACCAATCAACACCAACACCTGTCGACCAACCAAAAAATAAACATATTTATGCCCAATAGTAATTTCAGGATGTTATAACCACCAGTGTTGCACAGGTCATCACAAGTCAATCACGAGTCAATCACGAGTCAATCACAAGTCCACCACAAGTCCATCACAAGTCCATCACAAGTCAATCACAAGTCAATCACAAGTTCATCACAAGGCAATCACACGTCAATCACAAGTCAATCACAAGTTCATCACAAGTCAATCACAAGTCAATCATAAGTCAATCACAAGTCAATCACAAGTCGATCAAAAGTCAATCAAAAGTCAATCACAAGTCAATCACAAGTCCATCACAAGTCAATCACAAGTCAATCATAAGTCAATCACAAGTCAATCACAAGTAAAAAATTGGTCCAAGTGACTAGTTTTGTGCAGGACGGTCATATATTAAGATTTGTTTTGGTACGAACTTTTACATTGGGAACTCACCGTGTGGTTTCTGAAGCAGCAGTTCCGGAGCCAGGTAGTCCGGAGTGCCAAGAATTCTCTCCGGGTGAGCCTCGTTTGGCGTAGGTCCCCTGCGCACACTCTTCGGAGTACGGTATGGGGTGCACGCCGGTGTCCGGAAGGGGGTGTGTGCCGGGGTCTTGAAGGTAGACTTGGCTGGGGTAGCACTGTGGGACTGTACGGGAGGACAAGCTTGAACGTAAAAATGCGTTCTCCATGTACTTTCGTGTTTTGCCTTCAAAAATAGATTCATTTTTTGAATTGCTACTTTCCTTGAATAAAAGTTATTCAGTTTAAAATGAGACATTGAATGAAAAAATCAATCCACGTTTTAAATATAATTTTTTTTCCATATAATTTGAATTATTGGCTGCTAGACAATAATTCGGCTCTCGCACGGAGTGTTCGTTTGTGTGTAAAATAAAATCCCTTTTTCAGAAGGTTGCAGACACCCAAAATTGGAATCAATTTTTTTTTTTTTTTCGTTAAAAAAACATACAATTTGAAGTTTGTAAGGAAAACAATTTCAAATAGCCAATTTTGGTTTTTAAACAGCTTATGAATTTGTTTAAACGGCTTATTAATTTTTGGTTTTGAAAATAAAGCATAAAGTTTGGATTTACTCTGAATGGCGTCCTAGTCGGCTTTTTATCAGCCCATTCTGTGATGATGTCATGATCACTTGACACAGGCAAGTGTGGCAGTTGGTTCCCGGGCTCCTCGTCGTTCTCATCCATGCTGGCGTCCGATTGGTCCAGCGGTTTCTCCTCTTCGTACGTTGCCATCTTGGCAGTCCGCTCCAGGTACGTGTTCAGTCGGGGGCGCACGAGCGTCGGCCCGCTTTCTAAATCAAAGCTGACGTTGCGCTTGGGTCTCTTGGCTTTGTGGTGGTCATTCCCGCCGTCGGAACCTTTACTGAGGTCTGATGACTCTTCGAGGCTTTCACTGAGGGATGAGGTGAGGCTCGAAGATGCCGACCTGTTGGCTGCGTCGGTGCTGGGACCTGATCCACCAAGACCCATTACGTTGACCTCCATTGTAAGACCTGTGTGCCCTCCTCCGCTAAAGAAACCACCCTCTCCTACAGGACTGATATCCGACAGCTCGGAGAGTTTGCGTTTTCGTCCAGCCACGCTGTGCAGTCCAGCGACATCACCGGAACCGAAGGTCAGCACCCTTCCACGAGAGATCTCTGGACTCTCGGCCAACGCAAACTCGTCGCTGTCCGTGCTGTAAGTTCTCTTAGGTTGAGAAGTCAACATCTTGTCGCTTGAATCTCCAGGAGAAGCCAAAGACCTCCCAGAGGCAGCATCGTCGGGAGTAGAGTGATGTGCATCGAGTTGCGGAGACGTTAGCGGAGTTGAGGATGTGACTTTCTGAGGACTGTGTGGATGTAAGCTGTCCTTGTCCTCACTACCAGCTTCCGAGCCACCGGCTCTACCACAAAACCCATCGTGAGAACCTCTACTATCGTACCCAAGATCTGGGGATGACATCGGGGATGTCTTAACCCGAGCATTCTCAAAAGCCAGGCTCATAATCGGTGCCGGCGATCCACTGTCTAAGAACCTTTTAGCGCCTTGCCCAGAACCACTCCCGATAAGACCCTCCTTCCCTTTCCCCAGTCTCCGCCTCCCTCCAGAATTCAGCGGGGTCTCCATCAGACCGAATCGATTCTCCTTCTCTTGAACTTTGACCCCAACATCACCACCAGTGTTGTCAGCTGGCTCACCGCCACGTGGTTCCTCCTCGAGAACGCTACCAAGACCTTTACTGATGGAGGATTCTTCCGTGACCATTGACCAGGACCCAGCAGGGGACGGGGATTTAATCAGGCTGATGTAGCTGTTGGACCTGTCGCGTCTCTCGTGGGTCTTCGGCAACGGTCTGTGGTGGGTTTTGTTGCCCAGTGCGGTCAGGGGTGTGGTGTGGGGAGACTGTGGGGGTCTGGTCTTCATTGCGGAGGCTTGATTCTACACAGAGAGGTACACAAAATCAAAAGTGAAATTATAACCAACTTGACATGAGCCTTAAGCATTATGATGAACACATTGTACGCCGGAAAGTATCCTTAACGCTACTTGTGAACACGCCAGTGCATTAATGTGATCCATTGGTCCAAAATGTCCAGGCAAAAGTGCCTCAGGGTCTGTGGTCGCCAAATGCAGCAGGATACAACTGTGGCATTGTTCAATTGGACTAGCTGTCATGTCTCAGAATTGGCCGTTTATGCACTGGTGTTGATGGCTCAATGCAGCAAGGTCCCACAGACTTTTACACCTAATGCACTGCGTTGCGTCTGGCAGGGTTAGGGTTAACTCTTGGCAGACATACTTATTGGTCATTAGTTGAATTAGCTATAATTTCCTGGCCGATGAATCCTAGGAATTAAGGAAACTCTTACGAAGGCAAAGCTGGTTGTGAGTGACAGGAGCTGGCCAGGGGTGCGGAAGTGGTCCGTGGATCCACGCCTGGGAACAGAAGGGGTACTCATGATGTCTGCTACACTGATTCCTGGGTCAAAAGAATAACACAAACAACAGCTTTATTGAAACCCTAACCCCCTACTTCTTCCTCAGGACTACCCTGCTAAATCCAACAGAGTCCAACCGGACTTTCCTGCTCAATCCACTGTGCCTCATTTTCAGTTGTCTGCTGAATCCAACGGAGTCCAACATGGCTTAATAATGCGGTTCAGTTGCCTGCTGAATCCGACATTTTGCATGAGGAATGTACACAAGGGGTTAACTGCTCAATCCAACAGGCTCCATCGGGTATGTGACAAAGTTGGTTATAATCTGCTCAAATTGACGAGACCACATAATGACTCACTACCAATAGCGGATCGTTTAAAGTTCTGCACCGTTCTAAATTTCACACTAAAATACTTAATTTGAATAATCCATGGAACAACAAAGACAGAACTTGTAGTTGGCAGCAAGTAGACTACTAGGAATGTATGTATTTTTATGAGGTTGATTTATAATAGTGTTTAAATAACAGTGTTTTATTTTGTCTTTTTAAACTGTTTTAACAATGGATCCATTTTCTTGATGGACAACTGTTGGGATTGGATTTGTATGGGGAGGGACACATATAAGGGGGAAAAAAAATGATGTTCACTTTTGTTGAGTGTGATCTGTGAGAGTCCGAAGTCAGTCAACTTGATGTGGCCGTTGTCAGCTATCAACAGATTGTCCGGTTTCAAATCCCTGCAAGAAAACATAGTCAGACAAGTGTTTTAAATCCCTGAAATAAACCAGTTGACAACTGCAATGTTTGAATACAATTTATCTGAAATATTAAAACAAATATTAAAAAAATCCAGGACAACAAAGAATCTGTTGTCTTTAGAGTGTATGTAAAGTAAGCACACACATACTTGTTAAGTAGTGGTGTGGACTACACACGCGTAGTCCACACGTTGTCCCATGGTCATATGGGGACCAAAGCCGCTGTGGGGACAGCAGAAAGTCCCTACAACTCGGTCCTAATTTGCCTAACAATAAAAAAAAACGCCCACTGCTTCCTACCTGTGTATAATGCTGTGACTGTGTAGATACTCCAAAGCCAGCACAATCTCCGCTGTGTACATAACGGCCATCGCCTCGTCAAAGTAACCACAGACTTGCAGAAGAGACTTGAGATCGCCTCCGATCATATACTCCATCACCTACGAAGAGAGATCGGGACACTTCATTATCATGAAAATGATAATGATGACAGTGATAGTGATTGTAATATTGGTGGGTGACGTGGTGGTGAAAGTCCAGTCACAAGTGAATCACAAGTCGGTCACAAGTCCAGTCACAAGTCCATCACAAGTTCAGTCACAAGGGAATCACAAGTCCAGTCACAAGGGAATCACAAGTCCAGTCACAAGTAATTCACAAGTCCAGCCACAAGTATAAAATCACAAGTACAGTCACAAGTCCAGTCACAAGTATATCACAAGAAAGAAAAGATTACTGAATTAGTCACAAGTTCGGTTACAAGTAAATCACGAGACCAGTCACAAGTAATTCACAAGTACAGTCACAAGTATACCACAAGAAAGAAACGATTCATTAAATAATCCTCACCAAGTAAATACACTTTGCTGTTTGGATTGAGTAGAACAACCTGACAATGAAGGGGCTCTTGGACAGTGCCAGTGCGTCTCTCTCGGCCGTGACCTGCTGCACCATGTTCTTGTGCAACATATCCGATTTCTTCATGACTTTGATGGCGTATATTTCATCTCGGTCTGCTCGCTTCCCAAGGTAGACTTTCCTGAGAATTCAAATAATCGGAAAAATGATTAACAAATAATTCGTAGAAAATCAGATGAAAATGTGTTACACAAACTAAATGCTTTGAATGCTGTAATCTTAGATTTAAAATCTGATAAATCTGAAACTTTCTATTTTTTTTAATTTACTTACCCAAATGCTCCTTTGCTTATTGGTTTGAGAATGGTGAAGTCTTCAATTGTCGGCATCTTGTGAAGGAAATAGGGAGAAAATGTGAATTCTTTAAGGCAGTGTATATTTTGCCGGAGACGGCAAACCTTTAGTAAACGTTAGTTTGCCGGATATGCACTGAACATGCGCAGTTACTGTTTTTTTGTACCCTAACAATTTCCGGTGACAAGTTTTAGTCTGGCTCCATGCCAAAATTATCGTTGTTACCTCGTATTCACAAGATGGGATTCAGACCATTTTATAATTTCGGACTTTATTTCCCTCTTCAAAAAAATCCTCCAGAGCCACAAATCTGAAAAAGAAAATGTAGGCCTAATACTAGGTGCAAAAAATGTTTGAGACATGTTAAAATAATAAAAGAAGAATATTCTTATTTATTTGGGGATGAGAAAAAAAACCTTAAAAATGTGGTGCGGTCGGAATCGAACGCGAGTCATCCCGCTTAGCCTACTAGAGCCTTTGCTTAACCATTACACCAAACGTGCTACACAACTTTTGGTGGGAATTTAATACATCTTATAATTCAGCCCTATTTTAAAGAGTATAGCGCCCTCTGTTGCTATGGATTGCCGCCGGCAAACCTTTAGTAATCGTTAGTTTGCCGTCATTACCTCCGGCAAAATATCCACTATCTAACATAATAACAAATTAACGGGGAAAGTTTATTTTTATGTTCTCAAACTCATTACCCTTGCCTTTGATTTCGTCGTAGACGGCACATTTTCATCCATATATTTTACACGTTGAGAAAGATTTTGGCGTTTTAAAATATCAAAGGTCGTCTCTGTGCTATCCATCAAGAAGGACAATCATTTCTCGGTCAACAATCGTCAACAACCTCCGTTTTCTCGGCGCAGACGAAAAATTAAAAATCCGCTGTTATCCGTGTTCAGTCTGGTAGCTGAACTCCCTGTACAGTTTAGCGAACAAAATGCCTATTATGCGAAAGTACCAGACGAAAACAGATGGCAAATGAACACAAGAGGGCGCTATTCAGTATTTCATCGAAGGGATTTTTTTTTTTATGGGCGGACCGGGGGAGGGGTAGTATATTGTCACATGCCCAAATTTGCATTTAAAAATCACCATAATATTGAGCATTTTAATTGGCTTAAAGTTTTGACTCTTTTCCCCCCGAAGCTCCCACTTAGTTAGTGGTTACATTTTTTATTAAAATAAACTGTAATTTGTTTCTAGACTTCTGAACAACTCCAACTAAGAACCACACATGAACGACATAAAAAAATGTAATGGATTTTTCATTTTGTTTGATTTTATTCAAGAAATATTTCAAGGTACAAAAGATCATCTGAAACAAAAAAAAAGATTGGCAATATATACAGAAATTCCTGAAGAATATACATGTATTCATTTTTCAAATGACATTAATGTGTACGACAAATCAAAGCACTCGGTACTTTTTTCATTTATATTCATCATTTTTAGGCGAAACAGGGTGCGTTGACACAAATTAAGCAGCTTTTTTTGGTCTAGCGTCTTAAAGCAAAAATATAACACACTTAAAGAACCTAGCAAAATATAATATTTATATAAAATGGAGCAAGAAGACTTGTTATAACAGAAAACTCTTCCAATCAGTTTTTACTTTCTTTTCAATTATTTTTCTAAGGCACAGCAAAATCTGAAGTAAATAGTGTTAGCAATTTCAGTTTCATTTCAAAATGCAGAACTGCACAGAAAGGCACACACAAAAGTAGTAAAATGTAAAGTCAAACACACAGAAACTGAAAGTAGCAGTATTTCATACATGTAGAAAATTCCCCCAAATCATGAACAAATTGAACCCCAAATTCAAACCAAAATCGGAAATTGTAACAATGAGAGAATCTATCGCTGAAGTTCAGTGAATATGATGGAGTACAGCAGGCACATTGAGAAACAAATTAAAAAACAAAATTATTATTTTTTTTTTTACACAAAACGAGTGGGAATAACCACAAACCCAGAACCCTAATTTTGTATTTCAGATAAGTTGTCAGCTTCTATAAAACTTATAAAGTCACTTTGTCATGACTAGCAACCCCAAACTTCATAAACAAATTTCCTTTAAATCCACTGCGAAAAACAATAGCATACAGTTGTACTTTATGTATTAAATAAGGGAATACGTAGTTATTAGGATTCGGTCACAATGTGAAAACAAGTCGAAACTTCACAAATTTCCAACGATTTTGCTCAACAATTTTAGTTTGTGTTTTGTGAAACACCACTCTAGCAATGTGTATGGTATGTGCTTCGTGCGCGTAGTACTAAAAATCTCCTTATATGGAAATGGTCATGAATGTGGCACGTATTCGCATGATGTGGCGCAGAGCACAGCGGTGTTTTACCAGCTGTTTAAAACCACCCACCCAACGGGCTCTCGACCAATAGGAATTAGTAAACTGTCTCAGGTATTTATGAATGTTCACTAATTAGCCCTAACCCCCTAGTAGTTCCTCAGGACTACCCTGCTAAATCCAACAGAGTCCAACCGAACTTTCCTGCTCAATCCACTGGGCCTTATTTTCAGTTGTCTGCTGAATCCAACAGAGTCCAACTTGGCGTTATAATGCGGTTCAGTTGCCTGCTGAATCCGACATTTCGCATGAGGAATGTACACAAGGGGTTAACTGCTCAATCCAACAGGCTCCATCGGGCATGTGACATAGTTGGATCCTGTTGGATTCAGCAGGGTAAGGGTTCATTTTAAAGGACAGTAAGCCACAATCCCTATTCCCCAGATGAAGTAAAAGATGCTCTTACATCTTTCCTCAACCCTACACAAATTTAGGGTTTTCATATTAGTACAGTAAACCATCCACATAGGGCTCAAGTTTTAACTACCAGAGTTATTTGACTGCAATATACATACACAGTACAGATAAACTTTGTCAATTCGATCTGATGAATCACTTGCTACAAACCCACTATAGTATCCATCAGGTCACAGATTCAAATTTCATTTAATTTACCTGTTGTTTTCTGACATGTCCGATTAGCATATTTGATAATTTGAAACTTGAGGAGTCACAACTCTCCACGCCAGCATGGAAAGTTGCTATAATTTTGTCATGTTAAACAAAAGAAAACACATGCACACAATGCAATATTAATTCAATGGAACTCAAGGACTCGGGTTGGCGCAGCGGTACTTTCTCCGCCTTCCACCGCTGTGACCAGGGTTCGAATCCCGCCTGGGCCAATATGTAGATTGGGTTTTCAGTCCCTACCTGATTCCGTGGGTTTTCCCCAGACTATTCTTCTGGGGTTTTCCTCCCACCTCTAAAACTGTGATGTCTTCTCATTGTCTTCTCTCCCACAAAACTTTAAATAGTTCCATGTAACAATATTTGCTATAGACTACAAACCACAAATCTATCAATTTCTGAAAATTACATCAAAAGCAAATGTTGCATATTACCTTTAAAGTCCACAAGGTTTTGTTTGCGAAACAGAACTGAAATGTCTCATAAAACAAAAATAATCATGTAAAACATACAGGCATGATATGATGACTACCAGTGACTGATTTGGTCTTTGTTTCTTACCGCGCAAAGGCATCTTTTCAAACTTATTAGTTCATTAAGTTGGGCATATACACATGCTTAGTACTGCGGTTCTCCAGTGATTTGAAAAAAAAAACCACCCTCATTTTATATTCTACTCCACTATCTTTACGTAATTCGCAGGGAAGATCCCCGTCTGTCCGTTCACGCGCCCCTCCCACCAATCAAAACGCGTGTCGGTCCTCGTAAGGACGTCGATGCGATCGCCTTTGTTGAACGAGAGGTCACACCGCAGAATCCCGGTGAACGATTGGACAGCAACGGCGGAGCACAGGGGAGCAGCTTTGGAAGCGATGTTGTTGTTGTTTGTCAACTCTGGCAAAGGTAAACAAACAATAATAATAATAAACAAGACATTTAGCTTCAGTGATGCTTGCCGGGATTAGCTGGCTCGTTGGTTCTTGGTTCTTGGTTGGTTCTTCTCCTAAATACTCCGCGTGGGAGTTTATACAGGAGACCAGAAACACCAGGGCAAACCCCTTCTCTTAGCGATAAGTGTTACTGGGTTCTTTTACGTGCACTGGATTACACAACACACGGGAACTACGGCTTTACGTCCCATCCGAAGGATGAAGCAATAATGGTGAAGTGCCTTGCTCAAGGGCACAAGTGTCCACCCAGCGGGTTCAAACCCACGCTACTGTTGCCTCTGAAACACCAGAGCACGAGTCCGGTGTTCTTAACCGCTAGGCCATGACGCTCCGGTTCGACTCTGTATAGCAGCGGGTACCGCAAAGAGTCCTGACGTGCCTGAGGATGGTTTTTTGTTTGCGTCGGGAAGATGCATTTTAATACAGATTTGAACCAGCCAGCTGATCCCGACAAATGCGGTGGTCGAGTGGTTATCTGCACTAGAAAGCAGGTCGTGGGTTCGAGTCCCACTTGAGCAAGCTTGTGATTTTTTTTCTTGCAAGTTCCCGGATAGCACTGAGCATACGGTGCTTATTAATACTACGTTGAGGGCAAAGACCCAATATTAAAAACAGCAGTAGTGTTTCTGTTCATCCGATCATAAGGCTTGACTTTTGACCTACCCGGTACAGAATGTCGATGCTGCAGGTGACCATCTGAGGACTTTTTCTTCCTGCCTGAAAATGTAAACATTTTGAATGAGAAGCAAATAAAAATACTGGATTTTACATTATAAATTGTACATTTTATCAACTTTGTTTGTAATTATAGTGTACATGTATATTCCAATAAAACCATATCAAATAAAAACCCATCACAAATTGAAGTGTACATATGTAATTCATTGAAAAAAATCAACACTAGATAATTCTATGAATAGTTGTCATAAGCTTTTATAGCATATAACACGAATGACAAATTAAAGTTCAAACATGCATGTAATTTAGTAACATGTTCTTTTGTCTCAAAATCTGATTTGATGGAGAGGTTTTAAATACAATTTTTGTACCACAGGACAAAAGTATACATGTAACTAGCAGGAACAACTGGCCAGTTTCAGTTTCAGAATACATGTATACAATTGTTGGGTATTGCACGCACACAAGAGAGACAAATAAACAAAATCATCTTCAATTTGCTTTCACTATTTCCATTATCTGTATGCACCAACGCCTGGTAGCCAAGTTTTAAAGGTAACATACAACATTTGCTTACAGCAAAAATCAAAACTACCAAATTATTATGAAATACCTTACTTAACTGTAAGTGAATAATAGTCTTAAACATCCTGTGAAATCATGGCACCTGGAGCGTAGTAATTTTTAAGAAAAGTGGAGTTTTCGTATCAATTTCCAACTACGGTCAGTTGACCATCCTTGGGGGAAAAAATGACTTATTTTAATTACTGCCCCCTATTTACTGAATTTAGTTCGACCACATTTTGTTTGCAATTGGTTACACATCTGTGAAGGGGTGCAAGCTTGTTTGTCTGGTTCCCTGACTATATAATGCTCAGACGACTATAAATTGCTTCCTTTCGTCTAAAATAGGGTCGGGGAACCAGACTACAAGAGCAAGTTTGTTTTCTTGGTTTTTCCAGCATCTATGAACACAAAACTTTAACGAATAAAAAAACTTTAATGAACAAAACTTCAAACAATATTTGCCATAAAATGCTAACCCCCAAATCCATTCATTTCTGACAATTACAGCAAAAGGAAATGTTGTATATTTTACCTTTAATGCCATTATTACAAGGAAGGAAGTGACAGCAATATGTATAAGGAAACTGGAGAGAATTAACGGGAGGCAAATCCTTTATCTACCACTGCAGGAAATGATTGATGGCACATTTGTTTTTGCACTTCAACTTTCAAAAGACATCAAGCCGCATGTAAAAATAAAGTACATGTAAGTTCTTGTATACATGTACATTTACCTTCCCCGAATCTGCAAAAGCTACTGTTGCAACAGACTTGAAAAACTTGCAAAACTTCAGGCCAACTTTCTTCACTCTTTAGCTGACAAAATTCTCCAAAATTTTTATGAGGCACAGACAAGGTCCCCAGTATCTCTCCAGCCAAGTTTGAAGTCTCCAGTCATTTCATTAAGGTGACTTTTGCTCAACATTTTGCACGCTTTGTTTACATATGCGCTTTCCAGGGCCGTGTATAAGTCCGACACTTCATACATGTCATAGGTCTGACGCCTCATAAGTCCGAAATTTTGGACTTATGAGGCGTCGGGCTTATGAGGCATTAAGCCAGGTAGGGGGGGGGGGGCTCCCATAGGAATGCGCATATAAACAAAGCGTGACGTCATTATGTCTTGGGTCTATTTGGACTAAAGTGAGGAATTATAAACATCCTTACTTTTATTCCTGAAGCTGAGGCTACGCAAACTAATACCCCTCTTCCCTTCATTATTGCTCATATCTCCTCATCACACGCATGTCTTGTCGTGATCAGCAACAGCAATCAAAGTTGTAGAAGACGACGAAAGTACTTGTGGTAGATCGTAAACCTGGAAGAAGACAGATTTTTTTCGTCAACTGTGTTTTTCATCAACTTCAAATACATGATCTCATGGACTACTGATCCATTCTGGATTGTAAGCAAATCCCAGAGTGGTACAGGAGAAAGAAGTATGTACACTACAGGGAAGTAGAGTTAGCATGGTTAGTTACACAGTATTAGTACATTGTACATGACTTCTGGGCTTTCAAAATAGAATTAAGGAAGTCTTACGAGTAGTGAACCACTGTCACTGAGGTCAGTGGGTCGCAACATTACGCAAAGAGGAAAGAATGTTGCAGCCTGACGCTGCTTGAACTTCATATATCATGTCAATGAAGGTCAGTCATTGCAAAAATGATAAGATATGAATCTGGGACGGGGAAACATTTCCAATTTTGTTAAGAAATACTTTTGTTGACTCTCCATAGACTTTGCACACAACCGCTGAAGAGTGAAGTGGCGTCAGGTTGCAACATTCTATCAAAAAAATAACATTCAATAAAAGCACATCACATGCATGCAGACATTCATTCGTATGCCTATTGCATTAAAATGAGAAAGTTTCCCAACAAAAAAATATCAAAAAACAAAAGGGTTTAACAAGTTAATTAAGCCAAACAAATTTAACGAAAGAAATCAATACATTAGACTTTTAGTGGACATCACTAATTTTTCCCTGCAGTGACCTATAAATTAAGGCTATATTAATTATCAGCCATCAGAATGCGATAACTAGCAGGGAAAATATTGAAGTATTTACTGAGAAAACAGCAGTAGCACTAGAAATGTTCAGGCAAGTCTCATAGTACTCTAGTCATACGGTTTGTGCACAGCCACAGCCAGCTACTGGCTAGCAGAGGGTGACAAGTGATGGCCAGATATGGGAATGTTTCCCCACTTTTGAAATTGAATACTTACAATTTTCAGCAGTGGATTTTAGGCTTACTACATATATCGTGTATATGTGGCTATGTAGGGGGGATGACCACTGCTGCACAAAATAAATCTGAACAACTATTTACTCTCGTTAAATTTTAAGTGTTGAAACTGCACTACGTTCCCTATCCCTTCCATAAACTTTTAACAGCGCCCTCTTTTGGTGTAATCAAGTCTAGACTGGTCTACGCGATCCAACTGTCACGAAAATCAAAGTATGTATGAGGCGGTAAACAGACAAGAATAGTTTTTTGAACTTTCCATGCAATAGTTTATCACCCCCACATGAAAATGCATTGCTCCAAAATAAACAGTATCACTTTCCACACTCCACCGGGGAAAAATCGATCAACTTTCCGTCCAATTTTGCACCAGAAATGTAGGTAAGTGAGCCGAATTTATTACCTTTTCATTGAATGTGCATGTATCTTTGCAGCAAGGAGTAATCGTGGGTGGAGTAGACAAGGTATTTGGGCAGGAAATGTGTTTGTTTTTGAGGTCTCAATTTAACGGCAGTGTGTCCCGTTTTACCGTCGGTTCGGTGTGGTATGGAGGCCGAAGGTCGGGGAGGCTTTGCCGAATCAACGGCATGTTGGACGGGCGGTGTTGGCCGGGCAGTATTGTTATTGTTGGCCGGCTGACAGCCCCAGCATATTATACAGATGGGGAAAAAAATGTTACAACCTGACGCCACTTCCGCGATTGTGTACAAAGTCTATGGAGAGTCAAGACAATTTTGAAAGTATTTCCTAACAAAATTGGAAATGTTTCTCGGTCCCAGATTCATTCATGTCTTATCATCATTTTTGCACTGAACGACCTTCTTGATATGAAGAAAAAAGTGGCATCAGGTTGCAAATTTTTTCTGTAACTTTATACTGAAGTTAAGCGTAAATGAATGATTTACTACGGAACATTTGATATGTAAATTTCTAATTTTTCCCTCAAATAACATGAATAATGTAAGGCGGAATGCATGCCAGAGTGAAGCCTCTGATTTGGCAATGCATTGATGGTATTTGGCAGACGAGTTTACTAAACAGAAGTGCACACTTTTGAATATAGATTAGAACACAGCACTGTTCTGGCGCCGTAATTATTAGTTCACAACAAAACACGTCCATTGATTGTGATTCATCACAACAATGATACAGCCAGAGGAAAATTAGCAAATGAATTGTCCGTCTGTACTGCTTGTGTTTCAGATCAAATGTGTCATTACATGCATTATCATTTACAAATTGAAAGGAAATGACAAGTAGGCCTACGCTACATTAAAAATAAATAGGCCTGAAGCTTCATTTATTGATACACAACAGCTGTTGACAAAATGTACGGATATTGAAATGTATGTTTAATAATAATGATAAAAGTGGCAAATCCATTAAAGTGCTCTCAGATGCTTTACATAAAGAAAAGTATAAATAAAAGGAACTCAAATTTCTGTATCTTTTGTGAATAGAATATTTTCCATGAAAATGTTCAGTTTCGGTTGCAAACATGATTCATTGTAACAGAACTTTAATCATGCTTGGCATGATGATCCCCAGGGAGAAATGTTCTAGTGAGCGTTTCATCCAGTGTTTCATATTCAGTGACTTAGTTGTGGTTTTCTCGTTACTACATGTATTCTCAAGTTGTATCATACAACAAAAAGCGGAACCCAAACCCCAAAAAGTTTATTTCATATTTAAAAAAATATGTAGCACCAAACATAATAATGACTGGAAAGCCAATTTCATAAGCTACTTTTAGATGAACAAATCACTGAAATTGCTCAATCCGTTCAAAGAATATCACCATTTATACACAATGACCCTAAAATCTGTTTCGTGTCCCCCCCCCAAACCCCCCCCCCCCCAAAAAAAAACAACCAACAACAAAAGCTGTCAATACAGTGTGTATTCTGACTGTTTGGAACTACAAAGAAAATGACACAGAATACTTGTTTCAACAACTGTCAACAACTGTTGTACACAATATCTTTATTAACAATCCTGGTTAGTGGTTAGGCAAACAATATGATTTATAAAATTCACTTTTTTTTTAAAGAGACGGGCCTTCAGAAGGACTTTGTTGAATATTTATAACTTTTAAACTGGAGTTTTATCGCTGGTGATGTTTGAAGACAATTGTAAAGACAATTCTTGAAATGGTATTTTTGGACGTATTTTTGTGTTTACATGTAAATGGTGATATTCTTTGAACGGATTGACCAATTTCAGTAATTTGTTCATCCACATGTAAAAGTAGCTATTCCAGTCATTATTATGTTTGGTGCTACATATTTTTTAGTACGTATGAAATATAATTTTTGGGGTTTGGGTTCCGCTTTTTTTGACTCGCCCTGTAGCACAGTTGATATTACAATGTTTTTAAACTGATAATGTTATCTTGTTGTACGGACGATGGGTTTAGTGCCCTACACATACATGTGCAGGAAACAGGAAGTGAGGAGTCAGTACAAATATGTATGTTTCATTTAATCTTCTAGTGCAGGCCTGTATAATACCGGTACCTTATACTTGAAATTGTAGCCAACAGGAAACAATGGCCAAAACAAATTTCAGTTGCGTGATTTTAATCACAACACACAAAAATCAATTTGCTGAGGGGTTCTTTGTAAAAGACGTGGATAGACAGATTTTGTTGGAAGTTGTTAGGGCAAAGGAGTGATGTGGTAGAAACAATTGACAATGTGTCACATGTTCACCCCCTTCAACCCCCCCCCAAAGAAAAAAAAAGAGAAGAAGTTAGAATGTGTACTGATTTACAGTGTATGTCAGGGTGTTTAACAAAAATCAAGTAAAATGTTTGAATATATCAGGCACTCAAAAACTGTAACTAAAAAAGATACATAGTTTCGTGCTTGAATGAAAATTTCCTTGTAAGGCCAAAAAAAAATAATAATCGGTCTCTGGTCAGACCGAAGTTCTGGAATTGATGCCTGACGCGTTTTTTTTTTTTTTTTTTGGGGTGGCTTTTTTTTTTTTTTTCAAGCTTCAATTGTACAGACAAGGTGGGTACTATTTTGCTTTTTTGTGTCCGCATTATACATTGGTGTCCTCCATAATTTGCCTTGGTGCCCTTTATCATTTGCCTTGGTGCAATGTCCCCATTCCTTGGTGCTCCTTGGTACAAAATGTGAGGAGGTGCGGCAATAGAGGGCGCTGTTGTAGCTTCTGTGTTAATTTGAAGAAGAAAAAAAAAATTGATGTGCATGATTAAAATCGACGCGCACGCTGACCAGAGACCGAGTATTTTTTGGGGGGGCCTAATACCAACACATACATGAACATGTACAGTACATGTACAACACATTTGTAGTGTGCTTCTGTATGCTACAGTACATGTATGTAGGCCTACATACTGTACATATGTATTATACCTTGTAGAGTTTCCAGAAGAGTACCAGAAATCGTGCCTATTAAATTTTGCATACAATCGTGTCAATTTTAGCTGGCCCCTAGACTGGCTTTCACTGTGTGCAGCCCATTGCATGGTATCACTTAAAGACCGAGCCCAGACAGCAGCTGGTAAGGTCAGAACGTGTTGCCACGGTAACGTGTCAACAAGTCGCTATAGCGCTACAGACACGTCCCACACAATCCTCAATAAATCAGAGCAATATGGTATTGGCATGCGATGATCGGTGGCTGTGAAGAACAGATGACTCACTGGCCGTCGGGCGTCGTTAATGATTAATGTTTGTGAAGAGGCTACGGAAATGGGCGAAGAAAGCTTGTCTTTAGAAATTCAACGCTTTGTTCAGCGTGTGAACACATTGCTGTACATGCCACTTGTTGTCAGGCTTTACGACTAAAAATATACAAAAACACAAAATGATGGTGAAAAACCACTTTCCCAGATTCCAGCGTTTGTGTACATTTTTTTTTTTATAAATTATAGTCCTTTAGAGACTGTACCGCCCCAAACTGCCCTGTCTATTTCTCCCTGTATAAAAAAAGTGCCACCAAACTGCCCAAGCCTGGATGGTGTATCAGGCATGAACCTTTTCCTCGGATCCACCGATTTTCTTGTTTTTTACAAATTTCGAATTTCCTCGATTTTTTTCTAAATTCCCAGTTACATCTATACCTGTTAACACAGTGCATTAAATACAAAGAAGTAGGCCTACAGTTGCTGTGAAATGTGTCCAGTTACAATCTGAATTATGGTTTAGTGTGTTCACGTACCGTACATTGTACTGGTTCTGACTACTGTACGATATCCACATGTGTAGAATTTCCTAAAATTAAAATTCCCACTGTGTACACCAACTCGTTGAGAGGATTCTAAACACTCACAGTTTTGTGTGTGTTCTTTGCAAGTGTCTATTCAATTCATCTCTGATCGCTATCTTCGGCAAACACTCCGGCTTTTGTTGTCTTATCGATTCCGAAACAGCACCCTACAAAAGAAATCTAGATTGTATTTGGGGCTCTTTCATGTAGTGACTGCTGGTCGTATAAAAATACTAGTTTTGTTTATATACCCTTGTTCTCTGTCGGAGCTGTGTGTGTTGTGACTGGGTGCTTAAGAGATTATAAATAGTGCTTGCCATGCTTGTAGTTGTAGTGTGAGGCTTATTCCAAAATAATTTCTAACTGTCTCAAAGTGAAAAAAATTAATGTCTGTGTCCAACCCAACACGGAAATTTCAGGAACCAAATTCGCACTACATGTAGCAAGAGTCCAACACGGCTTCAACGTACAGGGTGCGTCAAAAAAAGCGAAACCCAAACGTCGGGACTATTGATTTAGGGAAGTTCTGCATGTAGCACTTTTAAAATCTAGGATATGAAAGCCCAATTCATAAGCTTTCTTTTAGTACAAGAATCATTCAAATCACTCATGTACTTTTTAAGTTACGGAATTTTAAACACAACCACCGTTTTAAAGTTCTGTCCACGGATCACAAAAAAGGTGTGCGTTCTTTCAGCAAAACGAAAACAGTTCACACACATCCCTATGTGATTTGTTTTCGTTTTGCTGAAAGAACACTTACCCTCTTGTGATCCGTGTGGACAGAACTGTAAAACGGTGGTTGTGTTTAAAATTCCGTAACTTGAAAAGTACATGAGTGATTTAAATGATTCTTGTACTAAAAGAAAGCTTACGAATTGGGCTTTTATATCCTAGATTTTGAAAGTGCTACATGAAGAACTTCAGTAAAACAATGGTTCCGACATTTGGGTATCGGTTTTTTTTGCTTACGTACACCTCCTACTTATGATTCGCCCATGTTGATTTCAGCACAGTACGGAAGACTACACAGTGACAGTAGGCCTAGTGTGATAAAGCCTTAGGAGGACAATTTGCATGAAACGGGTCTATTCTCTTCAACTTGCGTATGGCTCTGCCATTTCTAGTCTCTGCATACA